CAATAATACAGCTTTTCATATTTTCATACATGTTTTGTACTAGTACTAAAAATTTTCCTTTTATCCCATACAATTTTATTAATTTTAGCCATAGTCATACATAGTCGACAGGCGTGAGTTGCATTTGCGAATGCAAGGTAAGATAAGTGTGACCACTGCAATATCACGGGATATCATCAACTATTGGATGATCTGGCGGAGCAGATCGTTTTTACAAGAAAGGAGTGGTATCGATATGGAGAACTTTTTGAACACAAGTTTCTCTTAAACCAGTCATAAAAAAATCTAAAAATTTAACACATCGTCAATTCAATGGTCTTCTTTTGAATGGTAACAATATAATTTGAAAATCATATATATACTTTCATCTATATTGTTTTAGAAAACACATCAAACACTTGTTCAACATTACATAAAATACCATGTTTTTTACAGAATGTTTTCAATGATCGGTTTAAAAGAAAAATGTTGAATTCAGTTCTCAATATCGATACCACTCCTTTCAATATTTTCGCACAATTTGTTTTTTGACTGAAAAGCTGCTTATTCGCTGAGAAAATGGTTGAACCAGCAAATTAAAAATGAAATGTATAACAATATTCATATTTCTTGTAAAAACGACCTACTCCGCCACATCATCCAAATTAGTCGATGATATCCCGTGAATATTAGTATAAAATTGAAGCCATCTTAACACGGATAATAATTATGATAGACTAAGATAGCATTAGCGAATTTAACTGATGGTTGACGGATTAACCTACAATATAATTACAAATTCATTTAAAAATGAATTGAAAAGTGGCAGGTATTATTCATATTTAAATGAGTTGGCCATAAAATAACAGGTTAATCTTGTCATGTAGGTCTTCCACAGTTGATGAATGTTTGATGAAAATTTCAGTTTGAGAAGAAAACGCATATCCAATAAGCTAAGGAGCTTAAGAACCGTTTCTCAAAACATTTTGATTATCCCAGGAACTGTGGAATAACCATTTGATTGGGCATCAAAACGTTAACATACTCGTACATTTCAGGTATCGATGATGGTACATACATAGGCATACGTTGATTCATCTTACAGAAAAAATGGTGTTTTTGAAATTGCTATGTTGTATTACATTTGAACCTTATTATCATGTAGGGAAATATAAATTTCAATAGTTGTTATTAATCGAAGCCCATGTATTTTATTGAGATAATCATTTATACATTGTTGGATGAATAATTTATGGAAAAAATGATTTAAAGCGCTATTAATAATATCTCAATCAGTCAGGTTCAGTAACTAAGTCAACATTCGGAAATAAAAATCTCAAAATCGTTGATTTCCAATATGATTTGTGAGGCGGTTATTAAGATGATAATACACATTTTAACGTATTAATTTTGAGTACATCTCGAATCCATTCTCAACAAAGCGTTCGCGAAATAAGTATTCGAAATGTTTGAGTCCGGGATGATAAAAGTACGTTAAGATATATCGCTCCTTTACAAATTCCTTTGGGAACAAGATATACAAAGAGCATATTCTTCTTATTTACTTCCTGACACATGCCATTGCCAACGAATGTTATATTTTTGTACATATTTATAGGATATCCTATGTTTTGAGGAATATCATTTTTATCTACGAGTTGATCGAGAGAGCGAAGCGAACGAGTGCATATATCAATATCACCGAGTAGATTAAAATGATATTCTGAAAAAATCATAGGATGTTCTTATTATCCTACACTTACAAGGAGTGTACTGAATGTATAATATCATTGTAAAATGAATTTCATGCCAAATAGAGTCCATTTGGCGGGAAATCAACAAGCGGAGTATATCGTTACAATATCCTCCGCCTCCGCCCGGAGTATATCGTTACGATATCCTCCGGATATTCATTTTGCCAATAAATATCAAATTTATTTTTTCATGTTATCAAACTCATATGCGTGTGATATCGTTTATCTCACGCATATCCGTGTGATATCACATCTGCATTTCGCGCCACAATATTGTTGGAAATTAGGTCAGATAATTTATTCTCTTTTGAGAAAATTGGTCCGTAAATTTATTCTCTTTGAAGTGTGCGCCAAAGTTTAAAACTGCGCAGGCGCAGCGCTCTCACTAACCTATATAAAGAGATTACAAGGTACAGGCTTCAGAGGTAAGTCAGGAAGGTGAACAATCTTCGTCCCATGTTGATTTCCCGTATAATCGTAAACAGGGAAGTTTCACCATTGAAATTGAAAATTACTATTAGATATACTTTGTAGATGTTATTTATGAAGCTATTTAGTGTTTGCATCAATCAAATGGCTCATTTTGAACATATAAAAAGTATTTGTGTTTTGTTTCCCAGGGAATTGTATTTGTAGTACACACATAAATAGTGTCCATTATACAGTACTTGAATAGCCTGGTTTACATAATATTGAAGGGCATGCTGATTACATGCACAATAAAAAATAAACTCTTCTAATCCCCTAATGTAAACACGGCGGTATACGTAGCCCGATTTATCGGGGACTTTAAGTTTCATTGGTGTATTGAACTACGATTGTGTATATAATTTGATAAGAAGGCTGCTAACTAACGATTAAAAAATGGTATTTATGACGAACAATATCATGTTATTTACTTTTAATTGTTAAAATAAAGTGTTTCAAATATTCAATTGATATTCTAATTTATAGTTTATATTGTCTGTCAATGTCCTGGAAATTGGATCAGAACATCACAAGGTGATTGTAATCACGGGATAAACCCAATATCACATAATTTCTCGTGATATCATTTTATCACCTCGTAGATATCAAATATCAACACTCATTCGCTTCGCTCACTCGTGTTGATATTTGCTATCAACTCGGCGATAAAAATGATATCACTCAAAATGATGTGATATTCTGTATTTATAATACATTTGGTACACTAAGTGTAGGATAAAAGTAAATATTCCCGTTTTAAATAATTTTGTAAACGTTGTTCTCTACCGGTGCCATTTTTTATAATTGAAAAATAAAATTGAACATTTTGCATTTCTAAATTGATAGGTTTCTTGGAATACAGCATAACTGTTGACGATTTAAGTCATTGATAATATTTCCCTCAGTGATCCCATGATAAATAGACAGTAACTGAGTCAATGTTTTATGTTCAAACTTGTTTCCATAACTTTTAAACATGAGTCGACAATTATGTAGGAAATTTCACTTCCAAATGTCAGCATGTCAACAAGTGTTTTTCACAATATTTAGCCTTTTATCCTGATAGATCGCTAAAATCTGCATTTACCTCTAAATGAGGCGATATGTTTTTAATTTTAGAGATGTAAGCTATAAACTCAAACAAAAATGCAAACTACCCGTTATTATTTTGACTGCACAAGACGAAATTTCCACTCCCGAGGAGCACTTTGGTAACACTTTGAAGGAGAATTCTTGAAAAATCGTTCGAATTTTCACAAAAGGTTTCATGCAATTTCATTGTTTTGTTTAAGCCTCAACTAAAATCATACTCAAATCCGATAACATAATTCTAAATAAATCAAAGAACTAAACTGTAGATATTGATATAAATGTAAGTCGGCATGTATTCGACAGTTAATGTACACATATGATGTATGCATCAACTGTGACTTAAATACCAATTCGTGACCATAATATTTGGCTTTCAAAAATTAAGTTGGAAGTTACAGTGGCAGAGATTGCCGAAAACGTCAATCACATCCAAATAGCCGAACAACGTCAAGTATTAAAAATACACTTTTGTGCATCTCGAACAAGGCAAGGTTCTGTGATCCAGAAATGTGCATTCCGAAAGAAAACATTCACAAATATCAACAATTTTCATTGAGTAGGAGATTACATTTGAAATCACAACTTTCAAAATATTTGTTTCAACCAAGAATTGTAAGAACTTGACACAAGTTGTTAGTTTTTCAAACCGCATATCCTCATTTACGTTCTTTGACAAGTATGAATCCATTTGAAAACATGGATTTTCTTGATTATTCTTCAAAACTACCCTTGAAATATAAGTATGTAGGATATTACAGTGTAAATTGATACGCATTTGTTTGCTCCATATCATGAAAAAATAAATGCAGTACCATCCGTCAATATGCGAAAATATGGTTGGTTCATAAATTAAAAAATGACAAATAACATATATCTTTTGAAATAGGGGTATACGAGGGTTGATCATAAAGTTCTCATAATATCTTTCTAATTTCTTTATTTTTAAATATATTCTAACGAAATTTTCAAAGAATGTGCAGCATAGAATGTCTTATTAATTCAGCAAAAAATATTTAGTTTAACAGAAATATTAAATAAGAAATGGTTGCCATAGTAACTGGAAATCATGGCACTCGGGGCAAATAAAAGTAATTGAGAGAATGAGCTTAATTAACCATGTTTACATACATAATAAACTCTCATGAATTGCCAAACACGTTAAAATGTTAACTTGAATATGTTGTTAAGTGCTTTAACAATTAAATAAAATGATCATGTAAATTGTGTGATGTCATAGGGGATGCTTTCATGCTTCATTAGATATGATACCAGAGTCTGAGACTCAAAGCTAATCATCAGAAACGACTGAGTAAGAGAATGCAATAGTTACAGAGATCTTCAGAAAAATAAAATTCATACTGATAAAATGTAATGTTAAGTTTGTAAGTTCCTTTACACATGGAAATAGTTTCTCTAATTTTTCATATATCAGGCAAGCCATGTATCTCTAGATGTTTCATTATGAATTTAAGTAGTGTAACAACCATTTGGTATCAAATTAAACGTCCGTTTAGTTTTATCTCAGTGCGAAAATCCTTTTATGTAAAGGGGATTGTCGTTGGGTAACTGATCTTGAATGCTTTCATTGTTTGAATGTGGAAAATGTGTAATATTCATTCTTATGAACGCTTGGTGAGCATCAACAACAATCTTGGGGATATGGCCTTTTCTAAATTTTAACTATGTCCATGTACGAGAAAATATTTTTATGATGCTAAACCACTCTTTTCCAACACTGTTCGACTTCACATTCATTATGCAATCGTGGCAGGACAGCTCTTAGATATATACCACAATATAAAACTGGAGCCCATATATTACATTTGACAGTCAATGAATTTGCCAAATATGGGCATATCACATGATGACCCAGATTGTCCATAACTGACTGTATTCAGCTAAAATCTGATCAGGATTAAAACAACTGACTTGAATTAACCTATCATATAAATTCATTCAACAAGCAGGGCATTGTTTCCGGGTCTATTCCGTAACAGTTCAGCAGTCTGTCTTCATTCCATTGTCATTGTTTCAGAACCGTGTCTGTTCGCAAATATGGTTTAGGTTGCTGCAAAATATAAAAATAACATGACAATTAATATTATAATTTTATTTTCTGCCATGTGCGTATATGAACCATTACTAAAATAAATTGTAAAGCAAACAAGGCATTAATATGCAAAATGTCACAACCTGCCATTTGTTACAGACACTAACTGCCTGAACGCTAAAAGATGAACACCATCCACAAAAAAGGTAGAGATTATAACAATATGTCACCATTTGTGGCGTTGACATAAATACTGCACCAACCAGAAGATTGATTGACCCTTATAATAATACTGATTTACTCACGCAGCATGGTGTGGCTTGTGTCTCTGTGTTCTACAACTCTTGCCCCAATGACAGTCAGCCCTAGCTGTGACAGTGGCTGAAATGTGATTGTAACAAACTTTAAACACGTTATGAAAAGTTACTAACTATTTAATGGATTTGAGCAAAATGAAATGACTGTAAAATTATGACGAAAGAATGATTACTAGTGAATGGTTGGAATCTGTAAAACTGAAGTCATCTTGGATTAGTGAGACAATTTTAAGTGACATTGCAAGGATATATTCTCAACCTTGATTTAGCATTGATTTAATTCTAGGTTATTTATTTCAACCTAGATTCAACATTAAATCAATCCATCAGGCAATGATTCAATCAATACTTGAGAAAATCAAGGTTAAATCAAAGTTGATTATATGTTGAAATGTTTGCTGTGTATCTACACTGTAGACATATGCTTTTAATATAAAAATGGCAGTTTCCATTAATCTATAGTCAACATACAGCACATGACAGACAAAATCCATTGAAACAACAATAGCAAAATACTAATTATGAAATAAGTGAAAACTGTTCAGACTTTGTGGCAATTTCATACCTGGAAGTTCACCATTTGGAATATTTTTACGATAGTTGTAGACTAAATCTTTAAAATTCTTCAAGGCACAGCCATAGCATAAAACAGCATTAGAGTCCTTCAGCTTCAGAGGGAAATCTAATATAATAACAAAAAAAAATAATAAAAGGTGTACTAATAGCCCAAAGGACACAAAATATTTACTGCAAATTAAGATATCTAAATCATATGAAGAATGGACTGTGAAAATACTAAATGGACATAAATAATCAATAAATCAATAATCAAATAATACTTTTGAGATGCATGATTTAATTCATAATACACAAGTTCATCAGCTACATGTACTAGTACAAGGTGGTCCAAAATGTAAACAACCTGTCTACCTTTCAAAATGTAACCCTATCTACATTCTTAAGCACCTTGTATAACTATATTTTTACATCTAATTTGACTGACCTGTAGACGCCCATGCTTTGCTATCGAGTTTAGTGCAACATTCATCAAGAACCTGCTTGATGGTTAATTTCTTCTCTTTCAAATAGTCCTTAAAAACAAAAATATATTACAAAATTGGAGTTGAATTAAAAGTAGAAACACAGTTTTGAATGATCCAAATTGTGTAATTTCATATACTGGGGACTAGGAATTTATGAAACTGGAACTATTTTGGGAAAATTTGACCAAGTTTTTGAGAATTTATACTGGTACTATATTCTCAAATATCGAAACCCATCTTTTTACGTGATTTTTCTAAAAATAAAGCTTGTATGATAATGTCCAAATTAGGCCCATTTTGGGATAAAAACCACAGTTCGACTCACCTTAAGAATTGTTGATTCATATGTATTCTGCAGCAGTATTGTATTCATATCATTCTCCCCAAAATCAAAATCTGTAAATGGTTTGAACATATCAAAATGTTGATTCCCTGAGGAAATTCAAGTAGTGTTTCAGAATACTGTACTCCTGGTATTTTTCATGTATGATTTAGTTTCGTGCTTTTCGCGATTGTAAAATCGCGAAAATTAATCTTTGACAAATTGTCAATTAAATCCCAGGGGATTTGTGATATCTTTTATTACCTGGGACTTCATTGCATTTCTTGTTTTGTAAAATGTTTGTCAAGTGTTATAAGGCAATAAATGGGGTACTACGTAACAATGTCTGTTACAGTGGTTCATTTCGGTAACAAAATGTCGGAACGTCGAAGGTACGATTTTCGGTAACCAGCGTAATCGAGTGGATCACCAGTGAAAATGAAGTGGGAGTAAAGTATACATTTCCTTGCATTTACACAAAAATTACATGTCCAAAATGACAGAAAATTGTATAATTGTAACCTTGAAGTAATAATACAGGGTTTCCTTAAAGTCTAAACCTATGTTAAGTGTAAGATACTTTATGGACCCCCTGTACATGGATATTTTGAAAATACAAGGCATTAACATGCAAAATGTCACAGCCTGCCATTTGTTACAGATGCCGAACACCAAACCCTTTCCACAAAAAAGTTGGACACTATAAAAATTACCCTTAAATCTATTTTTATCCAACAAAAACCTCAAAATTTGAACACCTGCCAATTTGAACACTTTTGGCTGGTCCCATGGGCATTTGGACTACAGAAGTTTTACTGTATAATAATAATTACCTTTAAATCTAGCCATACAACCTCTACACCCAGCTCTCTTACAGCCCCAGTAGTTGTGGCAGTAAATCTTCCAGCATAAAGGACCTATAAATAGAATACATGTACATTAAAGCCATGACATGAATATGTATATGCTAAAGGGAAAGCTCCAAGAATTATCATAGAAAACAGCAAGAAAACATCTAAGAGTACACAAGTAAAACAAGCCTCAAGTATCCCAAACCATGATCTTACGTGAAAAGAGAATAACTGATATCCCCTCGCCACCCAGGGGTTTCACCAGAATTTCTCACAACAGGCTATAAATAAATGAAAACAACAGCCAAAATTAATGGAAATCATAAATTTTACATGGAAAAGTTGGCAAGTCCCTAAAACCAACAGGAGATTTGTGAAAACAATCAGTGAAAATTGCCTGTTGCCTGCTGCTAATAAAACATCTGACACCATTCCCAATTATGACAATCCAACACGAAGGGATATTTCTTTCATACTGAAGTCCTAACAAAACATGCCCTATTTCAACTTAACAAGGGTTAATGTCTGTGGTTGTTTGGAAACTTGAAACTACCAAAGCAAATTCAATTGAGTTAGAGGACTTGACACAGCACTTTATTAACAAGAACAAGCTCAAAGACTTTACAAAATGGATTACTCAAATTCTTTGAAGAGAAACTTTTCTTAACCTTTCTTTGCTAAATCATAACTTCCAAGAGTCGTGCCCCTTGTTTTCATTTGTTTTTCGATTTTCTTAAAACTCCTGAACATGTTAATATGCTTAAAGTTAGTACTTACACTGCGTAAGCGGCACAGCATCAGGATTTCTAGCTCTTTCGTTTCTTCTGTCTGGAAACGGCTGGAGGCAACACTGGCATAGACAGTGATCTTGATTCTTAGGACACACAAAGTCTGGATATTCTCTAACTAAAACATGATTAATAATGAATTATATTTTAAAAGATGTTACCCTGTATTTTACATGCACTTTAAATATAAGGAATCAGTGATTATAAATACAAGGGGCGATCCATATATTCTGATAAAAATGCTCTCATTTTGTGATTTTTTTCACATATCCCTCTTATTTTTTCAGAAAATGTAGATTATGTAATTACACATACAATGCTAAAATATTATATCTATATCTTAAATTATCAATGAGATAGGTTGCCATGGTAACCTGTATTAAGGGTAGGCAGGTCAATTAAATTATAACATATAAATATCATAATAACTTGATATTTTAATTATTTTAAAGCATGCGAAAATCATGCATTTTTCTAAAAGAGTTTGGTATTGTTACTCTTCACTCTTTGTTTGTTGCTAAACAAATGTTTATATGTGCTCACTATAACATCACAACAAATCACAATAGCATTGTAAGACAGAATGGGCCAATTGACATTACATGTTATGAGACACACCAAAAATCAAATTGTCAGATGAGGTTAATGTGGCTGATGCAGAGTGTGACATTAACGTCTACATTAGGGAATACAATAAGATTTTCTTTTCTTTTAAGAATAAGTTAGAGGACACTTTCAGAGACATACATGGACTTATTAAGTGCATGGGCAAGGTGTTATATCTGCATAAAGAATCTATAGGTAGTATTGTAAAGAGGAAGGCATGGTCACTGTTGAAGATCAACCACAATCTTGTTGCAAGAAGAGCTTGCGGACAGAGAATAATACTACGATAAATTGAGATGTTACTAATGAAAAGATTATCATAGCTATCCCATTGTATAAATTATCAAACAAGGGCAACAGGGGTATGGAACAGATCAATGAATAGTTGGCAATGACTGGAAGATGCGTTTGGTCTGCTTAAAATAGGTACCGAGGAATGATTAAATTAACATATTTATCTATTTTTGACGTTATAATTTAACCGACCTGCCTACCCTAAATACAGGTTACCATGGCAACTTCATTTCAAAATCAATTTAAGATATAGCTAAAATAGTTTAGCATCGTATGTGTAATTACATAATCTACATGTTCTGAAAAAATGAAAGGGATATGTTAAAAAACCACAAAATGAGAGCATTTTTATCAGAATATATGGATCGCCCCTTGTATATTGTAATAAAATTGTCCAAATAAAAATGAAATCTTGAAAAAACAGATTAAAAATTGTTCATGAAGAATGCATTTACAAAAACTGCTCAAGAAGACTGAACAAGACAATATGGTGACTTGAAGGTGGGGTTTGTAACTGATCAATGATGACATGGAAGATTCCAGTCGACGTTACAATATGGAGTTTAAGCTTGCAAAGTTTTTCACAACCTAATCATGAATGAAAAATATTTAAGCAATGCATTTGTATGGGTGATAGATCATACGTATGGGTTGGTGTAATGTATATGGAACTAAAAGTTTAAAGTTGATCAAAAGATGGCACTAGAGAATACTAAACTAGAATCAAAACTGAAAAGTGCAATCAGAGAAGCCAATTATAATTTTGAAAAGAACATGCAGTTCACAAAGAGAAGTCAATGTATCCACATGTAAATATTATGTGAAGATGTAAAATAAGAAATAAGAACATAACGTTGTACAAATGAACCAAGAACCAAATAAGAGCGTGAAATAAGCGACAACTATCAGACCTAGCGAGAACATCAAAGGGGCCCCTCGTCATAACGTCCAGAACCCAAGATAGGCGTCGACAAGGTAGTATATAACAAGATAATAACAACATTACAGTTGGCATTTCGATTTTATATGCAAGCTTAAACTCCCTCATATTAAATCAATACAGCGAGCAAAAATTGGAAATCATCCTGACTTACCATAGAACACATATCAGATCTATATAATATTGCTCAACCGCTTTCAGTACTATGACCATTACTATATTGCCAAGTATATTAATGATTTTGTCCTGATGAATGAATACCTTTGTTTTGTGTCCCACTTGTGGACTGCCCTGGATCTGCAGATGTTGAAGGTTCAGTGTTACATGCTCCAGCTTCCCTACTTGAACCTTCACCTGTTGCCCCTGATTTAGAATGTGTAACCCCAGATGTAGAATCAGCAACCCCTGATTTAGAATTTGTAGCCCCTGTGTTAGTATTTAAGGTACCTGGTTGATTTATGCTTGATGATGGCTCTGATGGTGATGGGTCAATGTTGTTGGTGGCCCCTGCTTTATGGGGACCTGTATACTCCTTACACTGTCTGCATACAGTTTTAGGAGGTCTAAAATAAATTGTTTAACACTTAAAAAATACTAAGATTAGTGTTTCAGTAAGTAGCAATATTCTCCAGTAAAAAAACACGCTATTACTGTTTAGTTCAATAATATTAGATCCTTTTAGATTATTTAGATTCCATTCGATTTTTAGATCCAGAGCCATGTGCTTTTATATTGCCTAATTACAGTGAAACCTGCGTATATAAAACACCTATGGAGCCACAAAAATGTGTCCACTGTAGGGTGTTTATTACAGAGAGGGTAATTTATACAGAAGTCAGTTTAGCATGTGATGAGGAGGGGTGTCCACTAGAGACATGTGTTTACCAGAGAAAGGTGTTCACTGAGACAGGTGTTCACTAGAGAAAGGTGTTCACTGAGACAGGTGTTCACTAGAGAAAGGTCTTCACTGAGTCAGGTGTTCACTAGAGAAAGGTGTTCACTGAGACAGGTGTTCACTAGAGAAAGGTGTTCACTGAGACAGGTGTTCACTAGAGAAAGGTCTTCACTGAGTCAGGTGTTCACTAGAGAAAGGTGTTCACTAGAGACAGGTGTTCACTAGAGAAAGGTGTTCACTAGAGACAGGTGTTCACTAGAGAAAGGTGTTCACTAGAGACAGGTGTTCACTAGAGACAGGAGTTCACTAGAGAAAGGTGTTCACTGAGACAGGTGTTACTGTACACACAAATAAAACATTGCAATCTTGACAACTTACTGGTAATGTTGGAATGGCTGGGCAGGTGTAAAAACTTGTGGCAATCCAAGTCCAAAGCCTCCAAGTCCTGGAGGAAAAGGAGGAGGTGCGAAGCCTCTCCTGTAATGAAGCACATACATGTACATGTAAATTCAAACAATGTGAGGCTCAAATTCTAAGTCCAAAGCCTCCAAGTCCTCAAGAAAAGGAGGAGGGATGAAGCCTTGCCTGTAATAAAGCACATACATGTAAATTCAAACAATGTGAGGCTCAAATTGTGCGTATTATAGCTGATAACTACAGCTTGCATAACGTTCTAGCATGGAGTAAACTCAATAGGTATTTCAAGATTGTTGGAACCAATATATCTATGTTATCACCACCATAACCTTTTTTGGGCCCATTCACATATTTAAGGGATTCTGGGAGATACAAGTGAAAATAGAATCATCAGACTGGATTTAAACCATGAAATCGACTCTAAAGCCTGAAAAACATGGTACTTGTTTTAATATGACACACATTGATAAATATTGCACTTTCAAGAGCAAAATGGCTGCCATGCTATTGTAATTTACCCAGCTTACCTAGCCATTAAACAAATGATCTTAGTTTACTTACCCAAATGCTACAACACCATCATTATTGTCATCACTATTCTCATCATCATCATCATTGTCATCACTATATTCATCACTTTCAGAATCATCCCGATTTCTTTTCTTCTTTGGATACAACTTTAAGAGAGTCAATATTTTACAGTTAATCCCCTCTCCGGAGAATGTTTAATTTCACATGGATATAATTACAATTTTAAGGGTTATGTGAATTATAATCATCTGAGGGTCACTATAAGGTATATACTACATGTAGTAATGTAACCTTTATTTGTATGGAATAAAATCTATATTTCCAGATCAAGACAGGTTTTCGGATTAAAACCGTATATAATATTAAATAAAATACATTAAATAAGGCATTAACATGCAGAATGTCACCACCTGCCATTTGTTAAATTAAAGACACTGCCAGCCAAATGCCCAACACCATCCACAAAAATGTTGAGAACTATAACAATATGTCACCACTTGTGGTGGTGATATGATTAAATAAAAATGGAAATGATCGAGCTACAAAGTTTACCATATCTTTTGTGATTTTGTTCTTTGCATCAAGTTCTTTAATATCCTCCTCTGGTCTTTTCCTATCAGGGTGTTCTCCAAGGTAAGCATCCACGAGGTTGTTAACGATGTGATTTTTGTTAATACGATCCACCTTTAGACGACACTGAAAGAATATATAACATAACAAATGAAAGAAAAGTTGTATCAGGGTAGATTTCATGTTTTGATTAACATCACAGAAAATCGTTTTAATGTTAATTGGCTGATAAAACAAGCTTTTTAGGGTTGCCGATTTGGGCAATCAGTCAAAAGCACCTAACAGGTGCTGTCGCTGTGACCATGGGGTAGGAGAAGGAGAGGCGTGAGCTCCTTGCGTTTGTTTACTTACAATGAGAGAAGGAGAATGTTTGGTTACTTACGGAAGGACACTCATTTGATCTTTCATGAAGAGAAAGAGAATGTTTGGGTACTTACTGAAGGACACTCAATTGATCTTTCATGAAGAGAAAGAGAATGTTTGTTTACTTACAGAAGGACACTCATTTGATCTTTCATGAAGAGAAAGAAAATGTTTGGGTACTTACGGAAGGACACTCAATTGATCTTTCATGAAGAGAAAGAGAATGTTTGGGTACTTACTGAAGGACACTCATTTGATCTTTCATGAAGAGAAAGAGAATGTTTAGGTACTTACAGAATGACACTCGTTTGATCTTTCATGAAGAGAAAGAGAATGTTTGGGTACTTATGGAAGGACACTCATTTGATCTTTCATGAAGAGAAAGAGAATGTTTAGGTACTTACAGAATGACACTCGTTTGATCTTTCATGAAGAGAAAGAGAATGTTTGGGTACTTATGGAAGGACACTCATTTGATCTTTCATGAAGAGAAAGAGTATGTTTAGGTACTTACAGAATGACACTCGTTTGATCTTTCATGAAGAGAAAGAGAATGTTTGGGTACTTATTGAAGGACACTCATTTGATCTTTCATGAAGAGAAAGAGAATGTTTAGGTACTTACGGAAGGACACTCATTTCATCTTTCATGAAGAGAAAGAGAATGTTTGGGTACTTACGGAAGGACACTCGTTTGATCTTTCATGAAGAGAAAGAGTATGTTTAGGTACTTACGGAAGGACACTCATTTGATCTTTCATGAAGAGAAAGAGTATGTTTAGGTACTTACGGAAGGACACTCATTTGATCTTTCATGAAGAGAAAGAGAATGTTTGGGTACTTACGGAAGGACACTCATTTGATCTTTCATGAAGAGAAAGAGAATGTTTAGGTACTTACGGAAGGACACTCATTTCATCTTTCATGAAGAGAAAGAGAATGTTTGGGTACTTACGGAAGGACACTCGTTTGATCTTTCATGAAGAGAAAGAGTATGTTTAGGTACTTACGGAAGGACACTCATTTGATCTTTCATGAAGAGAAAGAGAATGTTTGGGTACTTACAGAAGGACACTCATTTGATCTTTCATGAAGAGAAAGAGAATGTTTGGGTGCTTACAGAATGACACTCATTTCATCTTTCATGAAGAGAAAGAGTATGTTTAGGTACTTAGGGAAGGACACTCGTTTGATCTTTCATGAAGAGAAAGAGTATGTTTAGGTACTTACGGAAGGACACTCGTTTGATCTTTCATGAAGAGAAAGAGTATGTTTAGGTACTTACGGAAGGACACTCATTTGATCTTTCATGAAGAGAAAGAGTATGTTTAGGTACTTATGGAAGGACACTCATTTGATCTTTCATGAAGAGAAAGAGAATGTTTGGGTGCTTACAGAATGACACTCATTTCATCTTTCATGAAGAGAAAGAGTATGTTTAGGTACTTAGGGAAGGACACTCGTTTGATCTTTCATGAAGAGAAAGAGTATGTTTAGGTACTTACGGAAGGACACTCGTTTGATCTTTCATGAAGAGAAAGAGTATGTTTAGGTACTTACGGAAGGACACTCATTTGATCTTTCATGAAGAGAAAGAGTATGTTTAGGTACTTATGGAAGGACACTCATTTGATATTTCATGAAGAGAAAGAGAATGTTTGGGTACTTATGGAAGGACACTCATTTGATCTTTCATGAAGAGAAAGAGAATGTTTGGTTACTTACAGAAGGACACTCATTTGATCTTTCATGAAGAGAAAGAGAATGTTTGGGTACTTACAGAAGGACACTCATTTGATCATTCATGAAGAGAAAGAGAATGTTTGGGTACTTACGGAAGGACACTCATTTGATCTTTCATGAAGAGAAAGAGAATGTTTGGGTACTTACAGAAGGACACCCATTTAATCTTTCATGAAGAGAAGGAGAATGTTTGCATACTTACAGAAGGACACCCATTTAATCTTTCATGAAGAGAATGTTTGGGTACTTACAGAAGGACACTCATTTGATCTTTCCATCCAATCAGAGTAGCATCCAGCGCAGAAAGAATGCATACATGGCTGCAGACTGGAAAACAAAGAAGTACAGCCATATCATAAAATTGTGACCATTTGGAATAGACCATTGAGTCTTAAGGAATGAAAGTACATTGAACAAGTCGATTAAATTGTGCGAAATATGGCTTTAACTCATTTTGTTATTAACATATTTTGTTTGGGTTACTTTTTTCAGCTCACATCGTATTATACAAATAGAACACAACATAATGTCAAACCATCCACTATCTATCATTTTTTAGGCAGCATAAAAGTGTCAATGGGTTTCGCATGGACAAAATAAATAAGATGCAGAAAAATTTGGAGGTGAATCACTCTGAAAAAAAATCTGGGATGAAATTAATGGGTGTATATCCTCACCTAATACAATCATGCATGATCTCCTGACAAATTATACATAGCAATGTTTCCTCAATAGCATCAGGTTTTGCCCCCTCAGCTTTCTTACTTATTTCTGCATCTACATTCTTATTTTTAGCATTTTCTTTGCCTTTCTCAAGTTCCTTCATATTCGTGTCAGTTGATTTTTGGATGGATACATCTTGTTTAATCCCTGTAGTTTTTATAGTATCAATGTCTTTGTTTGTGCAATTTTCAGCCTCTGAACTCTGATTTTTGACTTTTTCTAAAGTCTGTTTTGTTGATTCACCAATTTTGTTCTGTTGTTTTGTATTATCCAGCTTTTGTTTCTTGCTTGGAGGGTCCTCAGTAAATTCCTAAAACAAAAATAAAACATAGTCAAGTACTCATACATGTTTCTGGAGATATCATATTGTAGTCCTTCAATATGTATTTCTCTATTTTTCTCATATTTCTCCCAAATATCAAGTGTTCAAAATAAACTTCAAATCAATCACAGTCTAACATGAATTAAAGTTTAGAGTCTGTTTAAATGACTAGATTTCACATTCAGATCTTTAGTTTCTACACTATACTCTAATTAAGATAGATGCCATTCCACGGATCAAACCTCAAACCAGAGCCACATTGACATTTGAAACATACACAGAAATCAATGAAGCTTAGAAAACCATACCATGTACATGCTGTAAAACATATCATACTTATCTTTGGGGGCATCCAAACCTAATGAGGCATTTAACTCTTAGATATGAAGTTTATCAGGCCCATAGTCAGCTTTTGTCAAGTTTAAGTGGGGGAAGGGAGTTAGCCCAAATCACTTGAAAAGTACTAAACAAGTGAGTGATAGCAAAAGCTCACCATGTGAGCTAAAAATAGTGAAAAATCAGAGGATCTTGAAAGAATTTTTAGCCAAGTACACTGTAGGGGTTCACTTGCACTTCTGAACCCCCTGGCTACGGGCCTATCTATATCATAATGTCATACTTACCACTGGATCTGTATACTCTAAGGTCCCATCAATCTCTGCATCAGAACTATACTCCTGTGTGGCATCTTGCATCTCTTGCTCCAATTTTACAAGGTCTTGAAATATATAGGCTACATCTAAAATAAATAGGCTATAATTTAAATATATGCGCTACATGTGGAACACATAGACGACATCTGAAGACAAGAGCTGAAAAATGTTATACAGGCTTGAAATGGCTTCATAGAATAATAATGGTACCAATTCCTTAACAAAAAGAGGTAAAGCAACTGAACTTACTCGTTTCTGGACTGTCTCTCCTGAACACAATATGGATTTCATCTCCATGCTCCAATAGATGGCTCTGTAAAAATCAGAATTGCATAAACCTTTTTAACATTTGTCGAAATCGCACGAAGTAAACATGTACATGCACACATATATTTTACATTGTGCATTGTTTAAAACATTATTAGACTTATTTATTTTAAAGATATTGAATAATTCCGAATAATATTTAATGGCTTCATGAAGGAATATTGCAAGTGAAATTTACAATCGTGAGTAAAGAGTACTGCCATACAATAATGATTTATATAAAAGTAGATGCTGGCATCAAAGGCTGCAATTATAATCATTGGGTGCAATGAATGAATATCAAAGGGTTATCTGAATTTACTCACTCTTTTACATATTCTCTCTTTCATGTTCAATAGGGTGCCATTTGTACTGGTATCCTTCAGTGAGACAATGCCATTTTTGTCTCTGTATATAGCACAGTGTTTGCCAGATACCATCTTGTTTGATGCCAGGCTGATATCACATCCTTTAAAAAGACATGCAAAAATAAGTACATGTAGTTTTTATTTCAAAATTCAAAGTGACCATCGAGTTATTTACCCAGCATGCCCAAAACCTAATCAGATCTTGGCTCTAGTCTGCTTTTATTTCTGCAAATATTACAAGTTTAAGAGGTACAGTTGGGGACAAAAATAAATGACAGGTCGATTTTCGATCACCATTTCCTAATTATGGTGGTCTGAAAGCCCATAATTTCCAATATTGTCTAGATACATATCCCAATTTGTATATTTTACATTTTGTATAATCTCATCCACTGATTTATGGCCTCTTGTAAATTCTCTTATTTTTAACATGGGAAATCCTCACTTCAGCAAATCCACCTGTCATTTATTTATGTCCCCAACTGTAAGCAGTTTTCTTGGAATTTAATTATATTGTGCAAGACAAACAACTTGGTATACATGACACATCAGGCTAATAGCCAGGGGGGGGGGGGGGTTCCATAAGTTTCAAAATTTAACATGGCTCTCGAAGTGAGTAACCTGGGGTAATTTCCCCTCTTGGAGTAACATGTGGGCGATAATAGGGAATTTTACATGTACCAAAGCAAAACGCATATATGTAAAAATGAAATACATATCAGAGTATTTTACCATGATTAATGGTCGAATAAAGGTTTATAATTTCATATCATATCAATTGCTGCTAGAACTAGCATAAAACTAAGCGTAAACACCCAAATTTTTATCAACAAAAAATGTGAAAAAATAGGAAAATTTTACCTTTGGCCCGTCCAATACAAAATGAGTTTTTATCGATGAAAATCGGTTCTGAATCCAAATCAGTAGTGCATACAAGCTGTGCCCACTTCTCCCCACCTTCCATACTTCTCTCTGATAAACGGCGGTTAGTGGTCGTTAGGGAATCATTCCTTCAACATTTTATTTCCGTTTCTACATGCTCTAATTGAAATACGGTATGCTCCCTGCTATGCTCCCACTTTGAAAGACCCGTATGTAAACAAAAATGATTCAAAAGACCCGTATGTAAACAAAAACAAAACCACGTGTTTTTTTGTACCTCAAATCTCTGGCATTGGGCACGACGGTTAAAATGTCGTACGGCAGTTTGGAATGTAATTAATATGGCTCCAAATTGACCATGATAAACAACATATTCATGGCTCTAAAAATAAGGACAATGGGTATGACTATTTAGACTAACTTACCTTCTACTTATAAGTCTATAGCCTTGCCCAAGTTGGTTTCTTTTGCTTATCTTGATTTATATTATGACTGCCGGTATTAATTCAAGATCAGGTACTAAGGCTTCCACTATATTGGATTTGGCTAGAGACTCAAGTAAATGCTAACTACATGTACTTGTAAACTACAGGTGCTACACTACGAAATGATTTTTTAATGTTTTTATTACACAATGATTGATATGCCTGAATTGCTCCTAGATAAGTGTTCCCCATGTTGTTTTCCCATAGAGAAAACTCATGCTATCCATTGATTTCAGCTGATTGAATTAAAGTCCCCGTCTTAAGTTTGAAAATATTTTTTTTATCATTCATTTACTATTTGTCAGGACTTAAAAAGTGATTTTAGAGATTTTTGAACAAAAAATTTTTTTTGAAAAAAAAGTTATGAGCATTTCATTTCTCAAATATTCAAATTTCCCGCCATTTTTTAAAAAAAGTTGAAATTTCTTAATCATCAAATATTTCTTAATGCATTTCAAAAAAGATTATATTTTTAACACCAATGCAAAGATTGAACAAAAGACACACTATTTCAATAACAAAATGTCATATTTAATGGGCCACTTCAATGTTTTAGCTTATCAAAAATATTTTGAAACATTAGTGATGTCACTAAGGTAACAAAAACTTTTTGAAAAAAATTGAATTTTTTTTCGATGTCAATCTTTTCTAAATATGCTAGACTTTCATAAAAAAAAACAATGTTGATTGTCTAACCAGGTTAAAAGGAAGAATAAATTATGTTTTAGATATCATTGTACCATTGGCTTCTATGAGAACTAAAATTTTGAAATGCATTTTTCTCAGAACCATTTTCATGCACTGATAAGTTCATTTCTCGCTTGTTTATCAACCGATTTTTTAAACTTTTTCGGCAAAAAACATGGAAGGATGTATGCTATGCATTGGTATGAATTGTGGCTAATTAGAAGATATGAGTGACCTCTAAAAGTTGGTTTTAAATAAATTCACAAATTTTGGAACAAAAAGTCTATCAAAAACCACTTTTTGAAATTAAAAAAAAAAGTTTCACATATCACACTTTGATAACATTGGGTAAGACTACAATATAAGCCAAAGTGGTTTAAACTTTACATGGGGCCTTTAAAAATGGTCTTGATTGCAAAAATTGTTTGTACATTTTATCAATGGGCAAGCCCATGATTTTATTTACTTGTCTATCAGTGGTGGATCCAGCAATTTACAAGGGGGTCCAAAATTGAGCCAGGAAAAAATTTTGGGGCCCTAAAACCCAAAATTGGGCCCATATATTGAAAAACTAAGGCCCATTTTTTGATAAATTGGCTCAAAAAGGCTTAATAAGGCCAAATTATGTCCTAAAAATACCCATTTTTTAAGGTCCTACTAAAACTTTGGGGCCCAAGAACTACAAAAAACTTCTGGGTCCACTAAAGGGGGGGGGGGGCGGATTTGCCAATGTCTATATATGTATATTGTGAATCAAATGTTTATGGAATGAAATAAATGGGTTACTTCATAGGATATCAATAATTTATTAAAATGAAAACAATTATCCCCATTTATAGCTCAGTGATTTTTCTGCAAAAAGGCAACCATTTGGACAAGCAATCTCTTGAAACAGGAGTTGTAACTGACAATTAACCAAAACAAGATTACAACTCACTCATGTGAACAAATAAATGAAGAAAGGGATTATGTACCAATTATTTTGACCAATGACAGTGTTCAGGACAGTTTTGAATCCTTTATATTTTATATACAGCAGTGACATCTTTACTATGAATGAATACTAAAACCATCTGCTAATTGTTGGTAAAAGGAGGACAGTTTTTAAATTCTTTTTAAGAGAGGACATAAAACGACCCTTGCAACTGACTGGTGGTGGATAGGTCATTACAAAAGCTCACAATATGAGCTAAAAAGTGGAAGCTATAACAATATTTCACCACTCAAAAATGTGACATAAAATCATTTATATTTAAAACTTATTTATTTCAATGAACATATGAAATGAATAGCATGACAATCAGACAATTGAATCTCATCATTTCCTCTTTTTAATATACCTATATTTTTCTGGATATTTACCTTCCAAAATATTCCAGTAGCTTTTCTATTTCATATCTAAAATCTACATTACTAATATAAATACTACAAAGTATAAAACGACTACATGTACAAACTGGAATAGAAGATAATTCCGTAAATAAATCAAGAGCAAATTAACACAGGTATGTTGTTTTAATTGAACATGATGACAATACATTGAACAACATCCAATGAAGACACGGAGTGATTGTTAGTAAGGAATTAAATGTTTGATGTACTTGTACTGTACTTATGGGTAACCCAAAAATAGGACCCAAAAATTAAAGATTCCCGGTCCTGCTTTTTTGAGACACCCTGTACACCTTCAGGTAAACCATATTGCTATGTCAAAGTTGACCAGAAGAAGCATAAATACATGAAACAAATAAAGTTTGTTTGTTGAAACTTATAAGATGTATAAGATCAGTTTCTATAGCAGGATTACTATTGATAATGTTTCAAAATCAACATTTCTCCAGACGTCACCATTTCAAATCTCAATTCGTTTGCTATACTCATTCATAATGGGTGACCTGGGTGTTTTAATTTAAGTTTGAAATACAAATGACCTTTATTTGAGTGCTATTAACAATAAAATGTTGGTTTATATGAGTGCTAAAAATACAATATGTTGGTTTATATGAGTGCTCTAAACAATACAATATTGCTTTATATGAGTGCTATAAAACAATACAATGTTAGTTTACATAAATGCTCTTAACAATACAATGTTTGTTTATATGAGTGCTCTTATGATATAATATGGATTTATAGGTCTGCTCCTATACAAATACAAGGGTGTGAGGGTTGCCACAACATTTTCAAATCAAAAATCCTGAATTTTTCTCGAATTTAAAAGTGAAATGCCCTCGCAAAATGCATTGTTGTTGAATTAAACTTATAAAGGCAAGGGTAGTACTGCAATTGCATGTATCCACTGCCACATTTATTTATTTATTATACAGCGCTGATAGGGGAATTTACATTCTTGAGATTTTTAAGTTTTTTATGAACATACACCTTTTTTCAGAAAGTCAAATTTTCAACTTTCAAAATATTTCCTTCTATTTCCCATATATTTTTCAGAATTCAGGACGGAATTAATCTTTTATTAGACATTTTTGGAGAGATTTCACAATTTCCTGATTGTGGCAACCCTGATACCCCAAAAATATTCATAAACAATTCTTTAACAATACAATACTGAGTGCTCTTTATAAGAATACAATATAGAATAGGGACTATACATATTGAGTGCTTGTTACAGTGCAATATTAATTTATTTACATATAATGGATGTTTTGAACATTTTAAATTCAGACTAAGTAGCGCCCCTTAAATTACTTTATTTATGTACTCCCGTGTTATTGACAATACAATAATTTTGAGAGTCCTAAGAGTGCAATGTGACTCATACACAAGTGATTTTAACAGTGCAATATTATTTATAAAAAATATTGAGAGTTCTTAGAGTGCAATGTGACTCATAGTCTCATACACAAGTGATTTTAACAGTGCAATATTATTTATAAAAAATATTGAGAGTCCTAAGAGTGCAATGTGACTCATAGTCTCATACACAAGTGATTTTAACAATGCAATATTATTTATAAATAATATTGAGTCCTAAGAGTGCAATGCGACTCATACACAAGTGATTTTAACAATGCAATATTATTTATAAATAATATTGAGAGTCCTAAGAGTGCAATGCGACTCATACACAAGTGATTTTAACAGTGCAATATTATTTATAATAAAAAAATATTGAGTCCTAAGAATGCAATGTAACTCATACAAGAGTGGTTTTAACAGTGCAATATTAACTCGCAAATAAGCACCCTTGGCAATTCATACATAATGAATGTCTTTAACATAATACAAACATACCCTTGATAATACTCAACCATTCATTTATGCATCAAGATAAACATCCTTTATTGTATTTATTTAATCTTAATTAAGATCGGTCAATCTTGTCAAACTATACCATATTAATTTTTCATCAAAACTCACATCAAAACTATAATTTTTTTCAACGTAGTGGGCGCTCTAACATATATAAATGTGGTTTATAAAATACGATTTCACCGGAATAAAATATAAGTACCTGCAGTTTTGATTTAATACTTCCTTGGTTATAATTTCATAGTACATTTATAATTACAGTAGAAGTAGGACATATCAGATTTTCTTGTAATAAAGCCTCTTTGTAATTTGATCCATGGACTTAAAAGCACTTAATAATGTCCAAAATAATCTTCAAAATACTTATCTATTTTATGTCAATCAAGAAAGACCATTCAGGAGAGCTACAAAATTTCTATGTAATATTCTGTATCAATTTACAAACTATGGCAAATGAGCTGTTAATTTATATATTACAGCTCCATCAAAAATTATGTTTCACTTTCATGAAAATATCTAGGGCCTTACTGCAAGAAGATCTGGTGCCATAACTAAATATATATAATATATTAATAACACTTAACTCAAAACTACACAGACATCACATAACAATCACTTTTAAGTGTGGCAATTTGGCAAAATATACTTTTTGAATCTCTGAGTGTGAAAAGATGTCACTGTATGCAAAGAATCTTGTTTATAATAACAGGTTTATTTTCAAACTAAACATAAATTACGAACTTTGTTATATCAAACAGGCATTTGATAACCTTGACTAGAATGATAAATCGATACTTTTAAAATTATTGCTGTGTACCTTCTGCTGTGTTATATATAACCATACTCAGAGCTTGGTGTATTATATAAGCATACGTTTAAAGGGACATTCCAGGCCAGACCAATTCTATTCTGATAAGATAGCTTTAATCATATAAATACTTTCCATATTCAGCAAAACATTGGAAAATGTTTTAACATAGTTAATGTTGATCGAGATCATTTAAAAATGTAGTATTTCCAGTTAGCTGGTAATCTTTTAAGATTTCACTCAGGAAGTGATGGCGTTGACTCTCATAACCTTGCCGTAAAAAATTCTTTCAAAATCATGTAGTTTTTTACCATAGTGATTTGGGTCATTTTTGGACCAAAATTATCAAATATGAAGCCCACCTGGAAATTTTTTTAATTCGAACCCCCCTTGGCAAATTCTGGCTACGGGCCTGTAGTTACATACAGGGTGTTCCAAAAGTAACAGGACTGGTGCTGGAATTTTGTTGAACATGCACCAATCGTCTTCAAAATTGTACATAATACACTTTCATGTATTGTTACTAAAACTGCAAAGTTTCGACAAAAATTATGAAACTGGGGTAGAGTTATGGTTGCTATGGTAACAAGACATCACAATACCCGGGGCAACATTCCACGCAGAAAGTTACAGAGACTTAAGCATTTTGTACATCCCATATCAAAGTTAGAATCCAACAACTGGTGGGAATTAGATTTGCTAAATACATCATTTGATATTCCTATGTATCCTCTACTTTGAAATGTGGGGTCCTCTTGGGTCAGTCCAAGAGTAGCACTCTGTATCCATGACTCAAACACATGAGTGAACCCATTTGAGGCATGTCACGCAGAGTCGATAGGACAACTTGGAGAAGGTCATTCTCATCTTTAACGGTCTTACCGCGCTGATTAGCATTCCATTCTCCATATAAAAGTAAAAATTAGATATTGCATGATCAGAAGAGTATGGTGTATGGTCTTAGACCTCAAGACCTAGCTCTGCTATAGTTGCAGTGGCCTTTAATGCTGACTTGCGGGCAGGCGCCTTATCAATGTGGATGACTGGCTTCAAATTGGGTCTTTTAAAAAATTCAACAGTGAATTGTGCAGACTGTTATACATAATGAAATTTCAGGAAATTGAATAAATATTATTATTATGAAATCATACTTGAATCTGAGTTGTATAGGAACACCATATCTATAAAGCAACTAATAAAATAAACAAGAAATGTTGTATTGTAATAGGTGAATAAGATACTTTCTTCAGTAATATAAAAATGTTAGATATTACATTTTCATGAAAAAGTTGCCCCGGGTATTGTGATGTCATGTTACTATAGTAACCATAACTTTACCCGCATTTTATCATTTTTTCTGAAATTTTACAATTTTAGTTGCACTATGTCAAAGTACAATTTGTGAAAATTTGAACACACTCGGTGCAGAATTGACAAAATGCCAGCTCCAGTCCTGTTACTTTTGGAACACCCTGTACAGGATTAGGTTTACTAACTGAGAACAGTCTTGTAGAAATGTGATTTGTGTTATTTACAATATTTTTTGCAAATTATTCTGGTTTAAAGATGAGGGCACACACATTGTATATAGTACATTAATACAAATCACATGCAACACTACACAAATGGCATATGGTAAGGTGACGCAACAAAAATATGAGATAACCAGTAAAGAACTACATACATGTAACTAAACCTATGATCACCTCTATTTTATATTTTTCCATATTTTACTGTAAAAGAAAATGATATGAACTTACCTAATATTGATGTAAACTGAAACAATGTTGACACAAGAATGAAATATAAATGGAAATAAAACTTCAAAAAATAAATCTTCAACTCTTGGCAAACTTGTTGCTACGCGATGATCCTTTACATATAGATACAAGCCTACAAGGCATTATTATGCAACATGTCACCACCAGCCATTTGTTACAAATGCCAACAACCGAACACCATCCGTAAAAAATGGATACTAAAACAAAATGTCACCACTAGTCATGCTTGTGGTGGTGACATAAAAATATGTGAACTTATTGGGGTTAACACTTTTGCATATACAGTAACATTATTTGCCACTTGATAAAACAATTATTTAGATTGCACAATGCACAAAAAAACTATAAATCATAGTCTACAAAACTAAAGTAAGATTTTACTAAGAGACAACTTATAAATATCACATACAATCCGAACTGTGTTCTTGAAAATAATGAAGTGCACAATCAGTGACTAAATGGCACTTTTCTATTTAAATATGGCACTATTTCACTTAACATATAGCACTGTTTCACAGTGAGAAATGGTAATGATTCAGGACTCTTTAACATTCTCCAATTTTCAAAAAACAGAAATAGCAAAACATATTTTTAGTTGCTCTCTGTTCTCTGTTACTGTTACCTATTTCCCGACATCTGTTACCTATTTCCCCATATCTGTTACCTATTTCCCCACATCTGTTACATGTTTCCCCTCATCTGTTACTCATTTAACATACATATTCTTTGAGCAAGTTACAGTAATTATAGGCACTGGAGAAAGTTAAGCCTCTGTTTACCTGTAGCATTTACGTGCTATAAAAATACAAGGCATTAACATGCAAAATGTCCACACCTGTCATTTGTTACATACGACAACCGCCAAACACCAACTGCCGAACACCATCAACAAAAAGACTATAACAATATGTCCCCACTTCTGGTGGTGACATTATAAATTATCATTACTATTACAAAAAATAGACCAAAATATCAGGGTTTAGAATGGGACTATGAAAGTTAAATTCTGAATTCAATGAAAGTTAAATTCAGAATTCTTCGGATGAGTTTCTGGTCACAATTCGGAATACTTAAACTGGATGCAACTATCTTATTGGTTAAAATATGACAAATAAACGAAGTCTCTTATATATACTTTAAGTACTTTAACCTACATAACAACTTAACTAATTATATTATGCTATAACCTTATATAGTTTCTTAACAATGGAATACCAATTTACATGTAATGAATGTTTTTAACATTATATATTCAGACAAAAGTACCACACTTGATCAAACCACATTAACATTTACTTAGTGTCAATCACCAATTTTCTGTACTCAAACTTTGACAAGCCTTTTCCATACTCCAAAGTGTTAAGTAAGTGTTACTGTTGGGGAAATCCAGAGATGTTACCATGAACGCCATAATTTATAACTGAAATGTAAGAAAAACATGGTTTGATTAAATAATTTTGAGAAACTGGATAAAGATATACGGAGGTTATTTACTGGAAGAGAATTAGAGAATCAATATAGGTTTTATTCTGAGGGACAATATGATATTTCATGAGGGCCTCGAGGGCAATATATGTCACATGTAACAAACCCAATATTTAATCCGGACCAGTAAATATGGAAAACTTTTATCCCATGATATTCAACATCTAACTCTCTTCACAAAATCAATAGTTCAAAATCCATATCTCTGTCCCCTCAGTTTTATGCAAAAAAAAATCTCAAATTATGCGATGGAAATTTTAAAATTCTGGATATTATGCAAATTGATGCGATTTTCATTTTGTTGAGTTATGCAAAAATATCCGATCGATTTAACACAAGAAATTGAATGAAATGATGGCTGGATAGTTGATGAATGTGGCAGTCGAACTCGTAGTCAGAAAAAAAGTTAGGATCAGTATCATAGTCATATCAGCAGTTCATAGATTGAAAATAAAGCTACCGTTAATAGCTGTTGTTTCGAAATGATATAATATATATTCTCGTATATAACTGAACAAAGACACGCAGTGTTCGCGTTGACGCCGTTTTTTCTCGTTTTTACGGAAATTTCAAGAGGTTGGACGGAAAAATCAGAAATAACTTACGTCCTTGGGACGCAAAGATTCTACACCACCATCAGGTAACTTTTACTGCAGCGTAGAAGTGATAAAACATGATTTTCTGAAGAATTTTCAGATCGTCTACTTCCTTGATCTCGATAATGTTTATGTCGGCAAATCTGATTGGCTACGAAGTGTCTCAGTATATTCGCGGGGTTTCTAGTCTGAAACGCAGCATTTGATTGGCTATGGTGCCCTCCGAGTCATTCCGGAGTATACCGAAGCTGGATAATCTGTTGTACGCAAACATTAGTTTCAAAATTGAGAATTGAGACTTGTTTTTCACGATAACCTAATTACTTCCACTAGGAACCGTTAGATATCGATCTAATGTTATACATCAATATAATTATTTAATGATAGATCAACGTTTTTCATCTAAAAGTCGTCAGAGAAAGGAGAAATGTTATAAAAAGAAACAAAAAGTTCACGACCTTGACACGACCTTGAAGATCGCTGGTTGGTAAAATGTGAAAACAACTCTTAATTTGAATATTTCTTTCCAGTGTTTTCAGTAGGCTTGTCCAAAATTGCGTCCCTTGGACGTAATGATTTTCAAAAAATGCGTCTCCCTTCAAAAAACTGCGTCCCTTGAAAAAATGTTCCCGGGAATTCAAAAGTCACGTTTTTACACTGGATGAAATAAATTGATGAAATTTTGTACCACTGCTTTTGCTATTTATCGGTCTGAATCAGCGTTCTTGCAAGTCTAGTATGTCATTGAATGATACAGATACCATCATAACTTATATTCTCCCATTTAAAACACCTTTTCCTTGCGAATTTCGAAACAATTTGCTATTGATTTTGCTTTAACATGTTTAGTTTAGGGGCAATCTGCGCGAGGTTCAACTTTTTAGTTCAGTTTCTTGCGCATATGCAGTCTCAAATAATGATCACGTGATCACACTTGACCAATTGAAAATGGTTTGAATCAGGTCTTAAGCTACCGGCCAATCGTAGGACTCATACTGATTACTGCTCGGAAATCGAGTATTGTATAAATTTTTGTCCTATCACATGCCTCGTACTATTTCGATCAGAAATCAACTTCCGGGAAGGAAATTTCGAAAGAAAATTTTATTTCTTTTAGAAATAGAATTTTCTTCAATTATTTATTGGATTCTGACGAAATAAAGGGACTGAAGGTAAGATCTTTATCAAATCATTCATCCAAAGTTGATTGTATGAGTATGGCTTGCACTGCGTCCACAAAACGCAATCACTTTTTATTTCCGGGTCCATGGATTTTTCATTACGTTTTTGCAATACTTGGACGGCGTTATTGAAATAGCAGCTTTCATTCATTTCGGAGAATTTTGGTATAGCATTAGTAAAGAATTGTGTGAAAAGGACCAAATGATAGATATTTATCGGGAGAATGCATAGAATTACAATACATGTCATTTTATCCGGTTTTAGCGGAAGCACTCTATTATCGCCCACTTTACTTTCACTTTAATATTAATTAATAACAAAATATGAGGGACGCAAAAAATATTAGACGGGACTCACATTTTTCAAATGTGTTGCGTCCCTGGGACTCAGAAATTTAAATGGCTAGCGCGAACACTGGACACGGCATATGTGCAGTGAGATAAACTGCCGGATCCGGACCATTATCCGCAAAATACACCCCATCGCCAAGCTTCCGCTAAAAAGTTTTGAACGTAGAACTATGATTTCTTTTAATTTTGTCATTATTTTGATAAGGAACTGTTCAAGTAACACATATTCATTCCAGGTTAATCTATAAATCAATGGCTGAGTTGGCATTTTTTGCAAGTAAGTGGGGATTTTTGTCTTTTATGCAACTTTATGCGCTTGTGTGTGGATTATGCGGGCAAAGGTAAAATATGCGGAATTATGCTGCGGGCGCGTAATCGCATAAAACTGAGGGGACAGATATCTGCTTTTTGTGAGCAGGATGTTCTGTGTTTTGATTGGATGGAATATGATATGCTTAAACAGTAATCTCAACAGGATTTTTTTCATGTGGGCGCAGAATTCTCAGTTTCACATTTCAGAGCAAAATTGGTCAAATATGCCCATTTTTCATAATTTTTCACATTTTCAAACGGGTGCAAATGGATTCTCAGGTGGGTGCAAGCCTATTATCAAAATCTCAGGTGGGTGCCACGCCCACTTGCTATAATGCTGGGGTGATCACTGCTTAAAGCTATATGTGAATAAGATTTTCTGATCAAAAGAGATTATGCAGATTTCACTAGAATTTCTCACAATAGGCTAGATAAATGAAAAGAACAGGCAAAATTAATGGAAATCATATAAATTTAACATGGAAAACTTGAAAAGTCCATAAAAACAACAGGCGATTTTGCGAAAACAACAGGTGAAAATCGCTCAATCATCACATTATTTGAAAATCACAAACATAAAAACAGCAAGTAATTACCTATCTGACATATTTGGGGATGATGCACTGGGCCATGTCCCCCACGTGGCTCTTTGTGATACATAACCCCCCTGCTCCTGCCCCTGATGAAGAATTGGTCCTGTGACCCCCGTCTGACTTAATGGAAATGGCATGCTTTCTAATGGTGCTAAAGTGAACGCTGCATTCATCATACTTCTGTCCATTGGCCTCAATTGTGGGTTGGGAGCGCTGAGTGGCATATGAGCAATAGTGTGGGGTTTCTCCAGACCAATCGGGAAGGTGTTGATATTGTTTTGTAGTATAGGTTGAGGGACTGGAACAGGGAATACTGGAGCGGGCGTAGTATCTGTTGAATGACCCAGTTTAACTGAAACACATAAAAGGTGAAATTATTATATAATACTGTTAATATATATCAAGCAACTCCAACTCCATAGGGACAGATACATGTAAACATAAAACGTAAAATGAACACCTCTATCGGGAATGAACAGAGTAGAGAATGAGGTGGTGTGATATTTCAGCACCTCTATGGGGAAAGAACTGACGTACAAGTAGAGAATGAGGTGGTGTGATATTTCAGCACCTCTATGGGGAAAGAACTGACGTAGAAGTAGAGAATGAGGTGGTGTGATATTTCAACACCTCTATGGGGAAAGAACTGAGGTACAAGTAGAGAATGAGGTGGTGTGATTTCAAAGTATAAGTAATGTGAGCTCGTGTTCAATTTTGTTTTGTTTAATTTTCAATTCTATCTAAAGATGGCAGAGTTCAATCTTCAATTCAATTCGATTCAATTTACAATACATCAGTATGGGTCAGAGATCAGTTTTACACAAGTTGACAATAGCAATGCCATTGCATAGCAAATCTTAACAAACATCTTAAGCATCTGACAAGAATGCTAGCCATCATTTCTCAAAATCACCACCATACATAGTGAATTGCTAGAGGACCATGCCTTGTAAAATATAAACTTAATCATTCCTGCTACTTTTCAATAAAGAGTTTTGAGAGCTTTTGACATTTTTGAACACTTTCAAAAAGCTTCATTTGGTATATAATACATGTACAGCAGCCCTGTCAACCCTCACGCATTAGGCGTGATTGTCACGCTTTTGCTGGAAAAATAGAAATCACACATCAATTTAGCATGAATGATCAAATATCACGCAAATTACGCATTATGTTGGTATTTTTAAAAATCGTATTTTATGAAAAGCCGATATGGTAAAAATCCGAACGGCGAAAAAAGCGAACAAATTCCGTTTGGTCTTTGCACACCATTGCCATTTATTTCACATATTTGGTCCAAAAAATGTGATTATATCATGGATTTGTTTCGAAAATATTTACACCTATCCAACCCCCCCCCCACCTGTTGAGGGACTCAAAATATTTCAGGTGTCCTACATTGACCAGTGTTCAGTCCAATATGTGAAGGAAGGTGTTCAACATTTGCAAGTCACTCATGTTAGATGGTCCCAAGTTGACAGCCCTGGTACAGTGATATACAAAAGAGATTCATGGGTGCCTACCTAGACACACAGGCGCATGCCAATTAGCAGAAGATGCCAATGATACAGCATTTTTCAGAGTATAATATAAATGACATAAAATATTCCCATGCCTAACTTTGATGAACAAATATTTCCTACACCTCCTTGCTCAATCCTTAGAATCATACTTGCATTTCATTTTTATATCTCATGTTTTTGGTTCACGCAATATAATGTTGAACAATTTTAAAATGTGATGGAGGGATAGGACAATATGGGACACGACCCATCTAATAAAAGCTCAAGATCAAATGTGACATAGGGATATTTTTGTGTGAGCATGGCGAATAAACCTTCCAATAAAATTCAAGTTAAAGATCACGTTGTGGGTTTGAACCATTGTTTACCATTATTTACTTTACAAACAACTGAATATATAAATCATGCAATATTATATTTGAATGCCAAGAACCTGTATACTGTATGTACCTTACAAACACTTATCAAGATCACTTGCTGAATATATCAAATTGCATAATATGTTTTAGTTGAGTTCAACTGTACATGTTAGAACATGTAATGCAGATTTAGATGAATTATGATTTTATCTGAATGTGCAATGTATTGTGAACTAATTTAAAAAAATAAAAAATATGAATTATTATCATTTTTGCAAGTACAGCAGTACAGAGTGCCCTGGTGAACTCTATTTGACTCAAGACCAGTTCTTTATGGAGGTAACTGCCTGTAATATTTCTATGGGAAACATATGTAACTCAATCTTTAATATTTTAGTGAATAAAGGTTATTAAACTTGTCAACCTCTGTTAAATTAAATAATCATTAAAAAATTTAACACATGTGTAGCAGTAAAGAATTTTATCCTAAAACAACTTTTAAATGATAATTTGTATTTTGTCCAAATAGTTATTAGTGCAGATATTTTTTCAGTGGTAATAAATTGTTAAATATTTCAGTCGATATTTTTTTCAAAATACTGTACTTCAACTTAATTTGGCGCTACTTGTTTTGGCGGATTTGCTGTTTCGAACATTTGGCGGCTACATAATTTGGCGGACTTGCAATATTGAAATGTATCTACTTTATATATTTCTGACTGAAGTATGAAATATTGAATTTGGCAGCTACTTAATTTGTTAATTTAGTGGACTTAAACAACATGGCATTCCGCCGAATTAAAAGGGCTGCTAAATTAAGTAGAAGTACAGTAGTTTTCAGGAGCATGAACCAAGATATATTAATCAATTCATGTAAGCCTAATTAATACAGGTGTGGCAACAATATTAATGAAAATTTGTTACCTAGAGTCCATTTCACTGTTTAACTGCGTCAGTAAAAGCTAAAAAATAAGAAATCAAAATAATATATGGAAAACTATATTCCTACTGTACATGAATGACATTTGTATATATTGGATTGCTTCTAGTTTGGCTTATAAAGTGTGTGGCCTCTTATATTTGGATGCTTCTCTGCCATGTTATTTTCAATAAGATTAACATGGCTGAAATTCTTCAAATTACAAGACGGCACAGGCTTATTGCACAAAAAACTAAAAATCTGAAATACACAAATGTCATTCATGTACATTATGAATATACTTTTCCATATATTATTGCACAATGATCTCCCAATTTCTTATTTTTGCCGTTCTACTGACGCAATGAAGCAGTGAAATGGACTCTAGGTATTTATTGTTGAATTTGAATTGAACATGGGGTAAAAGGTATGCAGCTAAGCACTGTCATAAAATGTTTATTTTTGAACATTTGAATTTCATATTTCATCTTTATATACAGCAGATTGTCATTATAGAGAATATCAAAATGTAAGGGCATCCAGCAGTCTCCCAAGATTTATTTTGATTTGGTACTTTATAACTTTAACCCCCTTCCTATGCTACTTAGTAAAGAGCATGACTGGGGAAGTTAACTAAGATATTTGATCTGTGAGTTAACTTAAATTGTAATAAAAAGTCTGCATTTCAAAGTTTTATAACTAGCAAGTTAATTGGAATGATTGAGAAGGGAACAGAAGTTGATGCTTTAATAACACTTTTAACACGAGGTTAATGTGACCTTATAGAAGTTGATTCAAAGCAAGCATAATGTAGCTATCAGTTGTATACTTTGTTGTATTATCATTTTCTAGTGAAACTGGTGATTAAACAAGTAGAAATTGCAAATCAAAAAATAGCTACATTTCTCACTAGAGTTCTTTGTTGAAGTAGCAAGCAACCCAACATGAACCCCTAGGCTTACAGTATACATGTATAGTACTACAAAATAGCAATGACAATCTACTTTCCACTTGATAGATCATTTTTTCACTTTACCTCAAGAGTATTAAACTGCAAGTTTCTACACAAGAGCCCATTTTTCACTTTGCCCACATTCATGCACTCATAAATGTAGGCTCAAGTACAAATTGCAATAACAATGTGTCCCCATAATAGCTCATTTTTCACTTGGCCACCTAACATGCAATCCTAAATGCAGGCTCAAATGCAAATTGCAAAGGCGGTGTGTTCCACATAATAGCTCATTTTTTCACTTGGCCACCTAACATGCAATCCTAAATGCAGGCTCAAATGCAAATTGCAAAGGCGATGTGTTCCACATAATAGCTCATTTTTTCACTTGGCCACCTAACATGCAATCCTAAATGCAGGCTCAAATGCAAATTGCAAAGGCGGTGTGTTCCACATAATAGCTCATTTTTTCACTTGGCCACCTAACATGCAATCCTAAATGCAGGCTCAAATGCAAATTGCAAAGGCGATGTGTTCCGCATAATAGCTCATTTTTTCACTTGGCCACCTAACATGCAATCCTAAATGCAGGCTCAAATGCAAATTGCAATAGCAATCAGTTACTTAATAGCTCATTTCTATCTTCACTTGGCCACCAAACAGGGCACAGGCACTCCTAAATTTTCACTTGGCCACCTAATAGCATGCAATCCTAAATGCAGGCTCAAGTGCAAATTGCAATGGCAATATGTCACATTTAATAGCTCATTTCTTCACTTGGCGACCCAACTCGCATTCCCAGGCTAGAATGCAAATTGCAATGTAAATGTCAATGTGTCTGACTAAAAGGTTCATTTTTCACTTGGCCAACCTATATGCACATCTATGCTTAACAAATGGATCAGAAACACTACAAAACAGTGTCACATAGACATTTGTAATGACAATTTTACCAGGTAGTTACTTGAGCTTATTACACTGCTAAGACACCCAAGCTGGATGAATAAGGCTAAGATGGTTCCAATTCAGCTTAAAAACAGACACAGAAAAATTAAACAATGTGTGTCTACAAAACTGGCAATTGCCCATCATAAAGCTTTTTTACATATGAATTATAGCTTATTTATTGGCCATGTGTCAAATCATCCATCGAGAGTTCAGCAGAATCTTGCTGCAACATGTTTCAATCTGTACGAGTAAGGAGCAAGGGGGGGGGGGGGGGGGGGGGGGGGTGCTGCGATTGGTAAAGGTTGGTCAAATTAGCATTTTTAACCAAAATTGATGTTTTTGTTAGAAATTGGCAATTTTAGCCCTCTTCGAAAAATCAAACTACCCTGACAGGCCTTGTACATGGTGAGGAACATTTACCTCACTAAGTGGGGCACATTACCGCACTCAGTGAGGCACATTACCGCACTCAGTGAGGCACATTACCGCACTCAGTTAGGCACATTACCACACTCAGTGAGGCACATTACCACACTCAGTGAGGCACATTACCGCACTCAGTGAGGCACATTACCGCACTCAGTGAGGCACATTACCGCACTCAGTGAGGCACATTACCGCACTCAGTGAGGCACATTACCGCACTCAGTGAGGCACATTACCACACTCAGTGAGGCACATTACCACACTCAGTGAGGCACATTACCACACTCAGTGAGGTACATTACCGCACTCAGTGAGGCACATTACCACACTCAGTGAGGCACATTACCACACTCAGTGAGGCACATAACCACACTCAGTGAGGCACATTACCACACTCAGTGAGGCACATTACCACACTCAGTGAGGCACATTACCACACTCAGTGAGGTACATTACCGCACTCAGTGAGGTACATTACCGCACTCAGTGAGGCATATTACAACACTGCCTTTGACATAACCACATGACAAGCATTCGGGAGCATGATAAATTTTTTCATGGTGTGACATTGTAGCGAAATGTTAAAAAGTAAAGTGCTTAATAGCCTTTCTTATCAGTCAATGAAAGGTGAGCATCTTTTTAAATTACATACTCTTAACAAATGTGAACAAAGTGCACAAGTTCAGTATGATCTTGAAGTCAGCTGCAAATAAGCATGTGTAATGTTACAGTCTAATGGGATTTATCGCAGGGATCATTTAGCAAGGATCTTATGTAGGTTTAATGATATGTGTGTTGATTACCCATTTGTTATTTAAATTAACAAGTTCAAGTAAAGTTCACACTGTAAAAAAGCGAGTACAAACTCTGTGAGTAAAGAATGTTGCTAAAATTTCCCAAAATTAATAAATACAGAATGTGTGATGTAATTTATTGGTATTTGTTAAAAGATGTTAGTCTAAACAGTAAACAGTGATCTGCTGGGTGTTGAGCTAGCATATGATAGCATATTTATAAATTGTAACTAACATCTATATTGTTGCAAACCAAAACTACATTGTTGCAATTGCCAATCCACTTTCTTTACAACTCAAACAATGAACAATTTATTGCCTTTTTGGAAAGTGAATATGTCAAAATATGCACTACTGAAAGATAAGACGGAGAGAAAACTACTCTACAAAACCTTTTGCCAAACTGAGTTCATATTTATGTCACCAACATTTTTGAGGACAGCGGTTTGTGTTTGGTGGTCGGTGTTACAGCAGTCGGTGTCTGGGAGCCTGGGAGAACATGGCACAAAATGAACAGTATTGCATGAAAAGATTCATAAGATTTATTGGAAACTGAGAGTGAAGATGAAGCTCTCTTTTAAGAATCAAAGTGGAATGAATGCAAAGGATACACCCAAAAGCTGCATTTGAAAATCACGATACCATAAATTTTCAGTTTTGTGACCAAGGGAATTCCGTTCCACTTTGACAGGTTTTACTGTATTTGCTTCCATGTCAACAGATATTGGGACTTAAACATGAAAAAATTCAACTGTGTTACCATGACAATGAATTATAATTTAGATCAGTGCTTAATATTATGCAACCAGGTAATGCCTGATTCAGTACCCTGCGTGCAGAGTCTAGTTAAACTACACTCTGCCTAGTAGAGACCATATTACAGTTTAGTAGCGCCGCCCCCATGATGGGTACCAGTGACAGTTTGGGTAAATCACTTTTGACCTACGCGCTGACCTTCCGCCAATCAGCGAGCTCGAAGAAACATACGGCAAATGCGTTCTAATTAAATATGCGCATGTCATTGGTCAATTCCGGGCTCAACGATGACGTCAGAAGGAATGACTATGTAAAGAACGTCGGTCAAATTTGGCCGACGAACACTGATTGGGGCGGTGAGTTCACAGGTTTATTTTAGTTTGAAAGAGTGAAGACGAAGCTCTCTTTTAAGAAGTGAAGTCAAACGAATGCAAAGGGTACTGATTCAGTGAAGATGTAACCTCATGAATTTTTACTTTACTGTTTATGCAATATTTTTGATTTACTGTACTCCTGGTAATTTTTGCGTGATACTATTTTTTCGCAAGTTTTGGAAAATTATATTGGAAATATAATAGCCACAAAATTCTTACAGTTCTAATTCCCAAAATATATATACACAGGCTGGTATCGAAATATTTGTCCGCTGTGACGGAGCATGCTATTTTTCATAAAAACACTAAGAATACTTCACGATTTATTTTTTAACTCATATGTTTCGTTATACCATACAAAATTACTTACTCCATGCAATGGATATATCATCTGCGGGTAACTTTCACTTCTGTTTGAAGTCCAATTACGATGGGAAGAAAAGCTATTGAAAATGGCGCCGGAGTATCATACTTCAAAATGTACCATTTCTTGTTTAACTTTCTAATGGCACGATATAGTGACACGATAATATTTACACATGGTTTCAGCATAACTATGAAGGTATAAATGAGATGTTGATGTATTTGGTCTTTTAAATTCTTTTATAAAAAATAATGTTTAATTTTTTTGTCCGCTGTGACGGAGCAGTTGCAAATGTGAACTGTGAAAATTCGGACAGCGGACAAAAAATATTAATATTATTTTTTATAAAAATATTAAAAAGACCCAATGCATTAATATCTCATTAATACATTCAGATTTATGCTGAAAACATATGTTAATATTATCGTGTCACTATATCATGCCATTAAAAAGTTAAAAAAGAAATGGTACATTTTAGAGTTTGATACTCTGGCGCCGTTTTCAATAGATTTTACTCCTAGCGTTATTGGACTTCAAACAGAAGTGAAGGTTACACGCAAATGATATATCCATTGCATGGAGTAAGTAATTATCTTTGAGATAACGAAACATATGAGTTAAAAAATAAATCGTGAAGCAGATTAGTGTTTTTATGAAAAATAGCATGCTCCGTCACAGCGGACAAATCTTTCGATACCAGCCTGTGATATAATAGTCACATAATTCCCGGGAATTTATTTCACTAGATATTGCCGATATCGCGTCGCCCACAATGTAAGTCAATGGGACGGAAAGAATGGCAGAAGGACCAGTTTTAACTTTATCTGATTTTGTTAAAAAAAAATCAGTGAACTACCAACACCATTTGTAACCCCGTGTTAAAGGGCCGTTGTAATCTGAGAACATTCCAGGGTCTTACCTTAACTTTTTTTACCAGTAGCAAGGATTTGCTACCTTCTACCAAACCAAGGAGCAAATTCCCATATTCAGGTAGCAACAAATATGCTCCAAGAAAATATTATCAGGTAGCAAATTGGTCCTCAAATTCTATTCATGTCTTATAACGAATCCCCGGTTATTTCTCGCCTTTTTGCACTGAACGAAACAACCATTTTTACATTCAAGAGTCGTCTGAGAACAATTTGTGGTTTTTCAAACCAAAATCCGAATGTTTCCATTGAAAATAGGAGAATGAATCATCTAATCCTAATAAAGGTAGTATAATCAATTGGGGGGGGGGGGACAAATTGATGAAACATGGTATCGTGCAGGCGACATTTTTTCAGCAAGAAATTCTGTTTCGCTAAAGCGAGTAAAGTCCAGTCAGTGATGTTGTCTTATTTTGTTTCATTTTGAGATCCGTATCAACCAATCAGCGTTGAGGTTGTATATCGCTATCGGAAACACAATGAAAAAATATCGGGAGTGGTAAGTTCCATTGATTCTATGCAATAGAAGGGTTGAAATACGTGAGATTCGTTGCGTAAATTTGAGGTAGCAAGCATTTGCTCCCAGCCACGAAGTTTTTGGAGCAAAATGTGAAATCAGTAGGGGTGGGACGGATAACCGAAATACCGAAAAACCGCGGTTCATAGCCTTCGGATCGGTTTTCGGATCACGGCCCTACTTTCGGATCAGCTTTTCGGATCGTTTTCGGATTAATATTTCATTGGTCAAGTATCAATAAAACAGTTAAAAACACTGTTTTACAGCAACATTTTTGATATTCCTAGTCCCTACCTTGTCTGTCTTGTCTGTTGCTAGCTCACTCGTTTACTAGATTCGTTTCGTATCCGCGTATTCGTATCCCTCGGTAATCAATCATGTGGTCCCTGGTACTATATTCTTTAGTCGTGTATTCTAAATAATATGTATTGTTCATGAAATACTATAACATAAAATTCCATCTATAGAATATTGTTATAACGTGGCATAATTGATACAAATCATGTCAATCAATACAAATCCTTAAAATGAATGAACCGAACCGAAAAAACCGAACCGACGGCTGATGATCCGAAAAACCGAACCGAACCGTCCCATCCCTAGAAATCAGGTAGCAAATTTGCTCCTTGCTACCGCTAAGATCGAACCCTGCATTCTTGAAAACTGAAACACCCTGGTATACAATCAAATATACTTACCCATTTCTTCGTCTTGTTGTCGACGTCTTCGTAATGCTATTTGAGCAGCACTTATCTTCTGTTTTTCACCAAGTAGACTACACAATCTACACTGACAGTCTCTGTGTTTACAATACGCTTTGTGATACTTCAATGGACTTATGTCTCCATGATTTTTACATCGAGCACATTTTTTAATGTTTTTATTGGTCGATGAATCTGATTGTTGGAGAGTCACTGAAAGTTACATTAAGATGCATTAGAAACATATAGAGATATCAATTTATCACTACACGAAGAGTAAGATAAGTCACAAGGGCAACCATAAGAAAACAAACCAAAACTAATCTATCCATATGTCTCAAGATACAATGAAAAGACACAAAGGGCAACATAAGAATAGGAAAACACAATTCCTCCAAATCAATACATGAAGATGCAATGAGAAAACACAATAGGCGACATACAAAAACACAACTCCTCCAAATCAATACACAAAGATGCAATGAGAAAACACAATAGGCGACATAAAAAAAAAAAAACTCCTCAAAATCAATACACAAAGATGCAATGAGAAAACACAAAAGGCGAAATACAAAAACACAACTCCAAATCAATACACAAAGATGCAATGAGAAAACACAAAGGGTGACATACAAAAACACAACTCGTCCTAATCAATACAAAAAGATACACTGAGAAAATGCAAAGGACAATATAAGAAATCAGAAGTCCAGTGACTTATATATAAAGATACAATTGCGAACCAACAAATAACAATAAATGAAAATGATAATGAAAAGGGGTAACTGAGAATTCTGAACACACTGAAAGGGCAAAAATGATTTATACCATACTTCTTTTTACTTTACATGTAGCCTTACCCAAATTGTAGATGAAATCATCCGCCAAGGCTACCGAATTTTGTCTGCGGCTTGTGTTGATCGCAGCATTAATGGTTTGTCTTTGCGTAATTAGTGTACATTTCTTACACATGCACATCCTATACGGGCAGACTCTCTTGTGCCCTTTCAAGTCTTTTATCAAGTCATGGTTTTTACACCGATTGCATTTTGGCTTGTCTTTCGACATTTTTCTTGGCAAGTACAGCCAAAAGCTGCGTCTGTCCTCAGCTTTTCAATGTCTTTCGTTTATTGCAGGCTGAAATTGAAATCATTCTGATTAGTTACAGTATAAAACAAGATAAACAGCAGTGATCTCCCCAGCATTAAAACAAGTGGGCGTGGCACCCACCTGAGATTTTGAAAACAGGCTTGCACCCACCTGAAAATCAATTTGCACTCCCCCCTTGAAAATGAGAAAAATCATGAAAACTGACATATTTTCACCAGGCCCGTAGCCATGGGGGGGGGGGGGGGGGGGGGGGGTTCAGGCGAACCCGAACCCCCCCCCTGGCCAAAATTTCTTTCAAAATCATGCAGTTTTTCACCATTCTGACTAGTTTTTGAGTGATTTTTGGCCAAATTTGCCAAAGTGACCCCCCCTAGAATTTTTTGGAAAAGTGAACCCCCCCTTGGAAAATTCTGGCTATGTGCCTGTTTTCACCAATTTTGGTTTGTATTTAGAAAATAAGAATTGTGCACCCACTTGCACTCCCCCCAGTTTTCTGCAAGTTAAAATGCTCAATTCTGCAAGTGAAATTAGTGAATTCTGCAAGAAGAAAGGGCTAATTCTGCAGAAATTCCGCGGATATTCGCGGCATTTTTTTATATAATATAAATAACTGTTATTAATTTATGTCTTTGTTTAACTTTCTGACGAGAACCGAAAGAAAAACTAATGGTTTTCGAACCAGTAAACGGGAAAATATCGTGATAGTCAGGTAGTCAGTCACTACATACATGCTGCCATCTAACGGCAGAAATCAAACGATGGCGTTTAGAATTTTCACTTCGCATAATTTGGGTTATTTCTGCAAGGGATTTGACTGAAAACGTGTCAAATTGTTACAGGTAAGACTGACTTTTTAAACTTTTGGAAAATATATGGATTCTGCGGAAAATTCCGCGGAAATTGACCAAAATAGTTGATTCTGCAATTCCGCGGGCAGAGGCAAATTCCGTCCGCGCTCTGCAAACACGGAATCCTGGGGGCAGTGCACTTGAGAAAAAATTCTGTGGAGAACACTGCAGGCATAATGATAAATATTGGAACATTTTATCTCATAATTTAAAATGGCCATCAAGTTATTTACCCAGCATGCCCAAAACCTAATAATCAAATTTTTACCTTAACAACATCAATATGGAATATATTCAGCAAAATGTACATGGATGAATTAAGAGCATTTTGGACAAATTCTATCCCAATGCCATACGACTTTCTAGATATTTATAGCACTGCATTGTACATGTATATCTTGATATTTTTATGGAATGTCAGATAAAAAAGTAAACTGATAAAACATTCACATTTTACATGTGAACTGATGACGACAATGGTAAAACTTGATTTCAATCAATCGCATCACCCAAATTTTAAATTTAGATGTATAAGTACAATAAACTAAGAAGAATTCAACTCTCATGTTCTTATACTGCTGATAGTGTTGATTGCATGAATCTGTTCCTATTACATCTCTAAGAAGTTGAGATGAACAGGTAACTTGTTTCCTTTAATTTGATGACAAGATTTATGCCTTACACCTGGGTAAGAAACACAGGAGAATTCCCAAAGCTGACATGTCACAGTGACCTTTAATGACCAACTTATAAATGGAATCTGAAACTGATCTCAGAGGGTTGAATCGGTTGATGTTGTATCATTTTAATTCAAGTGAAATATATGTCAATTGAAACATTAGCAACAGAAATTCATCATTCCATGATTCCTCCTAATTATACATTCTGAGGTTGATTCATGATTGAAACTTATTTCTAACTTCACATAAAATTTAATTAGGATGAATCTCCAATCGGATTACGGTTTATCATTGTAAATTGTGTGAAAGACTCTTATACCTCAAGACCAAAAAAACAGAATTTATAAAAATGTCTCAACTCACCAACTGTTGAGCCTCTCAAATCCATGCTGACATAAATACTGTAATTTGTTAATATTTACTTTATTAAAAAACATTGTGTCAACTTGTTGGACACTCTGACATTGTAGTTTCAACAAGAGTCACTGTATTGGTACAACAATGTAGCAAAACGTTACTCTAATTTCATGAGTTATTAAATTATAGGATAAAGTCATGCTAAAAGGCATCGTGTTTTCCGCAATCTTGTCATTGTTTTTAGCTTGTAACATAAAACTGATCAATAAAAACTAAAAATAGCACGTTAACATTTTACAATTTTTACTTCCTACCAAGAACATTTTGATCTTGTGATCATTTTGAGTGATATCATTTTCATCGAGTTGATATCAAATGTCAACATATGAGTTTAGCAAAGGGAATGAAAATTGGCTAGACACTCGGGTACTTCGGGCCATTATTTCAAAAACCAATCAAATCACTAGATTTTTAAATTGAACAGTCGAAATATAATGGCAGACCGAAATCGATCGAATTCTGTATTTCCCAAAATTTTGACCCAAATCTGGATGATGGCAAAAAAGTCGCCCATGCATATTATGGATAAGGTAATGATGCATGTTGGGATTAAAATTGGAATTTATCCAAAATTTGTGAATTTGTACGAATCAGGATAAATTTTATCCAAATCCCAATCTACCTACGTCCTACATAGGTAGATTAATTTTTGGATAAAATTAATCTGAATTCCAATGTAATTTGGATAAATCTTGGTTCCCTAGAGGATCGTATCGCCAAAATATTTATCTTGATCGATCAATAGGCCTAATCCAGAAAAATAAAATGAATTCTGATAAATTCTCAGATCGTACATTCTCAGATCGTACAAATTCACGGACCCTGATGTTAGTCACAATTAATCAAACTAAACCAGAACTGGGGCAGCCCCAGGGGGGGGGCATCCCAAGGCATCCATATTCAAAACCCAGATAAAGTTTTTTTTCATCCAGAATTTGTATTGTCAAATATTTTAGTCAATGCACTGAGTAAAATATGATAATATCTCTTTGTTATTTATCTTAGAGCTTTGTTTGCATTTGATTTTTACTGTCCACTCGAGCTGAGTGCCGGCTGAGTGACACATCAAATGACATGTGCGCGGAAAAAAATTAGAAAAAATCTTGAAACTATTTGAATGGATTTCAACGTTTACATGTCAACTTCAAATAAACGACCGCTTTCGATAGATATATTATTTACTCTTATTAACAATATTACACTTGCAGTTATTGCAAAACAATAGGATCGAGGAATAAATAACAAAATGTTCCACTTACCAAGTTTAAACACTTGCCGCTCAAAATGGCGAAATAAATGCGCCACCTATTGGCGAATAATTTATGACTATGACTTCCTGCTGAACAGAACGGACCACACGGACACAACAATGCAATTTTCCTAATTCCGAGTACTGCTCAGTACTGCTTTCATCATGGAATTCAAAGGCGCTAGAAGTCCATGATTTCATCTTCTTTAATCCGTTCAGCTACCAACTGGAGTTGTGTAAACAGGGACATAGCATTGTTCACTGGCGGATTAGGGGGGGGGGGGGGCCTGGGGGCCCGGCCCCCCCCCCTTGGGTGGGCCCAGAAAAAAAAATTGGGCCAAAAAAAAATTTTGGGCCAAAAAAGGCCTTAAGGCCCCCAAAAAGTCGGCCTTTTTGGTCATTACTAGGCCTTTTAAGGCCTTATTTTTTTAATTCAGGCCAAATTTTGAAGAAAATGGGCCTCAAAATTTCAAAATTTGGGCCCACTTTTGCGTTTTAGGGGCCCAAAATTTTTTTCCGCGCAAGCGCGGACGTTTTTTTCTCTGACCTGAAATTTGGGCCCCCCCCTCTTGTTGGTTCCCACATCCGCCCCTGTTGTTAATGTTGTTAATTAATTCAGGCCAAATTTTGAAGAAAATGGGCCTCAAAATTTCAAAATTTGGGCCCACTTTGGCGTTTTAGGGGCCCAAAATTTTTTTCCGCGCAAGCTCGGACGTTTTTTTCTCTGACACGAAATTTGGGCACCCCCCACCTTGTTGGTTCCCAGATCCGCCCCTGTTGTTAATGGTCTAGTTTAGCCTGCAATTTATAACTGGCTCATCTGTGTTGAAAATAAGTTGGCATATTTTTTGCCTAATTATGGTTCCACTAGGAGGCTACTCGTTAGGCTTTTTCAGCCGCCGTTTTTCAGGTACAGAACTCATCCCAGGGGCGGATCTGGGAACCAACAAAGGGGGGCCCAAATTTAAGGTAAGAGAAAAAAAACTTCAAAATTTGGACTGCAATTTAAAAAAAGGCCCTAAAAGACCAAATAATGACCAAAAAGGCCCATTTTTGGGCCTTGAGGCCTTTTTGCCCAGATCCGCCAGTGCATCCCACGTAAGGGAACATGGGGCAAAACGGCCCTAAAAATTTAATTTAAAGTTGTTCTGTACGGGGTATTTTCTTATCTGTCAATCATCGCGCACTCTGATGTTCCACTTTATCAATGGTTTGTGGTTTACTTTTTTCGAGTGTTTTATACTTTCCTAGGACTATCTTCTGTGATTTTTCAATGGTCAAAAATAGTGTCGAGAGTGGGGCAAAACGGCCCATGGGTGGGGCAAAACGGCCCACCCTCTGTTACATGGGTTTTAAAACCAGAATTAATCAATTACAAGACTCGTCCACACACACATTATCTCAGACGTTTAAACCTTTGACAGATAAAGTATTCTTAACCCCTACCATAATTCTATAGTCATTCGATATGTGTCGGAAGAAAATAAGGTACGAGCCAATTTGTTAAAATCGTTATATTTGGAAACCAATTGTTCTTGCACAATAAGATTTTTGTATGTTATAACATGTGTGGGCCGTTTTCCCCAAAGACTTGTGAATTTTCAAATAGACGTCATTTTAATTTGCCTAATATTTGAAGCTCGAAATTTTTACAAATAAAGAATAAATGTGTATACTCTATGTAAAATGTTAAATCAAAAAGATATTCTATTGTTGCCGGATTTTTTAGAGATTCTCGTGGGAGAGGTACTTTACAAAAAGAGTGTGAGAAGTAGAATTACCTCTTACTTAAAGCGAGACGCTGCTTGGTTAAAAATGGGCGGTCGAGAAGGTGGCAGAAATTCCAAAATTCGATTATGTGACTTTTGAAGAACCATCTTTTTAAAGTTCAAAAGATATTTCGATGGGCCACTTTGCCCAAGAGGGCCGTTTTGCCCCATGTTCCCCTATATAGATTAATTCGTTTAGAATTACTAATTTCCTACAGTGTATAAAATTGTGAAAATTCATTGACCTACTTTTTCAATGAACTAAAAAGGAGCCGTCGCTGAACTCGAGTCTTCATCTATTTTTTTATACAGCCAAAAATTGCACCCAACTGACACAGTAATAACATTTTCCATCATCGAACATTTTCAGCATTTAAAATTTCTTAACTTACTGTGAAATACATTTTAGATAACAAGAAGTAGAAGAAAACGACAATTAAAACTGGCCGCATCGGGGAAATGATCACTTGGAAAACTTGATGACAAAGATATTCATATCACTTAAATTTAGTCATATTCGGAATGCCATCTATTCATTCAAAAGTAATTTAAGAACACATTGGTGAAAAGTGCAAGCCGCAAGCGCCTCTAATAATCTCTGAACTTCTGATCACTTTTTTAGTTCCCTTTGCATTCGTTCGACTTCGCCTCTTAAAAGAGAGCTTTGTCTTGAGGTTAACTAGGTAGGGAGTTTGATTTTTCTCCTTTCAATATTTACACATGTTTTCACGTGAAAAGTAAAGGAATTATTAAGCACATAGCTCAATAAATGTGGATGATTTAAAGGCAGAATCAGATCTATAGGCAGGGGTGACAAAATTGCAAGCAAAAAGTTATATTTAACCAACCAATGCATCCATTATAAGCTGAATCATAATATCTCCCAAAAGATCCGACATCTGTTATGAAGATGGGGAAGTTGTTAGATTCAAACACAAAGTACAAAATGAGGGGAAAATGTTTAAATTCTTCCAAATAATAAAAAAATGGTAACCACGGTAAAAATCGTTTCCCTTTCCTCAAATAAACTTTACACTTTGGGCATTTTTAGAAATTATGACAAGGACTGATTTGACCTCAAAATATTCGTCAAGATCATGATGAAGATAATGATGGATCATTGCTTAATCTGATTCTGCCTGTAATGCAATCATGGCTTGTATCCTATAGCCTTTACTACCGCCCTCATTCAAATTATTGATGCAAGACTTTCGTGATTCAGTGATTCAATCATCCACAATTTATTAAGACCCAGTGGCCCGGGGATTATGGTTCCCCTTCTTAACGGCCCTTACTGGCCCTGATTGTGTATAAGATGATAAGGGAAAGAGGTCACCATATAAATCAATGGAAAGTAGGACCATATAATTTGATCACATCCTCTTCAAAGTAAGCATTGGTTGATAAAAGAATTGGGAGGGTTAAGGAGATTGATTCAGTACTAGATCTTCTTAAGAACTTGGCACTTCATTGTAATCGAAATACTACAAGGCCGCCTAATATGTACGATAGAACACAAGTAGGGTGTGAATGTATTCTTATCTTTGCAGCTCATAATTTGAAATGAAGAATCTTCGTACAAGAGTTTTTGTTAAAGCCTAACGCATCTCTCGCTTCGCGCATTCCCATACATACCCACAAAACACGTTGGATAGATCAATTTACGACGTAACAAATTAAAGGGAGGATCAGATCCATGGGGAGTGACAAAATTGCAAGCAACATGTACAGTTAACCCGGGAGTTAATATTCCAATATATTCCTTACAATCTCAAATATGGTATCTCCCCGGCGAAAGATCCACGACATGTAATGCAAAATGTCACCACACGCCGTTTGTTACAGATGCCAAACGCCGAAAACAAACTTCAGAGCGTTGACTGCCGAGCACCGTCCACCAAAAGTTGGAGAGGATAGCAATATATTACCACTTCTAGTGAAATGATTAATTCCAAAATAATGAAACTTTCAGATTTGATCAGACATTGGATTGAGGTCATTTGTTTCAAACATGAAGCACCAAAAATCTTAATAGTGCCAAATTAATAACTTTTTAGAGATCCATTTTTGTTGTACAACCTGTATTAGGGTCCTACTAACAATGTCTGATAAGAGCCTTTAACATTAGAGAACGTGTTATCAAAGATAGGACACAATGATCTCGAATATTTCAATAACATAAAACAAGCGGCAGATGTAAGTAAAACTAAGAAATATCAAGATACTTAAGTATATTGAATAATACTGAAGATGTTTCCAAAGATGTGATATATCTTCATATCTCGTATCTAGGCTACATATGGGAAGATAGGTCACTCATAAACCATATCAAAACCCTAGCCGCACGGGACATGACTTTCGATTATTTGGCTCTTCCATAAAACAGATACCACGAACAATGAGCTTTATACTTTGGATATGCATCATTGGATTCCTCGTTCAACCAGGGAAATCGCAGGATGAAGACCTCATGGATATATTATTACCGTATTCGTCTTTCGCACGCGGGCCGCATTTCTCACATAGACACGTTAGGGACTGTCAACCTGTAAAATACGGTAACGTTACTCACGAAACTACGTTACCTGGAGCAAAAAACGACTCTGTCCCTCTGATTGAAACAAAATATTTTACAACACCAAACGAGATTTCTCAGGGTCACGTGACATTTGTGCAAGATCCCGCGAGACACGTGTCTGTTTTAGAACCCGGGAAGGAAGGAGGCTGCACTGCAGAGAACGACGGAAATGTATACATATTTTGATTTTTTCCAGAATAATTTCATTTTGACCTAAGGTTTCCCGATTTTTTATATTTGCGTTGCCCATTTGTTTCAACATGGGTATTCTGGCCTACATAATAGATTAAACTGATATACACGTATACATATTATATGCATTTATCTTTCGTAGTTCAAATTAAAGATAAAAATGAAAAAAATATATTTAAAGTAATATCGTCATGCTTCTCTCTATCCTATATCGTACTTAATGATTGTATAATGAACAATTCTCACTAACATGATATTTACCAAAATGGTACCTTGCAGTACACCAGAGCAACAGTGGCTAAAAGCGGAGAAAGGAAAAAATGTCTTGTAGCTGTAAATGCGGGTTTCTTTAACACTACAACAGGAGACTGTTATGGTACGTCAAACGCCCCTCTTCTTCCCCATACGTTTGGGAACTGGAAGTCCCCGTACGTGCATAAGCAGATAAGCAGATGTGTTAAAACCATTTCATGTGGAAATCATTTTTCTTTCTCAATTTTCTCAATTACAATATTACAATACGTTGGAAGTTTGTGACGAATTAGATAGAATATGTTTAAATGGCACATTACTTTTCCGTACATCCAGCCATTATCCTTTTCAGCTCATTTAGCAATTCATAACTTTATTAATCTATATTAGTAATTATCTGTTTTATGTCACCCCCACAAGTTATGGCATATCTACACTGCGCGCAAAGTCTAGTTTTAAACTAGAAGACGAAGCTCTCTTTTGAGAAGCGAATTCAAACGAATGCAAAGGGTATGGTATATTATTATAGTCTCCAGCTTTTTTGAGGCCGGTTGGCGTTCGGTGGTCGGCGTTCGGCATCTGTAACAAATGGCTTGCATGTTTATGTCTTTTCAATTTGAGCGTCATAACATGTTAAAGGAGTAAAATCAAACCTAACGAGTAAAACCTTACTCGTATGGAGTGCCAAATCTCAAAATTTGGCGGCTGCATTAAACGTAAATCACCAAAAATACTTACTCGAAAAAAGTTTGCTTCTTAAATTAAAGGGAAAGAATCTCTTTTAAAAAATCAGTAGCTAATACACGGTTACTAATCATTTTTTCATTAAAGGCAATGTCGTATCTGATGGCAAACTGGCAAAAGATGGCAAAGGAATCCAGAACTCACATTTTGGAGTAAAGAAGAACGGTGAATTATATTTTGGGTGAGCACAAAACGATTGAAGGGAAAAATCATAAATGACATTCAAATTCAATATTCTAGCTTCGAACTAGGTTATACATGTACCTAGTATGCAGAATGTCACCGACCTAGAAAGAGTTCAAACAACCGTCTTAAATTTCTAGCGTACACAATCAGACGATATCATAAATATTCAAAACGTTTCCATTTACACCCCACTAAAAAATTGCAAACGGACCGCGTGTTATAGGCTGTTTCTACTCGGATTACGTGTTATTGATAGTTACTCATTTTCTGAACTAACTTTACGGTATCATGAACAGAAGGAAGCTGGCTTTTACATGTACCCCCATCTTAGCCTTGCCTATGTCGGTTCTCTTTTAAAAAAAAACGTACATGTATCTTTTAGGTATGTAACTGAAGAGGAAGTCCTAAGTGGTGATTTTGACCAGTTGGTTGCTGGGGTGCTGTGGCTGGTGAGAAATGGCGAGATCTACGTGAACGAGAGCGAAAAAGCTGAATGTGCTGACACGCAAGAAACTGGTACAGTCCAGCTAATAAGACCTAATAGCATTCTCCAAACGCACGGCACCTAGATTGAGAATATCCACGAGTATCTCTTGCCCTTGTAGATTCCCCTTTTCAATAGTAAAAGGCCAAGTCCCAAGACTCTCATAACCAATCAAAAACTAAAATGTATGTACAGGTTGGGCCAATCACAGCTTCCAGTTCAAAGTTTTTTTGTAAATGGCAACCACATTTTCATCTATCCTGTCAAACTGCAATCTGCAGTTTGTACCTTGGAAAGTAACTGACATTCGATATCCTCTTTCTAAACAGCAACTCCGGGAAAAGACGAATATGTTTTCTGCGCAGTTTTTTGGGGCTTCTACTTCCGGTAAAGGTCATAAAAGCTCGTTTTTGAAAGGATAATCACCGAAACTGTAAATGAACTTGTTTTTTAAGAGCGTTGCATGGTACTGCAGATGTCCTTGGGTATTGTTAATCTCTGGGTTTTTTGAGTCCCGCATTGGAGAATACTCGCCTCACTTAGGACTTAGTAACTGGACTGTACTAGTGTCTTGTTTGTCTGTTGATGAAATACTATAATAAAAAGATTCACAAATGCGGATTGTAGGTACAAGTACAGGTATCACGAGGCCGTATGGGTGAAATTAATTTGGTCAGTATTTCGTTTGTTGTAAATGATCTAATTAAGAAAATTGAAAATTATTCAGAAATAAAATTTTTATATTGTATAAAAGTATGAGGAACTTAGTTGTACTTACGTCCCTCAGTGGTATAGATTAATTTAAAGGCTGGACGTAGAGGCTGACGGTAATTCCGGTTATACGGTTTCGGTACGGAATTGAGCATTTACCGGTATTGAAATTATTTACCGGTTAACCGACGATAATCCCCGGGAAAATAAAAGACACGTCATTTTTTAATTATTTCGTTTAATTTCCACTTTCACGATGCGTACATTTACATAGACATTTAGATGTCCATGTTTGGCAGTTCAGGTGTGATTTCCATGTTTGGCAGTTCGGGTGTTGTTACGTAGCTTCATGCTCAGGCTCAGATTTGGTTGTAGTTATGTTTGGCAGTTCCGGTGTAGTTGTAGTGTCAACGTCAGATCCAGAAACTGAATTATGTTGAAGTCGTGCCCGTTTGGAAGTGATGGTGTTGCCAGTTACACTGAACTGGCGTTCACTTGACATGGATGACGCATGAATACTTGAATAGCACGATATGTTTCAGCCAAACTCGCCACATCAGGATTTCCTCCGTTTACTTTCCAGAACTCAACTAGACAGTCAATAAAATCTTTTTACCTACCCCACCCCCATGTATAATGCACGCTCTTGCTATTGATAGAGTTGAGAAATGGTTTGAAATGTGTAATACATTTAATTTAAAACTAAAAATACATCTTGATTCGTAAGATAGTTACATACTATTTCGTGAAGTTCATCAGTATGGGTTCAAATCGGTCTTGCACCATGTATACATATATACTTGAGAAGGTACGGAGAGAGTTAGGAACAAAGTGGGGGTGGCAGCGCATTGGCATTTTATCTTACATATTTTTACCGGTATTTCGGTAACGGTACGGTTATTAGCGTGACGGTTACCGGTACTGATTTTCAGTACCGTTGCGACCTCTAGCTGGACGTCTCATGGTAACACGTCTCACGTCAAAGTTAAAAGAAGAATAAGCTACACGTTTTCAAAGAACTTGTACGTGAAGATATAATAATATTTTCTAAAAGGTGTGTGCCAGATATTCATTGATGAAATGTAAACATTCTTTAAAACCTTGGTTTATTCGTTCATCAACCCAAATTTTCAGGATTAATCACTATAATTGTAACTAACATTCGAGTTTTAGACAGATTCAACCAATCCACTATTTGATAAATCATAGCATCAAGTGACTATTGCAAGTTTTTAAGAATAAAGTCTATGGCAGTCTGGCCCACCAAAACAAATAGAAACATGCTGACATCTGTTTATTTAGCTTCATTCAATTATGAACTTGGAAATATTTGCCTATGATTGCCTATTAGTCAATGGATTCAATTCCAAAATGGTAAATCGTGCCATTCATGTTTTTAACCTTAGTTGTGAACCCTGGCCAAGAGATTTTCCTAATAGCGCAAATTGCAAAATCCAGTCGCCATTTACCGTTATTACTGTCGTTGTAGGGACTCTAAACACTTTTATCAACGTCCTGTCAGCCCGAGCTGCTGTAGGGGTCGATGCAATGGGAAGATTAGTAATTGCCCACGTGGATGGTCGCACGAGGAGTAGAGGGTAACTGATACACACTTCCTTCTTTCAAATTCCCTTTACGTTAATCAAAAATCATCAAAGGCGAACACGAACTCATTTGTTTATTTTTACGACTTTTTTATCACTTTTGAACTTGTTTCAAAGCTACAGAATTTAGATTTGAATTGTTTTTAAAGATTTTTTAAGATTTGATATATGATTTTATTTTTGGCATTATTTGCTGGAATTACACCACAAAATCCGCTAAAACGTTTTAGTGGAAGGCGCTTTACAAAATCGCCATTCTGATTACATCAACATTTCTAAAGCGTCTTAGGAATTATATTTTGGAATTACACCTGTTTTTTCTAAAACGCCTTTCGTGCACTTTTAACGATGTAGTTATGGGTAATATCCAGCATACATGTATGTGTACATCTCCTGTAAATGTATTCTTTTTGCATCTAAGACAAAACTGATCTGCCATTATTTGATTAAAAATGCATGACATTGCATAATTTTTATTTATCTTTTATTAATTTTGAGAAAACATAATAAAAAGGTAAGAGAAAAATATGTACATATTCTCTGAAGATAACACCTGATTTCGATGTGACCTGGCGACCATCATCCATTTTTCAATTTAGATATAGCCAGATAGCAGCGTGAAATGAGGTCTTATTTCGTTTAGGGCAAATGTTAAAAACTAGTAAAAACCCGGGTAAGGCGTCTAACAAAAAGCGATCGGTATTACACTGCACACTTAAGCGCCTAACGACTTATGCCGTTTACTAGTGACAAGGGTTCTTGGAGTTTTAGAAAAGCGCTTTTGTAAACCGCAATCGTGATTACACCTAATTCTTAAACCTGGTTAAAACCGAAGACGCTTTTGTAAAACGCCATGTGTAATTCCAGCAATTGTCTAAAACCAAGATTAGTGAGAAATGGATCACTTCGAATTTACAACTAAAGTTTTAGTTTCGTTTGATATATTCTACGTTCATTAACAAGTCTTTCATGCATTGAAGGATGACTTTGCACGATTTTGCCCAGCTTCTGATTGACTTCGGTGTTGTTAATGCCATCAACTTAGACGGGGGTGGATCCATGACTTACGTTAGCAATGGTACTGTCATCAATTATCCATCAGACTATTGGTGAGTTTGTGGTCCAATCATTTTAAAGTTCAGTTGTCAGCATATCACGAATTTGTTATTCAAAATCGGAATTTTGTAATCTTATATGAAAAATTCATTTTTTTTGAAAATCTCACTTATTCTAAAAAATCAACACCCTTTATTTCCAAATTAGCATATTTGGTAAAATCTTGATTCTTGACATTTGAATACACTTATTTGCATGTGGGGTTGTATATATTTTAATTATTCCGAAATGTATAAAGCTCACGGGACTCCAAGCTGTATCGGTGCCCACGACGCGTCTCTACCATTGTGTGTGTCCATGACGGCGGCAACACTCCTGTGGAAACTACCGACGCTCCCAATGAGGCGACACAAACACAGTCGGGAATGGCCTTGTTAATGTAAGTACGAGGTGCATTTGAAAATGGTTTCTTCTTTCTGCAGAAAAAATCTATTCAGTAAGACTCAACGAAAATCATTTCCATATAGGATTTTGATTTTGGGTTAAGGCAACATCGTATTTTGAAAATATGTCACAGTCATCTTCGAGGGCAAAAATAAACAACTTTTCAAACGCATCTCGTATATGAGAATGTGGTGGCGATTACCCCCCTATCGTATGTATGTATGTATAATTTATTTGCCTCTTAATATAAAGAGAGTTACATTCATATTTTCCATAAAATGATTAATAAGTGAAAAGCATCACAAAAATTATTAATAGTAATGATTTGATAAAAGCAGTTGTCTCTGCTTGTGCATACTGTGATATTTCTAATAGCTTCTCATGATCACAACTAATGATACCTAATATTGACTTGAGAATAAAATTGTCATCTTGGACGTTAAAGATGCTTGTTACAATGTTAACCATCGGAACCCTTACTCCAGAAAAAGCTGGACATTTGAGTAAAAAATGTTTAACAGTTTCATTTTCATTAAGCTCGCAAAGCACACATGTTTTACACACAGGTGTATCACCCTCGCGACGTCTACTGTTTAAATCGTAAGTTCCAGTTAATAATTTTATCATAAGTTTTGTGCAGTACATATAATTGGGATTATTTCTTGCAATAATCCACCAAACATTTGGTTTCAATTCTACCAAGGAACCTGCGATCATATTGAGATTATTGTACATCAGTGCTGAGAGCACAGTGCTACGAGCATGAACATTTTTGACTCTATTGTAAATGTTCTCTCTAAATTTTGATTTACTTGGAAAATTAGCATTGAAAATCATTTCCTTCACATAGTCAGTAAGGTTATACTTCAGAACTGTTTCCCACATATAAAATGAAGGGGATTTCATGCTTTTACAGGTAACAGATGTGTACATTATTCTTATTAAGCGCTCTAAACATATGACTTTATATATACAATTCATAGGCAAACATAACAGCATGAACAAAAACATAAGTCGGTCACAATCAATCTTCGCTTGAACTGACATCCAGCCAAGCAGCCTGACTGCCACAGGATCTGGTCACACCAAACTAGTTCTTACCCGTTCTTGCCAGTCCTACGAAAACGTGGTAAAACGGGCTCAATCTGGCTGTGGTCGGGAAATATATCTAAAATAATTAGCTACTTCGTTCATAAACAGTCTTCAATACGTCCATCTCATTCGTAGTCCGTTCAGATCGCACCACGTCGGTGTGCAACGTCGTATAACGCGTCCCTTAGTCTTGAAGGTCATCATGACCTTATTGCAGAACGGTATGGTCGCCATCGAATTTTGAATCGATTCAAAATTCTAAATCACATATCCCGTCCGGGAAAGTCCATGAAGTTCGTAAACAGATCGTAGAACGTTGTAGCTACGTTCATTCAGTTCGCAAACAGTTTAAAACCGATTCGACAACGTTTTAACGATCACCAGAACATTTTGAGCATGCGCTTAGTTAGGACCTACTCGTTCTAGTAGTTTTATGAAGTTTGTAAACAGATCCCAAACGGTTCTTAGTCGGTTCTTAGTACGTCAAATCAGTTCGTGCACAGTTTAAGCCCGTTTTCGAGAACGTAGTGAGAACTAGTTTGGTGTGATAGTAGGGTTATGAATTCAATATTAAATCATTTTGAATTCGCCATTGTTTTCGTGTATCGCGCATGCACTGACTAAATATGTACGATATATTTCTTTCTAATCTTTATGGTATAACACAATTTACTTTTAAAATGAAAGATGGTTGAACTTGTTTGAATGTCTACTTTCCCTGTTTTAAAATTGTCAATCTACATCAAATAAAATAAGCCACACGGTGAACAGAATCGCACCCTTAAACAGAATACACTTTTCGGGATGGAAAATTCAAAATGGCTACCTTAACATTTACCCAGACTGCCTAAAAACTAATCAGTTCTAAACTTTCCATAGAAACATCTCAAAAAATTTTTAGGATGAATCCATGAAACCTGTAAACAACCCTCAAGAGACACGTTTTAAGGTATTACTTCACAAGGTGTATCAGCTTTTTTTATCGCACCCTCTCTAAAGAATTGTTTTAATTTAACATTGCTCTCAATGGGAAATTCTTTATTTTTACAAACAAGCCTTCACAGACACGATTTTAGGACGAAAAATCCAATATGGCCGCCTTAACATTTACCAAGAATGCCGATAAACTAATCAGTTCTAAACTTTCATAGGTAGAAACATCCTTGAAAATTTAAAATGAATCCCTCAAACGGTTTGGCTGGAAACCTGTAGACAAGCCTTGACAGACAAGATTTTGGGACGGAAAATCCAAAATGGCCGCCTTAACATTTACCCAGAATGCCGAAAAACTAATCAGTTCTAAACTTTCATAGGTAGAAACATCCCTGAGAATTTCAAATGAATCCCTCGAACGGTTTGGCTGGAAACCTGTAGACAAGCCTTGACAGACAAGATTTTAGGATGGAAAATCCAAAATGGCCGACTTAACATTTACCCAGAATGCCGAAAAACTAATCAGTTCTAAACTTTCATAGGTACAAACATCCCTAAGAATTTCAAATGAATCCCTCGAACGGTTTGGCTGGAAACCTGTAGACAAGATTATTCGGGACGCCCGCCCGCCCAACTGCCCAACCACACGCCCGGCAAACTGATTACAATATAGCACCTGAGGGTGCGATAAATATGCAAAATAGCTTGAACTCACGATGTTTTCATTTTATTTCAGAGTCATATATCTTGTGAGCTGCTTAATCAACGGTTTGTGAACATCACACTGTAAGACAGTAACAATTATGATATTATTAATCATACTCTGCGTAGGCTGGTTGCGACTAACTGCAGTAAAACCTGTATAAGTGGAATATCTTACGTGGTACCTCTAAAATAGTTCAACTTGAGATGAGGCATGCCCCCAGAAAATTTTCAAATTTAGACCCAAATAACATTCCCAATAATAAGAACAATTGTGTTTTAAAAAACGTTGATTTTTATTAAAATGTACATAGTATCATTTCTGTCATTATTACACTTTCACTTTAATTAGCTCTAGAGCTTTCAATTCTTGGCTTGGTTTCAAATCTAAAAAATCTGGAAGGGGGGGGGGGGGTCGCCCCCAACGACATCCGCCTTCCGACACCAATGTCTTATTATGAAAAAGTGTCATCATGTTGTACATATATATTATTTTGATATTATTGAATTATTTACATCGACTACATGTACCTGTTCATTGGGAAATTCGACTGTTTAAATTAACAACACATTTGATGTATCTTATTGGCATACTGTATAATAATTTGCCAACACAATGAATTATAATTATCATGTATTTAATATAGTTTGAAAGTTTGCCTTCACAGCATCCTTCGATTTAGATTCAGTTTGACTGTAACATGCAAGTGTAAAAAATAAAATTGGATTTGAATAATTTATGATCTATTTGACTGTTCAATGCGATATTATGTTCACACCAATTATATCTATCCTATGCTTTCCCTCATACACAAGCATGCAAATCATTATCGTCATAGTCCAAATAGCAACTATACAGTTCAGACAAAATCTATATTCTGTTGTTTTGTAAATTTTGGATGTCACGTTTATAGCATACAAAGAAAAGGAAAAATCCTGGGAGAAAATGGATGATTATATCAATGCCAAACTTCAATAAGATCAAAAGTTCCTGCAAGCGAAGTGCAGCCCACCCAAGGCAAATTTTTTGGCAACCCAGCTAAATCACTTCATACATCCATAATGGTAGTGATTACACAGTAAAACCTCGTACTTTTACACATTCATACGTTCAGAAAATGACAAATGGACGATAAACAGGCTTTTATAACATGCTAACCAATAGGGACCGCTCGTGCTGCTAACTTATTAAACAGTAATAGTTGTCCTTACGCTATAAGATCCCCACTTTTAGATTTGATCGCACAATTTCAACAAATTGTAATTTGATAATAATGTCTATAACCGTTAGCATTTCAATCAGAAATGCCAGTTTTACGATAAAAAATCAAAACATCAAAATTGCTAATTAATTCATAAGCTTTCTTTTCATGATAATTTTGGTACTTCGTGACCATTTACCCCTCATGATCAATTATTCATCACCGTAGCGACCCGTGTCAAGGTATAGGGACATGTACATATGTTCGCAAGTCACTATAAGTTATACAAATAGTGCAGAACGTACCAAAAAGCCGCAGAATCACCAGAAGTAAAGAAAACAGAAACCAAAAGTCATTTTGTTCATCATCACATGCATTAAAAACTTGGCCGAAGAAGGACGATATATAGAGAGTATAATCTTTGACACCTTTTGTGTCACTGAATCATACAAAAGTAACGATGGGACTTTGGCCCCAAGAAGGACCTGATCCAGCTGCCAGGGACCCTAACACTATCAACGAACATCTACAGGTAAATAGTTGCATACTATATCAAACTGGATTCCGGTCTTTGCTTGTCAAAATGGTCCCTACGGGGTGGATGGGGGGGGGGGGTAAGGGTATTGGACTAATTGTTTCTGTTCACGTTATATCATGGTTCGGAATAGTTTGGGTTTGCTTTACTTATGACTGGTGTAAACTAAGCTTGCATTCGCAAATGCAAATGCAAATAGAGGCTAGCGGCCGGCCACCGGATTAAACTACTATATCATGGGCAACTAATATGAAGAGTACCTGCCACTATTCCCTTCATATTTAAATGAGTTGGGCATAGAATAGTAGGTTAAACCGGTGGCTGACAGTCGAAAGTTGCGCATTCGGGAATACTAGCTTAGTTGTTTTTTTCTTGCTGTGCTCTGTAATAATATTTGGTCATTTCCCTAATACGTTAGTGTAAAATCGTCCTTCGGTGTTAGGGAGGACAAGCTACATTTAAGATAACTTGTACGTGAATGTGTAGAGCTACACCTACAGGGTATCCCGAAAGTATGCCCCTCCCATAGGCAGACATACCTGTACCAATGTCTCCATAGTATGTGCCATATGACATTTTAAAGCTCATCCAAAGTTACATTGATTTGCCTAGTATCATGGTTCAAATTATTTTTTTCAAAAACATATCTACAAGTTCTCAGAAGTTCAAACCTGACTTTCGATTTGAGATTTAACCTTTAATAACTTTCTCAGGGTAAAAAAAACTTGCTTCAAATTGGCCATTTTTGTCAAAATCATCTACACATCTCTCAGAAATTGAAATCTGACTAAGATTGAACTAATAATATTGTGAGCAACTTAAGGGTGACATTTTGTCATGTAAATGCCTTGTTTTTGTGATGTAATTCTTTCAGGGTGTGGTATTTGACGAGGTGATTGCAGAGCCGTCGGCGGACGTTGTTCATAGCGGCGACTGCGTCTGGGTAAACTCATTCAAGTGTTTCAGTTGTAGCCTGAAGTGCTGCTACCTTTTCCTCACGTATCTTTGCGGCATCATTCATGCGTTCAGCTGGGGCTGTACATTCGCTTGTATCAGCTTCGCGCACGTTTGGCAAGTCACGCCTTGTTATACATGCGCGGCTATGCAAGCGAGCTGTGTGAAGAGATTCTATACACTTGTTATGGATTGTATCCTTGCCCCATGTTGTGAAGCAGTTAGTATGGTCTTTAAGCCATTCGGAAAAGCTTAAACACAGGGATGGGATCAACAGTTGTCCCAAGGAAATATATGGGCCCGACTCTATTTTCCTATTAGCAAACTAACGAGGAAAATAGTTATCAGCCCGCCCTTTGGAAACAACGATCTGTACAAAGTTGGGAACATTTGCCTATATGTCATTATCCCTACCACACACGGTAATTATAGTGGAATATATCATTAACATTCAAATGGGACGTACAGATCCTGAGCTAACGATCGATAGGAAACGGATTTCAAACAATAGCAATTAACGTGATACCATATCACCATATCAAAAAACACACAGTCTCATAGAAACCAACCAAATAACCTGTACCTTTGAGTTGTATGGGTTCTCGATTGATTTTTTGGAAATAGTGCCTAATGCACCTAATCGACCAGATTTGACAAAATGGACGCAATAAGAACCAATATACAGGGTGGGCCAACTCAGCTTTTTAATTGGTACGCAAAACTATCCATTGGACACTACGTTGAAACCTGCTTATGTTTGACTTAATTTTCTTCTTTGGATATGTATCCGAAAAGATATAGCTCAACTTAGTTGATGGTAAAAATACAACGATACGATACACTACGATACGATACAATATAATACAATAAAATACAAATAGGTCACAGACGATACTTACACAGACTTCAACACATAGCGATCTATGCTACACTTTTGTACATAAACAGGCAGAGGGCTTTTCACACTGACTTCATCCTGAGCACCCTAGATCCGGGGATCGTGTCTTTTATACTAAACGGCGAGCAACACTAAATCGAGAGGCTATGAAGTGTTGCTGAAGGGGGTGGGGGAAGGGGTAAATAGAGATACGGTTGATATTTGTGAAATTCAGAAATTTTATACATACAAATGAACATGCTATATAAAATCTGTGTTCATAAGATATTTTTATTACTATCATATTGTAAATATTGTCACATTGTAAATATTGTTGCTATAACTGTATTGTAGATATAATAGAATTTGCTATACTGTGTGGGATTCACAAAATACATGCATTACAAATTGCAAAAATCTAGTTTTTACTTTACATATTTCAAGAAAAAGGGCATAACATGGTTTATCGTACGGAATTGCATAACTCAATTGCAAATGCAACTCTACATAAATGATAATGAAGCCGCAGTGCGGCATTGAAAAAAATCGCACCCCTGTGTAATCCAATGGGAAAGAACCCGGATGAAGAAATTGTATCCTGCAAGAGAGCTCTTCAGACGGGAGGTAACTGAACTGAACTAAACTAAACTTTATCGCGTTTTAGACATGTTAGAGTATTGCGATATTGAAATCAAAATCTTTGCCAATCACTTGATAGAAAGATGGCGTTGTTGTGTTCCGTGATAAAAGAAAATATAGACGTGTTCTTGATATGACTTCCATATTTCAATCAATATATCTATAATATTATATGTTATTATGTAACTAACTCTAATGCAATGTAATTTTATATAGTTTCTATTATTACGTAACATCTATTAATTAGCGAGTAACTTCTACATGTATTTGTTGTTTTGGTTAGTTTGGTACAATAAGCTATTTGACCAACTACGAGTGGTTTTGCGTCTATTTTTCTTATTTGGCATACTTTTATCGCAGTGTATACACCACTGCCTTTAGTTTGGTAAAACCAACCTTCATTGGGCAAAATGTTAATCTAATTTATAATGGCTATTTGAAAAATCAAAAAATCATCGGGGTCATAATATTTGACCTTGGCATCGCATTATTGGTCGCTCGCCTCTCATGCTATTTAGTAAAACGAGTATTAGACATCTACCACATTGTATACACCCCCGCCTTAAGTTTGGTAAAACCACACTCCATTGGACAAAATGTTAATCCAATTTATAATGGCTATTTAAAAAATCAAAAAATCATCGGGGTCATAATATTTGACCTTGGCATCGCATTATTGGTCGCTCGCCTCTCATGCTATTTAGTAAAACGAGTATTAGACATCTACCACATTGTATACACCCTCGCCTTAAGTTTGGTAAAACCAACCTTCATTGGACAAAATGTTATATTAATCTAATTTATAATGGCTATTTGAAAAATCAAAAAATCACCGGGGTCATAAATAGTTGACCTTACTAAAAATTAAACATGTAAACAGGCTTAATCAAGTCGATTATCCAAGTGGGAATTTGGATTTACAACACTTTTGAGGGATGAATGTGCTATCTACACTGTTGACGTGATACATACACCATGATGAGATAAACTGTCGACCTATGCCCAACTGTAGGATAGTTCTGTTCAATATTAATCTTGCAATATACAATAATTTATCAAACATTTACGAAGAGTCTGGCCAAATCATAAAAGAACACAGTTCCTTTTTTGAAGCACAACTGAGCTATGTGAGTATCATAGATACGATAGGTGAAAGAACTTCTGGGTGGTGATTCTAATAGAAAAATGCTAAATACGTATTTGATGAAGGTAATTAATTAATTCCACTGAATCTAAAAGTAAAATGTTCTACTGTTAAAAAGTATAGAATGCAAATTATATTAAATACTATGTTCTGATTGATCGGAATTTGATATGGTTGTATATTTTATGATATATACTTAGATATTATACACATATTGAATTCTAATCCATTGGGGTGAATACCTGTGCATCTTTCACGAAGCCTGAAGTCATAGTGGAATAACATCTTTTGAAAGTGTTGCAGGTATTCACCAAAATAAGATTAAATATTTATTTTATTATTCACTGTCATATTCATCACTCGAAATAATGGAATAACGAACTATTGATGTCTATTAAATCAATACAATGTATTCCCGGGGATAAATAAAATTAAAATTACACTGAACTAAGTCGTGACTGCTGAATATCATTTGAATATGAATTGATATTCAACGGAATGTACTTGACCTTTGTTTAATATCACCAGTTATTTTTTAGTCACATAGAACATGAACCAGTCAGAGAGTGAGGGATATTACAGTGACATAATAAATGTGAATATGCACCAAAATATGATCAGGACTGTGCAACCCTTTGAGGTTCAAGGTACATTGGTACAGTAGGTGCGGAGTAAGTAGAACCATGTGGTTATTCTAAGCTTATGTGCATCAAGCATTCAAACAAAAAACTTAAAATGTGAATTTAAACATACTGGGTACTAAGGTACATATAATAGCCCGTATGTTCAGTTTAATGGCTTCTTAATCGGAGTCCCATGTTATTATCAGGTACGCATAACTCATTCCATTTGGCCCACAGCTGTCAGTTTTGCGCAAAGTGCGTGTAAAATATAAACATAAATATATTCGTTGTATTATTAAACATACTGAATATATAAAAAGTATTGAATTTTCTCAATTGTCGATCATACCGTGTAAAAAGGCACTAACCCTCAACTGATCATCTAGCTACGCACTGTTTGCACTCTTTAACTGCAAAACTGAAGGTTGTAGACCCTGTCTGGAATTATTTTCTAGTACTTGCAAATAACACGGGACTCCAATTAGGAAGCCCTTCTGAATGCATAGAGGTTACACGTGCCAAGATAACATTGTTCAACCAATAGACGTTGATATTCAACCAAGAGTGCTATTTGATAACATAAAATGTACATCATTAAGGTGGCATATAACCCTGTTTATTTTTTCGTGAAACCACTCAGTAAAATTACGATTTATCTGCACCCTGATGTTCAATCAAGTTCATTTGAGTATCTATGTGTTCCCGACACGTTTGGGCATCCGGGAATGACAACGTCTACCCAAAGTTTGCACACCATGATATTGACGTAATCTATGAGTGAAATAGGAAAAACAAAAAGGTGTGATATTCTTCCAGGATTGCTTATAGTAATAACTATTTACAAAAATGTTCCCGAGACACAAATCTATTTAGGTAAGGGTTTGTTTTAAAGTCAGAAAGCCCCAATGAGACAATACAAACCCAGAGAAAACCCGGAAGACTGTAATTTCATGCAATGTTCTACGTTTTTGTAATCAAGTAAAGTACATCTAATCCCCATATAAAACACTGGCCTACGTGACATGTACATGTACTAACATGTTCAAACTGTATTAAATAAAATCAAATCTAGAATCTTGAATCTTATCAATTCATATGTATAGAAATATATATTATAATATTGGGGTAATTTTATGAAGGGGTACTATTATAATCATTAATAATTTCTGTTCTATAACTTCAATCACTATAAAATCTTCAGGGATCATGCATCTATGTATAGTGAGTTGTCACAACAATTTTGACATTAATTGGTCAATTGGTTACCATAGCTACACAATTTAATTGCTCAAAATCTTTAATATGTCAGGTAAATCCGAAGCTTCTTGTGAAAACAGATGCTGCCATTTCTCTTCAAATCATTTGAAAATGAACATTAATGTACCCTAAAACATATTTGGGGAGTGTTTAATAAGATAGCATGATAAATATGATGAATTATATTATATCTTTGACTCTGGACTCTATTCTACTTGGTGACCCCCTCTCTATCTACTCAAAAGTGGGCGTGGCACTTTTCAGTGATAATTTCCGAAAACAGTTAAATTTACAAAATCAGTTACAGTTATATTTATGGAGCTTATGGATACTGATGTTATTCTTTAATATGGTGAGTCTGTACATGATTGGTTAAGGGGTTGCCATAGTAACAGAGCATAATAAACGCAAATAGTGTAGTGCATATGTTCTGAAAAGACTTATTTTATAACATGGTATATGATTCAACCCACAGCGTATATGGTGCGCTTCAATACCAGAACATATCATCCAATAGCCAAACATGGTAGAAACTGAGACCATAGAATAGTTCAGAAGAGCCTAAGTTGGTCCAGCCTCCAGAGTATATAGATGGCACAGCCTCCAGAGTATAAGATTAGTGCAGTCTCAAGAATCTTATATGATACAGCCTCTAGAGTGTAATATGTATTCGGCATCCAGAGTCCAAGATGATACAACATTCAGAATCTAAGATTGCTATAGCAGTCAGAGCCTAGAATGGGTACAGCCTCCATAAGTCTAAGATGGTACAGCCTCCAGACCCTTAGATGGTACGGCCTCCAGATATAACATGGGGTCAGTCTCCAGAGTATAAGATGGCACAGCTTTCAGAGGCTATGATTATGGGCTTTCAATAGCAGGGGGCGAGTGTCCAAAATCGCCGTTTGTTTTCGATAATTCGCCGTTTGTTAGAAGTCAAATATTGTCCAAGTTTTGGGGGAAAATAAAAGCCTTCTATAGACTATCATTTATTTTATTCAGCGATCTTGTTTTGCACTTCCTTGTCTATGACTGGATTTGTACCTCAGTTTCGAACTGCAATGGAACTCACTATAATCGTAAGGATCACTTGATCTCATTATAGTAGTAAACACCGTCCAATTTTGTACCCGTTTGGGCTATGGATTTAAGATCACTATCTGACCACTATCATGTGCATGATAATTCAAATTCGAACCTTTTGTATGATCAGAGTTGGTTATTTTCCACTGGACATGCAGTTACATGTATGATTGATACAACTCTGTCCAACCAGTCACAGTACAGTCTACCCTGCGTGCAGAGTCTAGTTAAACTACTGAAGACGAAGAAGCTCTCTTTTAAGAAGTGAAGTCAAACGAATGCAAAGGGTAAGTACAGTCCTTCCAATGGGTGTAAAATTGTATTAATCAGTTAAAGGCCCCATATAAAGTTTAAACCACTTTGGCTTATATTTTTGTCTTATCTAATGTTATCAAAGCGTGAAATGTGAAACTTTTTATTGATTTCAAAATATTTTTTGAAGGACTTTTTGTTTAAAATATCGTGAATTTATTCAAAACTAACTTTAAGAGGTCACACTTATCCTTTAAAGCGATAATTCACACCGATGCATAGCAATCATCCTCACTTGTTTTTTGCCGACAAAATCAAGAAAATTGGTTGAAGGATGAGCGAGCAATGAACAGTGTTTCAGGGAAAGATGCATTTCAAAATTTTAATTCTCATAGAAACCAATGGTAAACTAATATTAAAAACATATTCATCCTTTTAACTTGGTTAGACAGTCAAAATTGGTTTATTTTTTAAGTTTAGCATATTTAGAAAAGATTGACATTGAAAAATGTTGCCACCTAAGTGATGTCACGATGTGGTCACTTAGGTTGAAAATATTTTCGATATGCTAAATCATTAAATTGGCACATTAGATATATAGGGGTTATGCACTGGGAGGTTTTGGATACAGGGAATATCCCGAGGGATATACAATATATCTTCCCGAGGGACCGAAGGGACCGAGGGAAGATGTATTGTATATCCCAAGGGATATTCCATGTATCCAAACCGACCGTGCATAACTGGTGTATCTCATACTTGAGTGGGTTTAGGGTAGATATAACCTTTTCCACCTTTTTCAGATGACAAGATATTTATATTGAACATTTTCGTAATATTCTTTTTGTTCAATACAATGAAATTGTAACATTTAAACTTAAAAAATGTTAATCTTAAAATTAAAAAATTAAAACTTTTGATATTTTAACTTTTTTAAATTTTTGAAAAATTCCCGGGAGCGGGATGGATATATTATATCTGCCCGCATTTGGCCTGGAGCGGGACATATACAATATATCCTGCCCGCTCCTCAGATACGATATATATTCCCGGGTGATATTTACCCCAAACCCACTCAAGTATGAGATACAACATTTTATTTTTAACATAGTGTGTCCGTTATATATTGGTGTTAAAAAGATGTATTAAAAGTGTATGTGTGGATGGCCCACATTTGACCCCCACACTTACCAAAAGTTGGGACATGTATACCTTTATATACTCAACCGGCCAAGTATTAACAGTACAAAAGGAAGAAAAAATCCACCAGGTCCATAATTCTACACGTTCACGTACAAGTTTAAAAAAGTGTATCTTTTTATGTAGAACTACTACGCCTTTGTACCAGCGACGCACTTTCACAGATGCGTCTTTACAATGAAACACAATAACGAGAATTGCAACTTTAGGATCTTGAAAAAAGTTGCAATATCCTTCCTGGTTAGAATAGGTTTCCACGTACAACTAGAAACACTATATAAAATAACTATCTATACACCATCAGTGCAAATATATGCTTTCTTCCATTCTGATACTCATGGCATCTTTCTGTTTCATCTGAAACACTACCCTGCGTGCAGAGTCTAGTTAAACTACACGAAGACGAAGCTCTCTTTTAAGAAGTGAAGTCAAACGAATGCAAAGGGTACTAAAACACAGGGCTGAGAAGAAATGAGATGTCATGGCTTATCATGATGGCTTTCTTCGAGAATACATAATGCGGGCCCGGGAATGCGGGGTGCCACATTCGTTGCAACACACCTTGCAACAATGTCTTATGAGGGTAATTTCTTATATTGAGAAGTTTATCATCTATTGAAATTAAATACATGTAGCTACAAAAAGCGAATTTGTTTGAGCAGTCCGGGTCCGGGAAAGTCCATCAAGTTCGTAAACAAACCGTAGAACGTTGTAGCTACGTTCATTCAGTTCGCACACAGTTTAAAACCGATTCGGCAACGTTTTGCAGAACGCAGTGACAACTGGTTCTGGTGTAATAGCTATTTTTGTTAATTCGTTCATAAGCAGTTTTTAATACGTTCATCTCGTCTTTATTCCGTCTGCAGTACGTTGGTATCAAGTTGAGATCGGGTTAAATTGTGCGTTCGTCTGGTCTACACAACGTAACCAAACAGTCCAATTACGTCCTTAATCAGTTTAAACCAGTTGACAATTAGTTGACAATTAGTTGTACCTCGTTCGTCTCAATACGTCCTAACCCTACTATCACACCAAACTAGTTCTCACTACGTTCTCGAAAACGGGCTTAAACTGTGCACGAACGGATTTGACGTACTAAGAACCAACCAAGAACCGTTTGGGATCTGTTTACAAACTTCATGAAACTACTAGAACGAGTAGGTCCTCCACAACTTAGAGCATGCTAAAAAAATTTTGGTGATCGTCAAAACGTTGCCGAATCGGTTTTTAAACTGTGTGCGAACTGAATGAACGTAGCTACAACGTTCTACGGTCTGTTTACGAACTTCATGGACTTTTCCGGACGGGGAATGTGATTTAGAATTTTGAATCGATTCAAAATTCGATAGCGACCATGCCGTTCTGTTATCAGGTCATGATGACCTTCTAGACTAAGGGACGGTTTACACTACGTTGCACTCCGACTTGGTGCGACCTGAACGAACTGCGAATGAGATGGACGTATTGAAGACTGTTCATGAACGAAGTAGCTAATTATTTTAGACATATATCCCGACCGCAGCCAGATTGAGCCCGTTTTACGACATTTTCGTAGGACTGGCAAGAACGGGTAAGAACTAGTTTGGTGTGATAGGGGGGGGGGGGGTAATATGTTACTGAATTAGCCACCAAATTTCCATACGGTTGAACTTGTTCTAAAATAGTAAACATCGTGTCCCTAATCCGTGCAGAAGGCATTTATTTTTATTCGGTCGAGTTGGGTCTGTCTACGAACAGAATGAACGAGCTACAAACGGACTAGATTGGGGAACTCACGGCTGCAATTTACGCCTGACTACACAACGTCGTGATAAGTCCCTGGTAGGATTGAAGTACGACACTTCCGTTCGTAGTGTGTCCCCAGTGCGTCCAGGTCGTCTTAAGTACGTTATCACTCGTGCTGATTGCAGAACGTGACGATCACCAGAAAATTTTGAGCATGCTCTAAGTTCTGGAGGACCTTCTCGTTCGAGTAGTTTCATGAAGTTTGTAACAGATCCCAAACGGTTCTTAGTGGGTTCTTAGTACGTCAAATCCGTTCGTGCACAGTTTAAGCCAGTTTTCGAGAACGTAGTGAGAACTAGTTTGGTGTGATAACAGGGTTAACATACTGTTTTATTCATTAGTTTTTTAGAAATCTACCGCAAAAACATATAAAATGTTTAAAAGTTCGAATCAAAATATTTACGTTTTTTGACCCCATGTGATGAAAGACATTTTTCGACCCGAAAGCCGGAAGTTTTTTCAGCAAATGGTATTTTAAAAGAATCAAGACATGAACAACTTCATAAATATTGCTTCAAATGTTGCTGCGCTATAGTGTGCTACGGATCCTTCATATTCGGAAGTCATACCATGGACTAATAGGATCCTTTATACTGAAGTGCGTATGCGTTGATTTTGTAGTGTTTTCCCTACTAGTCCATTTGTCACTCCTATGCATCCTATAGTGAACCTATGAATTGTTAAAAACACGATGTTTTTTTGGTTAATTTATGACGATGAGGGTTTCCTGAAGAGATTTAGCTGGGTTGGACAAAAAGTCAGTTTGGGGAAAAAATAATATAGGCTAATTAGTGAGGCAATTATTGAAATATTGATTGTTTTCTATATCTTGAAATGTAAAAATGAAAGCAGCATAATTAATATGTCTAAACTTGTGTTTTCAGGGTTAATGAATAAGATATTGTTAAAATATACAAGAATAACCATGGCTGTCAGATGGGGGGGGGGGGGGGGGGAGGGTGGGGGGTGCGACGCACCCCCTCTGACAACCCCGAAAAAATTAGGGGGGAGTGGGCCATCCCTCACAACTCCCACACAAACAATTGAAAAGTTCTGAATTTATTATGTATTGTCTAAGACACTTTTAAAGTGCCCAGACATCATCAAATAGCTCCTTGATATAGTCAATGTTTCTTGGGGACTAACACTTGCTCCCCCTCTGGCATCCTCACCCCACCTCCCCCTCGGGGATCCCCCTTTGACACCCCCTCAAAAAAAAATTGAAAAAAATATGATTTTTTCTTATCTTTTTTATTGACTCATACATTTAAAAGCACCAAATAGAATCTTAAAATTGTAAAATTTTCTAGGGGGAGTGGGCCATCCCTCACCCCCCCCCCCCCCCCACAAAACAATTGAAAAGTTCTGAAATTTATTTTATGTATTGTCTCAGACACTTTTAAAGTGCCCAGACATCATCAAATAGCTCCTTGATATAGTCAATGTTTCTGGGGGACTAACACTTGCGACCCCTCTGGCATCCTCACCCCACCTCCCCTTCGCCCCCCCCCAAAAGAATTATGATTTAATCTTTTTTATTGACTCATACACTTTAAAAGTTCCCAGAAAGAACCAAATAGCATCTTAAAATTATAAAATTTTCTAAGGAGGTAGGCAATCCCTCACATTCCCCACAAAACAATTGACAAAAATTCTGAATTTATTTCATGTATTGCCTCAGACACATTTCAGGTGCCCAGACTTCATCAAATAACACCTTTATATGGTCAATGTTTCTGGGGGACAGTTATGGGGGACAAACACTTGCTCCCCCCTTTGGCACCCCAACCCTACCTCCCCTTTGGCAACCCCCAGCCCCTTTGGCACCCCCACAATTTGAAAAAATTGTGATTGTTGTTCATTTCTTTTATTGACTCATACATTTTAAAAGTGAACAGAAAGCACCAAATATCATCTTAAAATTGTAAAGTTTTCTAGGAGAGTTGGGCACCCATCACATCCCCCACAAAACAATTGAAAAAATATGAATTTCATGTATTATCTCAGAGTCACTTTTAAAGTGCCTAGACATCACCAAATAGCACCTTGAAATGGTCAATGTTTCTGAGGGAAAACCCCTTGCTCCCCCTCTGGTATCCCCACCCCGCCTCACCCTTTTATCCTCTTTGACACCCCCCAAAAAACACATTTCTTATTGACTCATACACTTTGAAAGTGAAAGTAGGGGGGGGGGGGCACTCTCAGAATTAATCAGACAGCATCTTGAATTTGTAAAATTTTACTGTGCTGCCCACTCGCTCCTCTAAGAAGAAAATGATTAAAAATCAGAATTTCTTTAAATTGATTCTATTGCCTTCTAGCACACCCTCCCCCTATTCCAATCTTTCTCCAAATTGCTCATACAATATTTAGTCTAAAAACAATATGAAGACAATAAAATACTACAAAATAGGCTGCGTGGCCTTAATAGAGAGAGTAACTGACCCCCTCCCTCTGACTTACGCGCTTTGATTTACGCGGGAAAATGACAATTTTATTTTCTCTTCATTAAAAACCGCACCCCCCTTGGAGAAAAGTGTCTTACGGGCCTGATAACTTATAAGATGGAGTGCAACTTAGCATATTTTATGATTGAAATATCGCATTTATTAAGATATTTTCTATATCAAGCTTGTAATACATAGAAAATTACTGACTAATTAACTAATTAAGGGTGTCTTTATTGATTTAATTGGGTTGCCAAAAAATAACCAATTTCAGCAGAAATGATATATGTAAATAAGGGCAGCCATTATTAATGATAGCATCACAATTGTTGTGCCCTTACTATACCCATGTTTTCAGGCTCAATGAATAAGATAATATAAAAAGATACAAGAATTATGTATTATATTTTAATGTACTACATTATATGCAAATTAGCCAAAATGTTTTCAGTGTCGAGTCAGATATACGGTAATGTTAAAAAATACAATGATAACTTTTTAGATATTGTGCATATATGCAAATTAGCATATTTATTATTGGTATTTCGCATTTATTCAAAATATTTTGTTTATCAAGCTTGCAGTACAAAGGAGTGACTACTTGGTGGTTTCCTTAAATTCTCAATAATTTAATTGGGTTGCCAATTATTGAATTTCTAACATATCTTAGAAATGAAAAATTATAGCCCTGGGACCTGGAGACCCATGTTTTTAGCTTCAATGAATAAGATAGTGTTAAAATATACAAAAATAACTTATCAGATAGTGTACATATTATATAGTATGCATGTTTAGCATATTTAGAGATATCAAACGTTTTTATGATGAAATTAGATGTGTGTCATCACCAATAGTGACAAACAAATCAATACATTACTTGATTTATGCAGGTGTTTGATGTATAGAAAAATAATATAACATGAAACAGATCCCTGAATCACACCATGTGTAATTAATGAAGTATGGTTGGATGAGACAATGTGTTGGTGTTCTTAGCTATTTTGCCATGTTACCACTATTCCACAGTTGATTTCATCGTTTGTAAGTTTATTACAAAATAGTATGGTCAATTGAGTCAAAGGCTTTCAAAAATCGCTTTTATATCATGGACATCTTCATTTGCATATATAATTTTTTCCCCAAGGTTGCCATTTGTCCAACCCAGCTAAATCACTTCATAAAACCCCTATGATAGTGATTCCACAATAAAAACATCGTGTTTTTACAGATTCAAAGGTTCAGAAAATGACACATCGACTATACTGTGGTTGGAAGTTTAAGGATGCAAGAGCTGTTTTTCTAGTTTTCCTGGCTGTGGCTCTGCTCACGATTTTTGGATCTTTTCTATTTAAACGCAAACCAATTCTCACGGGATACAACTCTATCTTCACAGGTAAGTGTCACTAGAGAAATTTTATTTAAGGACTCTGTCTCTAAAGTACCATGCATTTTTAAAATCCACTTCAGCCTTATCATCAGCCTTTGATATAAATCTTTCTCGAAAAAACCACTGGCCTAGTAAGTGACAATGTGGAATGTGCCAATTATAAAAATGGAATCAATTCAATTAGCCTAGGCCAAGCTCCATATATAATGGTACAGTGTTCGTGGTTAAAGTTTTTCCAAAATTTGAATTCTGCAGTATCAAAAAATACTTTGTATTTCAAAACCATTGCTTTAAAATGGCATACACATTTTTAGTTTTCACCACTTCTACATGTCATTACATTTATTTTAATATAGGCCAGTCTCCTCCAAAGCCTAAAATATTTACAAATTTTACATCGGGGATATCAGACTCTCCAAGAATATTCTGTTGGATGCTGACAACTCCTGAGAACTTGAACACCAAAGCTAAAGCTGTCAGAGACACTTGGTCAACCCGATGTGATGGTCGTTTGTTTGTTACATCTGATTTTACCGATGACCAGTTCCCCGTTTTGGGCCTTGGTGTTCCGGAAGGCAGAGATTATTTAAGTGCAAAGTCATTCACTACATTTAAATATGCATACGCCAATTATTTGAATACTTTTGATTGGTTCTTAAAAGCAGACGACGATACTTACGTCATAATGGAGAACCTTAGACATTTTTTGATGTCTTATAAACCGTCAGAGGCGTTGTATTTCGGTCAGTATATCCCAACGAATGGAGTAAATGGTCTCCCTTGCAAACAGGGGTACAGTAGTGGTGGTGCAGGGTATGTCCTCAGCAGAGAGGCGCTCAGACGGATGGAGGAAATAGGAGCAACAGATACAAAGTACCAATGCAGTACTGCTCCTGTCACTGGCTTTGAGGACGCAGATGTGGGCATATGCTTGGAGAATCTCAATGTCACATTAGGAGAATCACGTGATAATCAAAATCATTTGACATTTCATTCATTTGACCCCGTCAATGTCTTAAACAAAGATGAAGTCCTCTCTGAATATTATCATTACAAAAAAGGAAGAACTCAGCTTGGCAACGGGGTAGGTCTTTTTCAAATTGTTGTAAAATAACAGAGAGATTTCACGTAGCGTTTTCAGCGTATCTCACCCAAAATAGGAGTTCTTATTACGTTGAAACGTGTTGCCCAACGGACGTAAAGCTGTGTACGAACTACGATCGTTTTACTAGCTTCGTGGACCTACTTTGACAGGGAGGTGCTTAAGAACTCCGAACCTGTTTTTCCTAGCGTCCATCCTCTTGGCTCATTCATTTTATTCGCAGACAGACCTAGCATCAGATCGACCAAATGACGTTTACAGTCAGTCGTGATTTTATGGGAATGCGTTCAAACCAAAATAAATACTTCTGAAGGATTTGACAACATAATTTTTAGACATTCATAAAAGTATAGGTCTCTTGAAGACTGTTTATGAACGAACTGGAATCATTTTTAGGACATACCATACAGAGCACAGTCCGTTTTGCGATTTTAAAGATTTTAGGACGTTTTGCTAACTAGTTTGTATGACTATTGGGTTAATAAGGAGTTTAAGCTTACATATAAAATCGAAACGCCAACCTATACGCATGTACAATAGCCCATACAAATGCATCGCTTAAATATCTTCCGTTCACGTTATGGTTGGAAAAACATTACACGCTTAAACTCCCTAATATTAGAGCCTAAGTGAACGTACCGAAAACATTAAAACCTCACCGTTTAAAACGTAATATTTACAATTTCAATTTTTTATAAACACGATAATATGACATCCGTTTTGAGAGAGACGTTCCACACGTGATAAAATCCATAATTGCTTATCAAGAACCTTCTGTCAGAAGAAACGCCAAGTACCTCCTATATTGACACATTATGTTTCAAATATGATATTTTGACCTCAAATTCAAATCGAGATAAGATTGCCAGATAAGAAACAGCTAATTATAATATATTAAGCATACCGTGTTTTGAGAAATAAACAACATGACACTCAACTTGTTTTAACAGGAAGCAATTTCATGATACATTCCGTCTTTTCATGATAATTTACACCAAAACTTTATCAATCTCATCTCCATATATGGCATTTCTTGGTTGAAACTATACAAGTCTTCACATTTGTTTTAATGTTATATATTTGTTCATGTTAATATTGCCTTGTATGAATTCTTTTCAAGGTTGATCGCATCCTGAGCAACACAACGATATCCTTCCATTATATAAACCCAGGCATGATGTACTTCATAGATTTTTTACTGTATGACTTGCATCAACACGCAGGTTAACCATGGTTCGACCCTACTAGGATTACAGTGCGACTTGCATCAGCACGCATGTCAATGGTTCGATCCTGCAAGGATTTCTGTACGACTTGTATTAACACGCACGTTAATGGTTCCACCCTATAAGCATTACTATACGACTTGTATTAACATGTACGTTAATGGTTCGGCCCTACTAGGATTACTGTTCGACTTGTATTTACTCACTCGTTAATGGCTTGTCCTTACAAGAATACTATACGACTGTTCGTTCTTAACACGCACATTAATGTTTCTACTCTAGAAGAATTACTGTACAATTTGTATTAAGACGCACGTTACTGGTTCGACCCTACAAGAATTACTACATACGACGTGTGCATGTTAATGGTTCGACCATACAAGGATCATTGTACCACTTGCATCAACACGCACGATACTGTTTCGGTCCTCCAAGGATTACTATACGACTTGTATTAACACGCACGTTAATGGTTCCACCCTATTAGGATTACTATACGACTTGTATTAACATGTACGTTAATGGTTCGGCCCTACTAGGATTCCTGTACGACTTGTATTAACTCGCTTGTTAACGGCTTGTCCTTACAAGGATACTATACGACTGTTCTTAACACGCACGTTAATGTTTCTATTCTAGAAGGATTATTGTACAATTTTTATTGACACGCACGTTAATGGTTCGACCCTACAAGAATTACTATATACGACTTGTGCATGTTAATGGTTCGACCATACAAGGATCATTTTACCACTTGCATTAACACGCACGATACTGTTTCGGTCCTCCAAGGATTACTATACGACTTGTATTAACACGCACGTTAATGGTTCCACCCTATTAGGATTACTATACGACTTGTATTAACATGTACGTTAATGGTTCGGTCCTCCAAGGATTACTATACGATTTGTATTAACACGCACGTTAATGGTTCGACCCTACAAGGATTACTACATACGACTTGTGCATGTTAATGGTTCGACCATACAAGGATCATTGTACCACTTGCATCAACACGCACGATGATGTTTCGGTCATACAAGGATAAAATACGATTTGTGTTAACACGCAGGTTAATGGTTCGACCCTACAAGAATTACTACATACGACTTGTGGATGTTAATGGTTCGACCATACAAGGATCATTGTACCACTTGCATCGACACGCTCGATAATGTTTCGGTCCTACAAGGATTACTATACGATTTGTATTAACACACACTTTAAAAGTTTGACCCTACAAGGATTACTGTACGACTTGTATTAACACGCACGTTAATAGTTTGACCCTACAAGGATTACTGTACGACTTGTATTAACACGCACGTTAATAGTTTGACCCTACAAGGATTACTGTACGAATTGTATTAACACGCACGTTAATAGTTTGACCCTACAAGGATTACTGTACGACTTGTATTAACACGCACGTTAATAGTTTGACCCTACAAGGATTATTGTTAGTACCTCAGTGTAAATACTCGCATCTGATTGGTCAATTAGCGGTCAACATTTTTGCCTGTACCTCACTTGTGCATCATGGGATATCATATTATTGACCGCGTATGTTACTGTACTACACTTGTGAATTATGGGAAATATGACGTCACAATGTTTACAGAAAAAAACATGGTAGTCGGACATTTTGTACACGTTGATGAAAGTGATATTTTGACTTTTCTACACGACGAGTATAGCAACAATACAAATAGAAACGCAAAATTAACATTAATTTACTAGTGAGTACGCAGTTATGTGCCAAAAACAGAGAGTTTAGCTTCCACTGTCTTCAGATTTTCTTAAAAATTATTGCTGGCGTGGTTCGTAGAAAAGATTGTGAAATGAAGCCATGATTCAAGTTGATGACTGTCGTATATATATTATGAGTATTATTAGTTTCTTCTGACTAACAAAACAATTGTAGACCTCTCCATTCGGTCAACCGTCAAAATCATATACCTCGACTGTAAACCTTGAAACACTGTTGACCTCGACCTTCGGTCTCTGTCAACAGTAGTTTCTCGGTTTACAGTCTCGGTATACAATTTTGCCGGTTGACCTCTGGAGAGGTCAACAATTGTATACTGTACGACTTGCATTGACATGCACGTTAATAGTTTGACCCTCCAAGGATTATTGTTAGTATCTCAACGGAAATACTCAATTCTGATTGGTTGATGAGCCGTCAACAATATGTACTGTTGACTGTTACTAGGTACTGTTGATCGCTACTTTTGAAAAAATGTTTTTTAAATGTTGTTGATTTTTTTAATTTTGAAAAAAATGAAAAAATAAGTTGTGAAAAAAAATATTCGACGGTTTGGGAGTTCACGTGATATTCGATAATACATCCTTCCAATTATTATATTCTTCGGACTAGTAAAACAATGTTAACCTCTCTCTATTCGGTCAACTGGCAAAAGACCTCCGGTCTCGGTCAACAGTACCTTCAAGGTTTACAGTATCGGTATACAATCTTGCCAGTTGACCTCAAGAGAGGTCTACAACTGTATATTGTTGAATGCTAATTGACCAATCAGATGCGAGTATTTACACTTGCTGGAATTACACCTGGCGTTTTACAAAAGCTTCTTCGGTTTTAACCAGGTTTAAGAATTAGGTGTAATCACGATTGCGGTTTTACAAAAGCGCTTTTCTAAAACTCCAAGAACCCTTGTCACTAGTAAACGGCATAAGTCGTTAGGCGTTTTAAGTGTGCAGTGTAATACCGATCGGTTTTTGTAAAACGCCTTACCCGGGTTTTTACTAGTTTTTAACATTTTCCCTAAACGAAATATTTGATACATTTGAAACATTTGATACATGATGAGACATCCGGTCACGCTGCTATCTGGCTATATCTAAATTGAAAAATGGATGATGGTCGCCAGGTCACATCAAAATCAAGTGTTATCTTCAGAGAATATGTACATATTTTTCTTTCACCTTTTATTATGTTTTCTCATAATTAATAAAAGATAAAAAATATGCAATGTCATGCATTTCTAATCAAATTATGGAAGATCAGTTTTGTCTTAGATGCAAAAAGAATACATTTACAGGAGATGTACACATACATGTATGCTGGATGTTATCCATAACTACATCGTTAAAAGTGCACGAAAGGCGTTTTAGAAAAACAGGTGTAATTCCAATATATAAATCCTAAGACGCTTTAGAAATGCAGGTGTAATCAGAATGGCGATTTTGTAAAGCGTCTTCCACTAAAACGTTTTAGCGGATTTTGTGGTGTAATTCCAGCAACTGAGGTACTAACAATAAATAATGCGTTATCAACACGATTTACTGGAATGAAGTGCCCCTTCGTACAGTTTCTATGCCATTCAACCAATCAGTATTACGATTACAATAACAGTGTGAAATCGACTTTATGGAAGAATCACTGTTGTAACCTCATGGCAATGTGCTTCACTTTCCTTAAGCGATGAGTCCGAGAATAAGCAGCATTGTGAAATTATATATCGATAATCATGATCGAATAAATACTATATTGAAAGTTCTAATCTGTTGCTGAAAATATTACCCTCAAGTCAAATATTTTAGAATATATTCCAGTATTTCGAGCGTTATTGCAAGAGCTTCATACGATTGTCATACTCTTTGAAACACGGCATATCACGAACATTTGATATGGATAGATATTATGTGATATTATGGCGTTTACGCTGCAATGTTATTTACCTCTAAGGCTATAAATATAATTGATATTTTAGAACTGATAAATAACATTTTACAGAGTTCCATTTTCCCATTTCTTTCTCCTCATGTTGTACATTTCTCTAGATATGCACGACGGGGCCGTTTCCATTTTTTCAAAATATGTTAATTTCTTGGGACTCCCTGCATACATGTATGTTTTGTCTACTACTTTTAAGTATACCATTTAACTATACACTGTACGTCTTGATATTTGAAATTTTATTTTATGATCTTTATTTCGATGAATGGATTTCATGCCGTCTTATTTGCATTTTGATTTAGGAGTCTACACATTTTTGAAATTGTGATACATTCTTTCGACCTTAAGTTTCGACGTGGGTGTTTAGTATATAGGTTGAATGGTTGGCGTTTGTAATATAACAAATTGTTACATTTTTGCATCGGCTTTCAACAAGAACCATCTGCATGTATGGCATATGCATATGACGGCATTGTGAAGTAATGCAAACGCCAATAAAAAAGTACTGTATTTTTAGCATTAATCGTGTTAATTTTGACACTAATCTTTGATTTATTTGATATTTGATTTGGCAAAAGAACATATGATAACAAAGTATAGTACTTCAAAGGAGAAACATCAAATTATTGGGAATTATCTGCCTATTCAAGCTGTCTCACCCCCCTGAATAAAATATGTTATTTTTTAATTATTTAAAATTGAATTGCAATGTGTTTTATGTTATGTTAAGTTTCCGGTTGTTTCGAAAATATTGAAAAGAATAATTAGAAATAGTCAGTTGTGAAATCATAACGTTCGTTCAACTGTCAGAAAAAATTGCAAATACAAATATCGGATGTACTAGGATCACAGCTGATTGCGGAAAGAAGCGAGACGGAAGCAGAAATGCCGAGGTGAGAGTAAAACAGTTTCTTTCCATATTATTATTTTCATCTTCTAATTTTTTATGTTATTGTGAACAAAGGCCCAGTAAGAGCTTTTCAAAAAGTATAGCAATCACATATAAATATAGACTTAAGATTGAAAAAATCATCCAAAATGCTGTCTTTTGCCGAACGTGACCATATTCCATAGTACAAACGACATCAGTATTTAAAAGCAATTGGAAGCTGTAAAATAGTAACAGCATTTTTTTCAAAAATCACGCCGATATCACCCTTACAATCCTGATTATATTTTCTGAAAATATTACTGAGATTCAGACCAAATATGGACGTTTTTTAAAGATGTAAAATGCGAAAATCATGATGTAGGGTATTTATTTTGCAAAAATACAAAAAACTAGGTCATTCTAAACATTTTTTTGCATTTGAGTAATGGAAAACAAATCGGTGATGAAAAACCTTCAAAAGGTCCGATTGCAAACACAATATATGAATAAATACTCTATTTAATTTTCTAATTTTATGCTTGTATTTTGAACTTTTTCAGTATTATTAAAAAGTGACGAGATTGTAAATTTTTGGGTTTCTCGATCAAAAAGGATCTTGAAATCGAAAGCACCCACCCACTCGGTCTTTGCCATCTCTTTAGCTCAAGCTAATTGAATAAATTGCCGACATGACGACTCCACCCTCTTCCTGCCTACATACAATACCTCGAAAATCATTTATGCTTCAGCTTTAAGCGTTCCATCTTTATTTTGGTACTGCTGTTTGTGTCAGTCACGGCCAAGAGAAAAACCGAAAGAAGATGTAGGTCCGGGGGCCCCTCTACTGGTGATTTCAAGCACTATTCTCGGACCTTGCATCTCATGGGACAAGGTTATAAAGAGGTTGTTGTTCCTAAAACACCGTTGATTCAATGGTGGCACAAGCTTCACAACTGGACAGGTAGAACAACAAAAGATGCAATCATTGCCAAAGGTAAGTTCTTAACAAAAATCTGTTAAACTGTTTGCAGTTAAAATAACAATTTATTAAGATTACGGCCATTTACATATATTATAAAATATCAGGTTTTATAATCGATAGGATAGTTGACTTTAATCATGTCGTACAGGAATCCTAGTAGGGCCGAACCATTAACGTACATGATAATACAAGTCGTATAGTAATTATTAAATATACAGTGAACGACATGTGAATATAATATATTTTCGTTTTTTAGGTCTAGAAGCGCTTCAATTTTTCAATGATCGATATGGCATTGATTTGATGGATCTTGTTACAACAGATGAACTGTACTTTGGCAACGTGTCACGCATCATCAATGTCACCCCGACCGAGTCCTATAGATTCAGAACCCTCGTACTAAAATGGCTCCCGGGAAATGATTACAGAGTGACTGTAGAAACGATTGGAAAGAGGGTGAACTACTTTGAAAATCCCGCTATAGTCAACGATCTTATGTACGAGGTCGTTCCTCTGGAAATGGGCGTATATGGCGGGACATATTCTGGCAAGAAAACCACGAACCATATTATAGGTTTTGGGGAGTACTGGATTGATTTTGAAAAGTATTGTGGGCTTGAAAACAAGGCGGTAAGCATGGCAATGCTCCTTCACATTTTTAGAACGCGTATACAGTAGTTAGTAAATAGCTCGGACCAGGTTATCTTGAACCGTCGTCATCTCCCGGGCTCATTATGCCTCAGTCACATTTGATCTGCGGCAACAGTACGATGGCCGTGCTTCCCAACATAGAGAGAAATATATATAGCATAAAATATAGAGATAAGCCCTGAGATGTAGATTTTCTACAGCGATTTTGTAAAGCTACGGCCACCGTATGGCCCCCGTAGATCAAATATGATTGAGGCTACGGACTCGGTGATCTCCCCAGGATTTCTTCTCAGGTGGGTGCAAAATTCTCATTTTCATTATTCAGACCGAAATTGGTCAAAATATGCCAATTTTTCATGATTTTTCTCATTTTCAAATGGGTGCAAATAGATTTTCAAGTGGGTGTAAGCCTGTTTTGAAAATCTCAGGTGGGTGCTGCGCCCACTTGCTTTAGTGCTATGGAGATCACTGATGACTTGATTCATTTTTAAAGGAGACACATATATTGTGTGCTTATATTTAAATTCGAACTCCTTTTAGGTCACTATATTCCATTGGTCTGATGTCCCGGCGGATCCACCATTGTATGTATGTAGCGTGAACAGTTCCACCTGGGGGCTTGGTCAGGGTCAGGGAGCAATTTGGATGGACGGTGATAGATCTGTTCTCCAGGAGTTAATAACATTTCCACCTCCATAATTCAGGATTAAGATTAAATAAATACGCAGATAGGTACTGAATAATAAGTGTTCTGTTTTAATTAAAAGTCAACCGCGACATTAAGGATGATACTGAACGAGACAGATGGCATTTTTGCCAATCTATTGAATTAGCAAGAATACCTTGCACATTTAATGCCAGCGCCAGAAGTGATGTCAAAAGTTTCCAACTTCTTTTTGAACGGTGTAGGGCGGTCGGCGTTCGGCATTTGTTTATCAAATTTATTTATTTATTGCATTACCACAAATACAATGTACATGGGTATAGGGAAACAATCTACACTATGAAATGGTAAATATGTTCTACTCATACTTCACTGGTGATCCGCTCGATTACGCTGGTTACCGAAACGGTTCGTTTCTGTAACTTAAGTGAGGAATTAAATCGACGATTCTGTTGTCTTGTGAACTATGTGTTCGCAAATATACATACGTTTGTGATAAAAATGTCATCATGGGAATTCTGCCTACAACGTGTGAGAGAAAGAAAAAAGAAAAATCGTACCTTCGATGTTCCGACATTTGGTACCAAAACGAACCGTTTCGGTAACCAGCGTAATCGAGTGGATCACCAGTGTACTTAATAATACTCTTTATACAAGAACATGATGTTGGAGATGCTTTTTAAAAGCAATCCCAAGAGAATCTGAACCAAGCGTGATTAAATGTTCAATTACGAAACTACTCCATCGATTTGCTTTATGGCTATATTTCATAAAACCAATACAAGTTCAGTTCAAAATAAAGTATACAGCGATAGGTCAGTGAACCCAAAAATGATAGCACAGGGAGTCTAGTACATAACCCCTAAAGCTGGAATAATACCTACGACTTGCTTATTATTGACATTTACTTTTTGTACAATGGTTATGAGCCCCTGGCATGGCTTTATTTTCTTTGTTTTCATATTGATTTATTTTGGCCTTTGATGTGTCTTTTGGTTCTGATCTCGAAGTCATTAATATCTATGAGAGTCTTTGAGAATTAGCATATGTATCTTTTACAAATAATTATACTCTGCTCTGATGCCAAGAAGGGAATTGCCCTTTCGTTCGTTTTAAAGCTAGACTCTGCGCGTTCAGGGGAATGTTACTTTTGAAGTATGCATCTCGAATGGAACGAAATATTTGCTTGATTATCCACTGTTATGCTTCTCATATATGGTTTCTAGATCTGCAACATGGGGAAGTGGATATCAAAAATAGGAAATATTCATTCTTATCCAATGGTTACAAGGATATAGATCGAATATCAGGTGAAGATATATTTGATATGTGGATCAAGATATCATATTTTAGCCCAAAAAATCCCCAAATCATCGAATATCACTTCTCAAACCATCGAATATCACTTCTCAAAAAGTGATATTCGATGGTTTTAAAAGTGTTATTCGATAGTTTCAAAAGTGATATTCGATGGTTTAGATTTTTTGTGATTTCCCATGAGATAAACGGACAATCCTATGGTTTTTCAAAAATATCAATTACATCCACTCATGGATATCAATATCTTCACTCATTCGCTGCACTTACTCATGAAGATATCAATATCCACTCATGGATATAAATTATATTTTTTTCAAAACCATAGGATATTCCTATATTATAAATTAGGGAATATTCTGTATTCAGAACGAGACTAAGTTACATTCACATACGAAGCTCTACTATCTTTAAATGGATAGTATACACCACAGGGAAATATCATATGTTATCCCATGATTACAAGGATATAGATCTAATAACACGTGAAGATATACTTCATATGTGGATCAAGATATCATATTTTAGTTAAACATCCTCAAACAATCGAATGTAACTTCTTCAAACTGATATTCGATAGTTTCAAAGTGATATTCGATGGTTCCTAAGGTGATATTCGATGGTTTCGATTTTTTCAATTTTCTTTCATATTTTCAATTGATTAAAAATTATACATATTTACATTTTTTCAAAACTTTTTTTTCAATATTAGTTTTTGCTCGATAATGAAACGGACAATCCTCTTTTTTATTCCATGGATATCAGAAATGATATTTTTCAAAACCATAGATTACTCTTTTAGTATTTGATGCCATATGTTGAGAGTTCAATCAACTATAGAACGAGAAACATGATAGTGAGATGATAATTAAAAATGTGTTTTTGTAGAGCAGGAGAAATTGATATCCTTGATTTCCTCTAGCATTTAAACAGCCTGGGCTCTTTCTCTAAATATATATTAAAAAAGTAAAACGAAGCAGAGTCGCATACATCTACAATAAGTAACAAAACCATAGATTATTCCTTTAGTATTTGATGTCATACGATGAGATTTGAATCAACTATAAAACGAGAAACATGATAGTGAGATGATAATTAAAATTGTGTTTTTGTAGAGCAGGAGAAAAGTCCTTGGAGAAATCCTTGATTTCCTCTAGCATTTAAACAGCCTGAACTCCTTCTCTAAAAATATATCAAAAAAGTAAAACAAAGCAGAGGCGCATACATCTAAAATAATGTATTGTTTTCGTCGATATCTAGACGATCGATTTCGGTTATTAATAAATCTGAGATATGATCGTGTAATCATGGTAAAAGTTATAATGGGAAAATGAATTTAAAATTAAACGGTATTTTTTGCAATGTAAGACGTGTGCCGTTTTCAATAACTTTGATCACAACTGGCTTCAGGTATGCTTCCAGCAGAAAAAATATTTCTAAGCAATGCATGGGTTGAGTGGTTAATTTTGTCCGAGAATAGGAATATTAAAAAACGTACTCATCGATTGGATCTAAAGGTTTACATGTTTTTAAAAATTGTGAAGCTAAACTCACAAGGGAAAATTAATAAAATAACAGATGTATTTACAATATAAAGGGAAATTACCGAATACATTTTTACCAATTCTACGGAAAACGTAATAATATGTTTATCTTACAGCATCTTATTCCACATATAATAGAAAATGGTTTAATTCAAAATGTTTTCTTGCATCTATCCACATACAATGTGATATAAACTGTTTCTGATATTACAGTATGAATTAATACTGCAGTATGTTAATATTGAATGTAGACACGATATCAGATTACTAGTATACTTATTTATTCTTATGACATTCGTATATCCGTTCATCAAAACCACTGGCAACATTAGAAATCAGACTCTCCATACAGTGGTTTAATTGAACTCATTAAGTTCTTGATCTGTTTGAAAGGATTTCTTCTTATTATCTCCCGTATAGTTGGTTTCTGATGCTTGAATGTTATCCCACCTTCAATTTTAATATGACACTCGCGCGGCCGCATATCAACGGTAAAGTCATGTTCACTAACATGTTCACCGTTACTTGAACTTTCGTTTCTGTTAGGATGGATTATGACTTGATCAAACAGTTCATCTTCAATTGGTGAATTGTCGTCAAGTATAAAATTCATTTCATTACGATATGAACATGATGTTGTGATCTGCTTTTCATCTTCATCATTTATTCTATATTGCGCAGCTCTCATATTTCCAATCTCCTCAGTTGTCGATTCAATATTGTCGTCTGTATGAGTAACCGTAGGCTTTACCCTCCTTGACCTACAACAGAGCATTTTCAATTCTTTATAAAATACGGTCACAACGATGATAAGCAGTTGGTCACAGCTCAAACCATCTCCCGTATGCGAGTTCGATTTTTCCAGATGTTTTTTATATTTGCTCAAAACAAAACTCAGCTTTGGGCCACGCTTTTTGGATTTCCATTTTACGCGTGGCTCAGGCGTACACCAACAAGACTGACATATTTCCTTGAGAGTTAAATTTTTACAATTCACAATACTATCTTTACATTTAAGTTGTTTGATGTGACGTCTTGTAGTGATGATATCACTAAGAACTATCAATCCAATTAATGTTATAAGTACAATCAAAGCAAGAGTACCAAATGCCTTAGCAGATGTCCTATTATCAGATTCAGTATAATCTGATTCCTGAGAGTAGGGTGTAGTGTAGGCAGAATAGATTTTGGTGGTTGTTGAAGAGTCTGAAGGTGTTATACGCGCACTACTTGTTGAAGAGGCAGTAGATGACGACACGGTGCTTTCTGATGCAATGCCTGTCATACTCGATGAAGAAGTATACGACTGGACGGTACTTTCTGATGGTTTGGTTTCAGGTTCTGTTGCTGTAAAATTAACATCAAAAAAGCATATAGTTACCAAACATAATCATAGCCAAGCATGTTGCATTGACTTGAACAAATAGACGTTTTATCAACTAAAAGCGGTTAAAATTGAAGTCGATAAGGTAGTATTAAATTTCTTAAGCCCAACTTTGCCTCGCATATTTATTGTTAACTCATCAATTGTTTGATCCTGGCTACTCCAATGTGACAAAAAATACATCTGAACAGAAACCCTTTTAAATATTTAGTTTCAAAATTTAAATACATTTCAGTACCTTTGCTACGCCACTGTGACCAAAAATTCACCTGAACAGAAAACCTTTTTAATATTTAATTTCAAAGTTTAAATATTATACATTTAAATACCTTCGCTTTGACAGTTAACACCTGTCCATCCTGGCTTGCATGTGCAACTCCATTTCTCGACGTCACTTGTACATTCCCCGCCGTTATGACAAGGTTCACTGATGCAATGCCAACCTACGACTTTATTCACAAGATAAATATATAAAATTGTTTTCAAAACAAGGTTCCATATCGGAATTCGAGCTGTGTTCATATTTTTATTCTCCGATTCAATGACAGACTAGCATTGAAATCCTAGTTTTCTGATATTTTCGATATATAGTCAAAACTTTAACGATTTTGATTATGCAACTTGTTACCATGGCAAAAAACGACTCCCTTCTATGAATTTCACTAGTCTGACTGCTATTCATGATCAGATATACTTCTATGATTTCAAAACGAAATTAAACCCTAAAGAAGATGATAACTGATTCAGCAATAGTTAAATTATAATACTGTCAACATGAAGTTAAACATGATCTATTTTATTGTTTCTATATTTTTAGTTTTAAGCGCAGCATAATACATTTCTTGTAAAAGCAAAGTGATTTTGATACCCTGTCGCATAAACGTTCCTGGCAATTTGTTCGAATTCCTTGACTCTACTTCCACTGAATGATCGTGACATCGATCAAAGAGGTCGTTGAGTTTCACCTGTTCCTTTGGCGATTGCATCTTATGAATCGATTTTGCGCTAAATCACGTACAATTTTAGAAGAAAATAAATACAATCTGCTCAATTCTCCGATTTAAGTATACCGTTTGGGAAATGGTTGGATTCTCTGTTATATTGGTGTCTTAGCTTGTATCCGCGAAAGTAACTTTTGGCTGTCGGCTGCCGGATTAACCTACTATTTTATTATCAACACATTTAGATATGAATAGCCCGAGGGGGATACTCCCATATATTGGCTATATGGGGACGTGCCGCTAAAGTGGGTCACTTTCTCGCCGAAAAATCTCTAGATGTGGGTCCCATTTTGAAGAAAAAACTAGATATGGGTCCCATTTGATGAAAAAATCCCTAGAACTCGGTCTACTTTTTAAAAATCCTAAAACTGGGTACTGTTTTTGAAAAAAATCGGCAAAAGTGGGTCTTGTTTTTTTAAAATTACATTGAAGTGGGTCTATTTTTGAAAGAAAAACCCTAGAAGTGGGTCCATTTTTAAAGAAAAAATCCCTAGATGTGGGTAAATATTTGAGTCTCAGCGGCACCCCCCCTGTACAAAACTTTGACCAGTACACCCCCGGGATGAATAGTACCTGGCACTATTCTGTTTATATTTAAATGAGCTGGTCATAAAATGGTAGATTAATCCGGTATATACTAACAGAGGAAAATATAAGCTTAATCGAATCTTAATACGCAACCAAGTAGCTATATTTTTGCGAACTCGTTCAGAAGCAGTCTTTAATACGTCCTTAAACAGTTTTAACCCGTTTGCAATTAGTTCTACCTCGTTCTCAATAGTCCTCAGACAACTCGTTGTACATGTAAAACGTCCCTAGTCCGATTACGACGGTTCCGTTCGTAGTACTTCCAGCTCGTCGTTAGTACTTTGTCACTCGTTCTAATTGTAGAACGTGACGACCACGAGATATATTATATTATGTTACATGTAGTTGTTTATCATTTTGTGCATGTTTGTATCCATATAAAAAATAATGATTGTAATAATTAATTCGGAGTTCTTTTGACATGAAATATAATTTACAAACAGCTTTGCTTATAAAAGGAAAAAACCCTCAAATGTTTGAGAGATGATGTTTTTACAACTGGATATTTCTCTCGATTTTGGAAAGCTACGGCAGCCGTACAGTTGTAGTAGATCAAATATGTCCAAGGCATTAGTTATTAGAAAGTCTTATTATCCACGTGAATTTGACTAGTTTATTAAGATTACTTTTAGATTTTCATTTCACAGAATTTCCGGGATCACATATTTTGAATCACAATTTTTTAAAGAAATACATGATAATCCAGATATCACAACCGATTAACTATGTTTTAGTAACTCACCCGCGGTTTGGCAGCTTTAATCAACGATTTGCTCAACCACTCCTGATTATTCAGATCAATTTAATTTGCCATTTGATTTGCAACAAGACATCCATAATAAGGCTTATGTTAAATCGAATTTCAAATGTTGCTGTTTATGCTTTTCAATGTGGAATTTCTAGATATCGATTCTGCATTGGTAATTTCATACCCAATACCCGAATACAATAGGATCATTCTTTGCAATGAATTCAAAATTAACGGAAACTGTCTTTAGACGGCGCTTTTGTATTTTATGAGATACCAATCAAAGAAACGATATGCAATATCTGCAATATACTCTAAAATATCTCTAATGTGCGCATAATAACAGTTATTTCATTCCTATCTGCAATTACCATTTTCTTTGAGAAAAGTAAAATCTATACATCGGAGAGATCCCAAAACTAACGTAAATTCCTTCATCCGATGCGACATATTTGCGACATACTCGCCCAATGGAGGTCAGTCCAAAACACCTCAGAATAAACGTACAATAGAACCTGTATATCTGAACACATGGCTTATCCGAACACCTCCCAATCTGAACAAATTTTTCGGTGCCATTTTTCCTCCCATTAACTCCCATGTTAAAAAGACCTTGAAATGTGAACGCCTCCCAATTTGAGCAGTAAACAGTCATATTTGAAAAATTAATTAATCTTAAGTCTAATCTGAACACTTTTCATAAATTTTCACTTGTTTAATACAAAATTGCTATGATACCCGATAATTCAGTCTTCAGTGCTTCATTTGCTTTCATTTTATATTTCCGAGAGGACTACGCTCTGCTAGGAGAGTTACTACATATAATGGGTAATTCGTAAACGGGAAATGTCTTTATTTTCCCCAAAATATAACCGTGTACTTTGTTTTTTTCCTTATGAGAGTGATAACACTCCGATCTTGTATTGATATTATTATTCAGAAATAAGGCTAGATATCATCTATCCATTGTGTCATTTATTGGTGTAGAGGATTGAGGCTAATTTGCTGTGCACCTACGGGTGACAATTTAAATATATCACCCGTGTACATATTTTCACAAAATCTGAAGAAAATCGGTCCACTTGTACACTATTTGAGTCACGCTCCTGGAACTCCGGGAAGATGGACAAATGGACGGATGGCTTTACTGTATCCCAATCGAATTTCGCTCCTACGTAAAATTATTCGTAAATTACCAAAATTAGAAAGAGGAGGTTCAGGTCGACATATTCACACTAGTTTTATTTAGTTTGAAAAATGTTTTGAATGCAAAATGGCGATTCATAACAATTCATGGCTTCTGATGTCGGCCGACCATTTTGCCGTTATATGAGCAATTCAAAATATAAAATTTCCATAATAGTTTCTTAAGTATCACCACAATATTAATATCATTATATCAATATATCAATTAACTGTTAACGTCTTCAGTTTATTGAGCTTATTTATCCGCACCATATGTTAATATTGAGTTTATATCTCGTAATTGTTTTATAAAGTTACAGAGAAAACAACTTTATTGTTAAGTTATTCAACATTAGCCATGTCACTATTGGCCGCGCCGGTTGTTTTGATGTCGATCATTGTCATTCCCCCATGACAAACACGACCCACGGGAGCTTTAAGACTCGATGCACCGAGCCTATCCCTATATAAATGTGATTTCTCCTTTCCCTTGTATGGGTCAACGGTTGTAACTGTTGGGTCTCGTGGAACCATTTGAAATCCAATTTGCTTTTGAGGCGACGTATTAAATAAACTAACTGTTGAAGCGTGTGCATCGTTTTCATCTTCATCATCTAGTTTATAGCGGTCAGATGAGCTATCTTTTGCTAGATTCATACGTACAGCAAGTTTCCTTCGCGACCTACTTGGACTCTGAAAATTAAAGACCCGAGGGTCATTGGTTTAAACTAAGCTTGTATTTGAAATTTGCAATTGCAACTTTCGGCTGTCAGCTACGTGATTAACCTACTATGAATAGCTAGGTAGCAAGGTTTGTAATTAGGCGTTTTACAAAATTAGTACCTGTCACTATTCTATTCATATTTAACTGAGTTGGTCATAAAATAGAAGGTTAATCCGATAGCCGACAGCCGAAATTGCATTAGCGAATACAAGCAATTTTGATTCATAATTACTACGTAATTCCATTGCTCGTATAAAATCACAAGAACACAATACATACACTTCGAGTTCCAGAGAGTACCCCATGGATAGATGAGATAGTCGGAAGATTTCCTTCTCTTTTGCCAAAAATCCACCATAACACATCGTGTTTCACTATATTTCTAAACCTACGGACTATCAGGTAGTATATAATAGGATTACACAACGTGTTCGACTTAGCAAATAACGTTGGTATAACTTTTAGCGCAGCAGGAATATGGTGAGTTCCATTGCACGCCTCGATCACGCTGAAAGTCGCGTATGGTCCCCACGTCACAAGAAAGCAAACCGCTGCACTGATTCCGACCTGTCAAAAATAGTGTTTTTCAGAAAATTGTGATACTTTATAATGATAATGTCCAACAGAAATATTTAGTATAGCTGTTTACGTGGAATCTGGCATTTACTGCTTTCGCTATAAATAAACGTTTCCAATAATTATTAACACATAGCTAGGCAAGGTGTGTCTGATTCCAGCCAATCCGACGAACACAGTATTTCACTGCGCGGTCATGCAAAGATTTGGAAACAACACCTTCATGGTATGATTCAGCAAACAACTGAGTCAAGGACTTAAATCCTTAAACCACGTCCCCTTTTCACAAATCAAAGAACCGGGAGCCTTTTTTCCGAACCGTCGTTACCTAGACAACGGTATTCCAGGAATCGTTATTTGAGAAATGGAATTCGGTATTAGTTTTTTAAAGATTTGCAATATCAAAGGATGTAGCAATAGGTAACAAAGTTTGCAGTGAGGCGTTTTACACAACTTATACCTGGATTTAGGTGGCATGGTTGTAACTGAAATTGCGTATACAAATATACCAAGCTCACCTACCTTTGTCAGTCGCCTTTCTGCAAATCTGGACGTATTGCCGACAATCGTACTATCGCTGTTGATTTTACTGATTATGCGTGAATATCCAAATACAATGGCCACTAACGGAAGAACAAAGTTAAATAAAAACGTGCATATAACATATGAACTGTCCCCGGTGTCATACCACTTTAATGTGCAGCTCGTGCCGCAAGGTTCAAGGTCGTATTCACCCCATCCAATCACAGGCGAAATACTCCAAAGGAATGATACAAAGAAGGCAATACAGACAGATCTCTTGATATTAGTTTTGTTTGGAACAAAGCAAGCAATTACCTCTGAAAAATAAATAGATAAATAGCAATCATTCGGGCCATCATTATGTTACAACATCGTTTGAGAGTGTAAGCCTATGTTACATTAGTTCCTATAGTTCTAAAAACACTTCGTTGGATATTTAAACAGGATCATTGATGTAAAATCGTTTATTGCTAGAATTTTCCCTTTTTGCTCCCCCTTGTCACGAAGATACAGAATATGTCTTTACAGGGAAAATTGACACACATTTATTACATATTTTATTATTTTGCGTGAATTGACAAATATCCATCAATTTTGGTATTCAAGGGGGTATTATACTTACCACTTCCACTGTGACATGTTTTCAAGTAGCGCACAGCGGCAATCATCCCAAGGGTATAGATATTTGAATACGCCAATAGAGAGCCCATAAAGCCATACCATATGCACCCTACAAATAGCACGATTTTTACGTTATATGTTACAGTAATAGTTTGCTAAGATATGAGGCCCTTTTCTTTATTTTTGGCGAAATCTTTTTGAATTTTCAAGTGTATATTTCACGTCCAATACAGCGATTGGTGGTATTACACGTATTGTGTCTACGACTTAGCTTGTATTCGCAATTATTGAACAGACGAACAACTATAGCTCACGCCAACTGGCATGTCACGTTTTTTGGCACACATTAACTGTTCCGTACATGTTAATTAATTTCACTTAATGATATAAACATGTAAACATGGCATACTTTGACATGTTTCGTGGCCAAATCGCATCTTTTTATATTTTGCTTTTAGTGTCACACTATGTGGCAATATAGCATTTCAATAATAGTAAAACCTGAAAGATGAATATGATGTACAAAGTGTCCCGTTTTCGAATTTAACGCAAACAACTTGTCCACTATCAGAACTAATCTACCAGAGGCGGTAATATAAATGATAAGAAAGTGGAACAATTTAAAGTACAATTACTTCAATCAATTTTAAATTTTCAAAATGGTCTTAAAATGTTGTTTCAATCTCAAGAATTGCCATAACCTGACTGAGGCTGGTTATAAACAAATGATTGCCATTTATATTCTTAAAAATCGTCATTTACCACTAGATAAGTGAAACTAATATTACACTGTATCTTAGCAACCTATATCACTTGCGATACACACATCAAATTGCGAAGCATTTTCAAAAATTCGTAATCATAACGTAAATATATCAATTGTTTCTGTTATAAATCTCTTTATAAATGAGCTAAACGTTCAACGTGAAAGTAATGTTTGTCTTTTTATCTAAGAATTGCCATGTTCAAAACATTTTCCCATTTCAAACCCAAAGAAAATGTTTCACACGTATCACATTTTTACAACATTTAATAAGACGACAATATTGGCCAAGCAGTTTAAACTTATGATAGGACCTTTAAGTACACATTTCAAATAAACAAGAATATACTACTTATTGTATTTTACACAGTTAAATTACTAATTCTTAATTTAATATTCGTAGACTGTGCTCACTGCTTCCACTATGAAACGTGGCATTTGCGATATAGATATTACAGAATAAAACTGTAGGAGAAAAATTAGCTTTTCTTAACTGTAGAGGGCTATAAAATCACATTGAAGATCGTATTGTTAAAACTGGAGGGTTCGTATATATGTGCATGGATTTATTGAAAGTATATCAGTCATTGCTTTAAAACTCACCGGTCATTCCGAATTGCCATCTAAATGAGAACTGAGAAGCGACGACGAAGGGGTACGCCAAAACGCACATGCAAAGGTCTATGAATGCCAAAAACACTATGTACATCTCCATGGGTCTCATTCCATGGCGTTTGATAAAACAGGCAGCCAGAACACATACGTTAAGCGTTATGCTTAGAATGCCTGAAAATAAATAATATTTACTATTCTAATGGTTCAGGTAAGAGAAGGGAAAACCTCAAAGCTCAAAGATGGCATTAAATTATGTCTGTTTCATACCAGCTTCGTTTTTCCGAACTTCTGCTCTGCTACCTCATATAGTTGAGGTAAACATATTCCTTATATCTTTCTTTTATCCCGTTCGTGAAATAACAAACCATAATATTGTTAAATAAGCTAGAAATTAAGATTATCTCATTTGAAGCATTGTTTGAACATTTTGTTTTCGTATATTTATAAAATCCTATGTCTTTTGACCAATCAGCATTTAGTGTCATATCTCTATAAACCAATGAAGTTCATCTTTGAACTCTGGGTTTTCCCTCCTCTTGATTCAAATTAATATAATTTTACATTGCAATGTTTTGCATATATGTGAAAAACAGAAAGTCATTACCTTTTTCTCATAATCTATTATCGACCAAGTAAATATGTATTTACAGTGGCACAATTCACACTCAATTTTCTGCGCCCATTATGCCATGTATAACCATTATGCGATCGACAGCTAACTACAATATTTTACAAAGGGTGATGTTGAGGAATTAACTTTCATGTGTCATTATTTATTTCCTTATAAAAGCAATGCGAAGGTAGTCAATAAACACCGGATCTTTAATCCACGGATTCAATAAAAACCGGATTATAATGCAGAAATGCCGGATCACAGATTTTCGCAGTTAGGGACCTGTCATTCTTTGAAACTTTTGTCATTTTACGTACTAGAAGACCTCAGAATGAGCCCTATTCTCATTTGCAGTCATATATGCTAGTTTTTGTCAATTGAAAAGCAAACTTTCTATTAGTAAACGCAAATACTATTACAATTTGTTTGAGAAGTTTTCATTCGTAACTAATTTGGACACACTTCGTGATCATATAAATGGTGTATCTAATTATGATGTTGATATACAAGTCCTGTTTGCGTCCTCCTTGCTGTCCTGACAATGTTATTTACAATTATAACTCTGTGTCAAGAATTACTACTCATTCTTGACATTCCTTTGGGAATGAGTACATTGAGGTTTCTGCCAGGGACAAATATGAAATAGGTACGAAACAAAGTTTCTATTTTTCAAAATTTGCGAAATTATTTAGTGAAATATAGCGTGAAATATAGCGGGTTTACAGTATCATTATGAAAATTGCATATCTTAGCATGGGAAACAGCATATGTTTGCATTCTACGTGGAACGTTTAGCATGTTGTGATCAGATGATAGATCGATCAGTGCCAAAATCTAGCAAAATGAACTAAAATGATAATTCAAACCCATTTGATAACCCTCCTCTTATTTCTATTCTGTAGAGTAAATCATGGTAATGGACTTTTTTTACATGATGAAATGATATTTTAATGATGCTTCACATAAGAGAAATGGTTCTTTCCCTAAAATCATTTATTGAAACAACACTATTATAAAATTAATGTAAAACAACGACAGGTCCCTCACTGGAAAAATCTGTGATCCTGCATTTCTGCATTTTAATCCGGGTTTTATAAAACCCGCGTATGAATCCGCGAATTAAAGATCCAGTTTTTATTGACTACCCAATATGAATGCCCTCTCAGGCATTAGATAAATACAGCAAGTGAACGCGAATACGAAAGGAATGGCATATATGCAAATGCTACTTCTAATCTTTGTCATTGAGTGTCGTATACAGGGTGACACAAAAATGCCACTCGCATGATGTTAAATATTTTTTTTGTCTGCATGATATTTGAATTGTTTGAATTACCTGAATTGTTCAGCAATTCCGCCGGAAGACGCAGATGACTAGCTTGACTAGATGCACCAACTTTATCAGTTTGAGCGTTTCAAGATGTGCTCTAAATATCGTTTCATTCTTTTGTAGACACACCTGGATCCTACTACAGTAAAATTTTAAATGTTAGGAACTACTTTGAATTTAAAAAATAAGCAATCAAATGACCAAATTGAAACAGTATATGTAAAAATAGAAACATTTATATTTATCCTAACTTTTGTATATTTCAGATAGTAATGTATAATGTGCAGCAAAGCTGTGGCCTTTTGTAATTTAGGGAGTTTCAGCCATGTTAATTTTTCCGAAATAGCATGGCAGAGAAGTATCAAAATATAAGAGGACACAGATATGATAGCTAGATTACAAAACAAACTAAAATATACAAAAGTTAGGATAAATATAAATGTTTCTATTTTTACATAAACAGTTTCAATTTGGTCATTTGATTGCTTATTTTTTAAATTCAAAGTAGTCACAAACATTTAAAATTTTACTGTAAGAATGTTACTAAGCTGTTGTAATACAACTTTGTAAATACTAATAATTTTGCTTGTACTTTCAGGGAGAGAAAGTAATTAAGCATAATATGATAAAATAATCTTACAAAAGGTGGGTGGCATTTTTAGTAGAATCAATGTGTGTCTATATAAGAATGGACGACATTTAGAGCATATCTTGCAATGCTCATACATCATGTGCATCTAGTTGCTTAAGATTCAAAATGCAAAAATGGGGAAAAATGTTTAAATTCTCCCAAATAACATAATGTGGTAACCAACTACTAGAAATAAACACATTATTGAAAACATCTTTAGTTAACCTCAAACAAAGTATGCACTTTTAGAAAAAAGACATGACTATGAATGATGTGAAAAAAAGTATTCCAGAATTAAAACAATTTTCGTCATGGATGCTTGCTAGATCTGGCACTATAAATAATTCTATATCTGTGTGTAGGATTATTCTAATTTTATAAAGGACGATTCTCGAGTTGGAGAACAGTCTCCTGGGCTAATAATTTTTTTCATGAAAACTATAGAAATATTACCCAAATTAAACTATGAATATTCAAAAGAGGACATCAAAATCTACAAGATGTAAAAATAAGAAATTGGTCTGAAGCAGGGGTAACGCTCAATTAGACCGATTTAATAAGATACAAGTCTCGATTTGGGGAAAGAAGTTCATCAGTGTACTGCGCTGGTGTAGTAATCTAGAAATATTACCCAAATTAAATTATGACTATTCAAAAGAAAACATTCAAATCTATGTTATGTAAAAAATCAAGTTTGTCCAAAGCAGGATATCGATAATGCTCATTTAGATTGATGAACTTCGTTCTCCAAACCGAGAATCGTCCTTTAGTACAATGTGTTACTTTAAGATAGTGGATAACAAAAAAGTTTTTAGCACATGGCATGGCCAGTATCCAAAATAAAAAATAATTATTAATGGATCTGGCTCATTTTCTCACCGAATGTTGATCTACTGATTAATCATACACAAAATAAATGTTCAGATGTTACATGTAATATTCTGTGTTCTATGATAACCATGGCAACCCAAGTAAAGGGTACTATGAGTAGTCAAAAAAGAAAGATGTGTTGAACTTAATGGGAAATACTTAGAATGAACATCTGAGAAAATAATAATATAGAAGAATACATTGAATGTAACAAAATATGTTTGTATTCGCATGGTATAAAACCATTAAGAAAGAAAACATTGCAATATTTTCTTTTTTTGACTGCTCCGAGTACCCTTGAAAAGGGTTGCCATGATTACCATAGAACGCACAATATTAAATGTAACACATTGAAATTTATTTTGTGTATGTATAATTAGTAGATCAACATAGCATACTCACCAACAATAGTAAGATACAATCCTGATACAATATCTACAGCCGTTGGAACATTTGATTTGAAATAATCCTCGGTATTCTCCATGACTTTGATATTAAAAACGATGCACAAAATCAATCAAAATCGATCTGACGTTTAAGAAAAAACTAAAATAATAGAGCGTGTTCTGATTACACAAAGCGCACATTTACCAGCCTCGGTGTCAGATCAACAGAGTGAATATAATATGCGTATACAATGAGTTTTAGAATCTCTCGTCTGAGAAAATTAGCTGCTAATAGAGATCTCACTTATGAGTAATTTGACACAATATGTAACTTGTCACTTAGGAGGACATTTGTCCGCGTTTGTAGCTAGGAAGGCAAATTAAATAAAAACCCTTCGAAACACAACCAAATGGACTTGTCATCGGAGTTATCAAATGACTGACCCGGTGTTAAATAACCATAACTTTCGATCGATCTATAATATCTATCTAATATATGAAAGAACATTATATTCCCTACTACACGGTGTTATAGCATGACGGTTACGACAAGGCGATTTGCAAATTTTTGCGGTAACGATAACAAAAAATGGCGGATTTGAAAGACAGCATGTCCTCTTTCTCGCATGTAGGCAAGATTCACAGATAAGATTTCCTTTTCAACTAGTTCCATTCGGTGACGTATATATGGATGGTTATAAAGACTGGGTCAAATCTGCCAGGTGGTTTACTAGAAGCGGAATATATGATATAAACTTACCGACTGAGATGTCAAAGTTCATATTTTTTAGTCCATTCTCGTGATTTCTCAGTATATGTTCCTCAGAGCCACTCGAACTATTAACAGTAAGTAAACTGTGTATAAACAAGCCATAAAATGACAAATCCAGAACAGGAACATGGTCATATTTTTTTATATTTTTTATTATTATTAAAATCATATAAACATAATATATACATATAAGTGATAATGACACCCTAGTGGGTGTATGTCTTATCACAAGCTAAAATATTTAAAAATGGCATATTGTTAGTTACATTTATTATTGATGTTACAAAGTGTCTCAAAGTATAAATTATGTAAGCCAAACTGGGAAACAAATAAAAATAAAAATGATGTACATTATAAAAGATGTAATAAAACATTTTAATGATGTAGAATAGCTAAATGGAAAAAGGTGCATCTGTTAAAAATTCGTACAGGGTGCTAATCATAGAGACTAATTACATGTCTTTTGAAGGCTCGCTTAAAAATAAAAATTGTTTTTGAATTTTTGATAACATCTGGAGTTGAATTCCAGATTATTCCCCCTTGAGTTTTAATACTTCGTTTGCCATAGTTGGTTCTAAATTTGGAAAAATGAAGATTGTCAGTCTGTCTTGTATTGTGGTCGTGTACCTGCTTATTTGCTTGAAAATAATTGCAAAATAAGTCATTCGGAAAATTGTATGGACGTTTGATGCATTTGTAAGTAAAGATAAGAACATTGAGTTTATAAATATCATTTATTTTCAGTATATTTAGTTGTTGAAATAAAGGTGATGATGGTGCTTTGTTATATTCACTATTAGTAACTAAGCGGGCAAATCTTTTCTGCAGCTTTAATAAGATATCAATATGTGTTTTTCCTGTCCCACCCCAAGCTGGGATGCAATATTGTAAGTGTGAATAAATAAATGAGTAATAGATATTCAATAATGATTTGATACTGAGTTTGTGTTTTATTCGAAATAGAGTACCTATGGTTTTTGAAATTTTTAGTGCAATTTTTCGAATATTTTCTTTCCAATTTAAATGGTCAATTATAACGCCAAGAAAATTTGTTGAAAAACACGAATAATGTAAGAGTCTCTAATTTTGATTGAAATATTATCTGGTACCCTATTTTGTGAAGTTGTAAAGACCATAAAGTTGGTTTTATCAATGTTCAATGAGAGTTTATTAGCACAGAACCAATCATCTACAGTTTTTAATTCATTATTCACTATATCAATTAAGGAATAAATATTTTTGTCAGAGCAAAGAATATTTGTATCATCAGCAAAAATTACATATTTGAATAAATTGCTAGAAGAGATTAGGTCATTTATGTAAAGGATGAAAAGTACGGGGCCTAAAATGGATCCCTGAGGGAACATTGATGTAAATAATAAGGTTTCAAACGCAATGTCGTTAGACGACTACGTATGAATTCTATAGACGGTAACGTATTGTATTAGATGTACATTAGATATTTAGCGGACGGTTACGTGCTCGTTCATCTTTCAAGTTAAGGTTGCTAGTTCTGATTACCTCTTTCCATGTTATTGTTATAATGGGTAAGAAATAGAATATTGAATTGCTAATATTTGTTTTCAGGACTCGCAAGAGACGCTCTTGTTTGAGCCTCTATAGGGCAAGGAGAAAATTGTTTCTTGCTTTATTTATGTAATCAATTCAAGTAAAAATGATAGCAATGAAGAGGCACAAGAAGAATTAGCATCAAGTACTGATGAATATGACAAAATTAATAACAATGAATCTTGGATACATATTTGAACGAGGTTCGCGTAACCGTCAATCAATTTTTGCGTAACCGCAAATTAAAAATAGAATATTATGGCTGAAGTAGAACATATTAGGTGGTTTCCAATGCTCAATTGGCTTTTTATGATCGTATGTAGGTTACATCTACATACCCCGAGGTCGTTAGGCAATGTAGACCATGGCCTAACGATAAAAATAAACAAATTACTAAATTTTGTGTAGTTTTGAATTTCAAACTCAACAGTTTTTCGCTTATTTCATGTTATCCGAGGGCATCAATTTGCAAAGAATACGTTCAAAATATACATTATTAAGTGCATCACCGAATGCGATGCCTACAAAATCGTTCATCCTTTCATTGATACACAGTAGAAGAAAATATACACCAACCTTAGTTTTCTGTTCCATCGCGGCCATTTTATTGGATAAATCAGTGATCGTAGTCGTCTAATCTCGTTTCCAGAGGTGTCGTAACCGTCATGCTATAACACCGTGTACTATATAAAACATCATTGAGTCCCTTCACGCTCCCAAAGAAGAAAAAGCACAATAACATTATAACATTTCTCAACTTCAAGGAGGTACACGGGGAGATATGCTAAGTACTAAAATAGTACAAAATTAGTACTAAATTAGCAATCGTAATATTTAACATTTTAACCGTCGCGTAAAGTATTTATCGCATTATCTAAACATTTTGGAGCCTCCATTTTGGAGCCTCCTGGAGCTGCGATCTGGTTAACACAGTGAACTGGAAACGCTGCGGTAGTCTAGATCTGTTTAGGAAATATATCACTTGGCTCTCCTCTTCAGGAGAGAAAGAAAAGATCTATTATACCCATTGGCATCAAAAGAAGAACGATTAATTCACATAAAAACCTTTTGTTTTTTGTCATTAGTTTTATGTTTTAGCACACATCATCTAATGAAGGCTTAAGTCGGCTTATTGCACGTGTAGGACCACCAGGTTGGAACGTTTCAATTTGCCTAACAAGTACAACACGTTTTTGAGAGATAGATTCGATTCCGAACTCTTATCTAATAATCTGAAAATAATATCAAAACAAAATGGTAAGAGCGTTTCTAAAATTGTGCCCTTAATCGACGGAGCGTTTCGAGGAAAACAAGCAATTTCTCGATAATTAGTAATGGATTTGGACTGGGATTTTAGGAAATGAGAATATACGAGTTTGTTATCTCCTACGTTGACAGAAATATTGACGTTTTCATGTAAATACTTGACATAATAAGTTTAAGTCGTAATTTGTGGTCAATTTGTCAACTTGAGATTCGTTCGATCTACACTACGGAGCTTTGATCAAGCAAATAACAGTTTATAACCAGAAGTAGAATAAATAAGATCTTTGCTCAGGGTATTGTTCATCGAATGGTACATAATACACCCTATGCAGACAGAGCCTGTGGGAAATATTGGGTGGGGAGCAAATGAGCGGAGGGTGCGGAGCTAACGGTGATTTTTGAATTTAAATTTGGGATATTTCTGGAACTAAGCCGTTTTGGGACTTCAAATATACCAAAATATGTGTATTTGACATCAAATATCAATACAATTGTGAAAATAGCGCAATTCATTCTATAGCGACGCAGTGTGCCTTAAACCTTTCCCAGACCTATATATTTTGAAATTATCCTTTTAATACTGAGTCCCCAGCATTCATAAAAAATGGTGCTATATCTCTAGTAATGATTCAAGTCAGGGAATCGAGTGCAATTATGCATGACAATATGCTCACCTATTCTAATATAAGTTATTTAAAATATTATATACTTCAAATGGGACTATACTGCCCAGTTTTTATAGTCTCTAGACAAATGTAAGTAGACAACATAGTCTCCCTGGACATACCACGTATAACTAGAAAAATAAGGATAAGTTGTCTCTGGGACAGAGGCAACCAGAAAATATAGTCCACTTGGACGTGTACATCTCGAAAATTAAGAATAAATTGTCTCAGGGGCAGAACTAACTAGAAACGATAATCTCCTGTATGTGCATTACTATCAAAAATAATTCCATGAAAACGAGGAAACGAATATGCCAAAGCATTTTAGTTCCATTTTATGCAGAATATGTGAAAGAAAAAAAGGATATACAGGGTGTCAAATAAGTCCTGTCCCCCCTCTACAGCCAAAACCAAGATACTTGGTACCAAGTGTGATATATCATTGGAAAGGTATTCCGAAGTTACGTTGATTGGCATATATCTGACACATGTCAATCAATCTCACAAATTTTTACATTGTATCAATTGAGGTGACCATAGGCCTAGAAACATGGCAATTTGGCGTATTTGGCAGAATTTTAAGAATCTGGTATAAGAAAGGTCAAAGGACCAAAAGATGGCTCAATATGTATATGGCAATGAATTCAACCAATTGCTGGATAGGGTTAGATGTGTAGCAAATAGAGGTGCAAGGAAAGTGGTGAATACCTTTTTATGTAACAAGTGGAATACGAAAAAGATTAACTTTTTGACATGTTTCTTAGGTCATATCCTTGTCATTTTGACGCAAAAAGCTGCTTAAAGGGAGGGCACGTTAACTATAAAGGACATCATGAAAATATAGGTAAATTTCATCCAAAATACTTGAGAGTTGGTGAATTAACATAACTTTGGATGATCTTTTCAATGGTATATCACACAAGGTATCGTATATTAAGGTTTTAGCTGTAGCAGGGGGGCGGGACTTATTTGACACCCTGTAGAGTGGAATTGCAGTCGATTCACTTTATATCAGCCAGAAGACTGTTATAACCACTATACTAACGTTGATAGGATACAATCAGTGTTTTTAATTCATTGATATATCAAATAAATTACAATACTACTATAGAACAACATCTATACATTTAACAATAAAGATATACAGGTATGTCCAGGGAAACTTTATTTACTCTGACACTGGAGAAAGTGTAATGTTTGCTGAGATATTAATAAAGTATCGAATGAATTTATCCTGAAATGCAATAAGGAAATGGTATTGACGCCAAGACATGAACGCTGGGAGTATCATCATGAGAATAACATTTCAAAATATTGGCTATCTGATATGTTTTGGACAGTATCAGGTTTAAAATTTTAGCGCAGATAAGTACATGAAGAAACGAACGACCTCGATGAAGGATGTTTTTCTTGTCATTTTCTAAATTAGAAAAGCATGAACCTGACAAAATATCTCCATCTAATTTTACAAACAAAACAGAACATTTTTTACTACTGTACTCCCCTCTAAAAGTTAAGCAACCTTAACTCCCTCATTGAACTACGTGTTAAAGCCTATTTATACTTTATTACATAACATGCGAGAAAATAACTTAATGTTATATTGATGGAAATGTAACTTGACTTCATTTCTAATGTTCCTTATTTTCCCATTTTTCCCCTTAAGTACAAGAGGTCCAAAATTGATGATAAATCTGTTAAATATTTGAAAATCGACATTCAAATGTATACCTATGGGAAATGGTAGGTTTTTCGCAAGTCATATGACAGAATATCCATCTATCCGAGTTCTTGCAAAAATACAAGTTAGGTAGTCAATTGAATTTGCCGACTTTATTAAAAAAAATGATACTTTTCTCCAGGTTTAAAAAAGCAATAGGTCTTCACAGTCAAAATTATTTTTCAAAAAACTCCTCCCATTGAAATAACACAAGAGGCGAAAAATATTTTCAAAAATGACTTTATAGCTCTGTAACTTTAGTATTCATGAAGTAAACTGAACACTCAGCGTGCGAAAAAGTTAGACAATTCAATTTTTTACATAAAAATATTTTTAGTAAATCTTTTACTGGATAGATATCCTAAAATCAGATTTGCCCAGAACCCACCATTTTCTATTGGTTTACATGGGAATAACGATTTACAAAAATTCATCAAATTTATCATCATTGTTCGATCTATTGTAATTGAGGAAAAAAATTTGGAGGCATTGGAAATATTCACCAATATTATAAGTATTTTACACACTGGTTGTGTTAATAACAATTCAAACATAAAGAGCCCTTTACACATACTGGAGTTGAGGTTGCTGAACTTTTGGAGGGGAGTGTAGTGATATAATGTACTGTTTTGTTCGTAAAACTAGATGGAGATGTTTTTGTCAGGTTCATTCTTTCCTGATTTAGATTATGTTCAATCAACTGACGTCATAAAATCCGAAATATTTAGAGGTTATGTCACTATCGTGGCATATATGCCCGAGGTCTCAGTGATATATGGCCCGACCTTAGGAGGGACATTGATCTCTGAGAACCGAGGGCATATGTGCCACGATAGTGACATAAACGATTTATAACATACCTATGATGATGTAGACTGGTCAGAGAGTACCGTTTTCTTATAGAATTGACAAACAAATGGTTTGAAAATGATTGAAATGAGTTTAGAAAAATTGCTCGCGCAGTTTTATCTTCGATTGATTGGTTATGACGTCAGCGCCTTGACCAATCAGAAAGTTAGCGGGCGCGGGCTTTTCAAAACTTATATTGGCCTGCTGTCCTGCTTACACTTTGCACTATTCATCATCATAGGTATGTTATAATTAATATTATATAACCTGATACTGTCCAAAACATATAAGAAAACCACAAGAAAAGATTAAAGATTGGTTGTGAGACATTAACCTCTTCTGATCAATAGCTACAAGAAAAACAAATCACAAATAACAATCTTTGACATTAGCTTCCCAATTTGCATAAAGTAGGTCTTAATCTATATTTGGAATATAAGCCTACAGTATCTCGTTTCACTAAATTAACCTGACATGGAACATTGAATATGATTTTCTGTTCCTTACAGTTACTTTTAACTGTTTTTCCCATGCACTTTATTTTGTCCACCTGAATTAGTTTTCACAATTTATATAAATGCTGACATAGTAATTTGAACATATAATCGTTTTCGGTCATCTTTACACATTCACTTATTGTCCATCCTTCTTTATACTTCAATGTAAATGCTATATCCACCACTGCAATTGCTGCAAGTTTCCTCGAGCTCTCAGCTAGACTGACACACTTAGGGAATTCATGCTTACCCCAAGCAAGTGTTGAGAACGAGGCAGAACTAATTGCAAATGGGTTTAAACTGATTAAGAACGTATTCAATACTGCTTATGAACGAGTTAGCAAAAATATAGCTATCACACCAAACAAGTTGCCACTGCGTTCTTCAAAACTGGTTTGAAACTGTGTGCGAATGGAATGAACGTAGCTGCAACTTTCTAAGGTCTATTTACGAACTTTATGAACGTTCTCAGACGGGAATGTGATTTTAGAATTTTGAATCGATTCAAAATTCGATGGCGACCATGCCGTTCTGTAATCAGGTCATGTTGACCTTCTAGACTAAGGGACGCGTTCTACGACGTTGCACACCGACATGGTGCGACCTGAACGAACTGCGAACGAGATGGACGTATTGAAGACTGTTTAAGGACGAAGAAGCTAATTATTTCAGACATATTTCCCGACCACAGCCAGATTGAGCCCGTTTGACGACGTTTTCGTAGGACTGGCAAGAACGGGTAAGAACTAGTTTGGTGTGATAGGGGGGTTACATGTAGTATGCTTCTCCTTTAGTTACTCCGTCCCTAATACATATTTTCTTTTGTATTTTTTATTAATAGATATTTATTTCAACAATCGTTTGTCCATACGTTTGTACGTGTTTAGTTATCCTTGTGAAAATAAAAGGCAAAACAATTCCTGTTTATGAATACGTTGTATATTTGTAATACCTAACCCCTCTATCACATCAAACTCGTTCTCAACCGTTCTTTCCAGTCCTACGAAAAAGTCGTGAAACGGGCTAAATCTGGCTGTGGTCGGGAAATATGTCTAAAATAATTAGCTACTTCGTTCATAAACAGACTTCAATACGTCCATCTCATTCGCAGTTCGTTCAGATCGCACCACGTCGGTGTGCACACGTATTTCAATTGATATCCGATTGCACAACGTAGTATAACGCGTCTCTTGTAGGGTTGAAGTACGGCAATTACGTTCCTGGTCTAGTAGGTCATCTCGTTTGAAGTACGTTGTCAGACGATCTGGTAATAGAACGGTATTGTCGCCATCGAATTTTGAATCACTTCAGAATTCTAAATCACCTTCCCGTCTGTGAACGTTCATGAAGTTCGGAAATAGACCTTAGGAAGTTGCAGCTACGTTCATTCCGTTCGCTCACAGTTTAAAACCAGTTTTGAAGAACACAGTGGCAACTTGTTTGGTGTGATAGCTATAGCTACCCGTTCGAGTACGTTCGATGAAGTTTGTAAATAGACCCCAAACGGTTTAAAGTACTTCCAGTCTGTAGAAGTTCAAATCTGACTATACATTGTAGATTTGACCTTCAATGACATTCTCAAGGTCAAAAAAGAGTTGACCTTCAATGACCTTCTCAAGGTCAAAAATGTATTTTTAAACTTGCTTCAAAGGTCCATGTGCAAAATGGCAAGTGATTTTAGGCGTTCTTATCTTTCACCAGGAGTACTTTTAATTTCTGGCCATAAATACAGTGGACTTTATTAAAACAATATGTTTTCTTTCAATTGAAGTCCCCATGATGATAAAAATATCAATCGAACAACTCGAAAAATTATAAATAGGAACCCCACGTCAACATTTTTTCAAAATGTTGAACTTATTTGCTCAAAAGAGGATCTTCTTTTCCGATTTTTATTGCATGAAAAGATTATTCAACAAGGGGTCTAAAACATCATCAAAAGTAGAATGGTATTGAAAGTCTAGTTTGAAGATATCAATTTTCGATGACAAAAATCTTGCTGAAAATAATGGATAGCATGAGTTTTCCTTAAGGGAAAATAACATGGGAAATGTATTTTTTAACTTTATTGCATTTCAATGCCTATCAACTTTTCAGAATTTATTAATAAAGTGTAGGGGAAACTTTTGATATATTTAAATTGTGAAAAACAAGATCCTCTTTTTAGAAAATAAGACTTACATTTTTTAAAAAGTGACAAGATTGGGTCCTAATCCATAATTTTCAGAGAGTTGGATTGATATTTTACTATCATGGGGACTTCTCTTTAAAGAAAACATAATATTTTTTCATAAAAAACCACTGTCTTTATACCCAGAAAGTACTTATGGTGAAAGATATGACTGTCTAAAATCACTTGCCTAACTAATTATATTGTGAGCAACTAGTTGATGACATTTTGTCATGTTCATGTATCGTTTCCTTTTCATTAAGATCGCTTTTAATGTCTCTACATTTTTGTTTAATGTTTTCCTTTTGTTCTTCCGTTTTTTTCTTTACCAATAATCGCGATTTCAGTTTTTTCTTCATTTATTTGTAATACATAATACATGGTTGCTATTATGATATCATATTTATAGTCCTGCAACATCGGCTAAACTGTACAACACGACTGTATGGTCTCTATCTTTTCACTTTAATCGATTATTCTAGGTGTTCTCTACACTACTTTAAACACAAGGTTCATTTCAGTGAAACAACTCTAACTTTTGGATACGTAAACAATTGATTATAATTTAACAACGAACAAACCTATTTACACCCCAGTCACATTTGTCGTACGGAGGGCGTGCGTCGACCGCAGATCAATTAAATCAGTGTATTTCTGCGGAAAACTACGCTCGCCTTGCGGTCTCCGTACGGCGTATCCAGTTTTTTACAGGCCGCAGGGTCGCCGTAGAAATTATAACTCGGAGTTATAATATTTGTTCATTTCTGAGGCCCCCGTAGAAATCAACTGGCTCAACAAGATTGAATCATTATTTGTCAATGTTTCACGATCACTTTTCATTTGATATTACATCCAGCACTATGAATAACATTTTATAAATTGTCTTGAAGTAAATCAAATGAAAAAATATTATTTATCAACAGAAATTTAAAATTCACCGTGCGGCTGCCGTGGGAAATGTGACTGCAAAAGTATGAGAGCGCAGAAATTCTACGGCGAGCGTAGAAAAGCTACTGGCCGGAGAAATGATAGACCGCATGGCGGCCGTGGGAAATGTGACTGGGGTGTTACTACCAATTGACCTCAATTGTAGGTAAATTAATTAGAAGAAAATCGTGTTACAAAACTACATATTAATTAACATAGCTTATATGATTTGTGTGTCCTAAAAAGGTGGCGTACCAAGTGTACTGTGTTGCACTGGAGAAAATACAATACATGCACCTGCTCCGTGACTAAGAAAAAATGTTCAATTCCCTGATAATCTATTTGAAATCTAAATGAATATCTGGATTGACTATAAGTAACTATTTATACCATATGATAAAGGTGCAAAATGTTAACGCAATTTCGCTCAAAGTCCGCAAAGTAGTGAAGGTTTTCACTTGCAATGATATCAGATACTATGTCCGTACACCCGAAAGTCCCCCCACATTTCTTGCGTTTATGTTGTCTGGCTCACATCGGACGTGGACAATGCTGACCTGGATGTCGCGAGTGATGCTCTGTAGTCCTTAAGAAGGTTTCTTCTCCGTCTCGATCCGCAGAACACATCCACCAGCGAAGAGCGAAACTTCTTACCACTTACACAGTAAAGAATAAAATTGATAGCGTTGTTTGTATACATCAGACAGAAGACTATCGCACTGTTCAGATGAGTTTTGGCACGTTCGTGGGGTCCAGCTGGGCCATTAAGCGATTTATCTACGATAAAATGCACAACAACCGGGCCTGTTAGGATGAGGAAAGTTATTGATAGGCAAATCAGCATTATCGTAAGAGAGCGGGTTTGGTTATCAGATGACGAGCTTGACACAGCCTGCATGGTTTGTCTGCGACGTTGAGATGCCCTGATGAGTTGGATAATAATCATTACATTCGAAATCGTAAGAAGAGAGAAGGGGACCAAAGAAGCGACAAATGCATCAATCCAAAACCAATACTTTGTATGAAATGTCTTTGTACCGTCCACGAAGTAACAGTTACCCTCAAATCTGACCCTACCGTTGTCTATCTTGATGAAGTAGCCAACTGTAAACAGGTAATGTCCGTTGATAAGCATAAGTGTGATTAGGATACACAGCGACACAATAACTGCCCGTATCCTCGTGCACACCAACTTGGCCCGTAGCGGCATATACACTGTGATAACGCGGTCCACGCTAAGTGCAACCAACAACCAGGCGGAGAAATCCAGCAGGGTATAGATTGAAAAATGATGTAATTTACATACCCATTCATGGGTCGCACGTATATTTATGCCCCAAGCCCTTATAAGCCAAACTCGACCACCTCCTAATATCAACGCAAATGTATCAGAAATCGCCAATGCTATAAGGTAAACGCTTGATGGATTCAAGAACATACTTGAACACCGTAATACCACAATCGACGTAGTATTGCCTACAAGACCGAAGACCATGATTCCAAACAGTACATAGGTGAGAAGAATCTGTCCAATTTTATACTCAGTATAATCTTCTTTTCGTATAATTGCAATCATCTCATTTTCAGACTCGGGAGTACTTGTAGCTTTCATGACAGCGATTGCTGCAGTAGCGTTGTTCATATCTTGTGTGACATCATCCGATACTCTGTCAGACGTTACGGTGATTATAGCATGCGACATACTTGTAAACATCATGGTCATATTTGTAAAAGCCATGATTGTCTTAAAGAAGCGTTAGTTATGACTGTTGTCCAATGTGACTTGTGATTTGTGTTTGGTCCGCACTAGAGTTGTCTTCCAAGTCTTGTGTGTAGCGAATTTGCGATTACCCTGAGTCTCTAGTAACTATTCACACATCCCTCTAACTACACCGAATGATTGAACAGCGCCAACACGATCTTAATTATTTCAAATGCAACTTTAATGGCCATTTCTGGGTTTTACATGAACATTAAATACCATGCTATCCTATACAATAACACAAAGTATTTTTTGATTATCTGACTTCATAATGTGATTAGATCGCTATGCAAAATATTTTTTCTAATTAAAAGAGTATCGATAGTGACAGTAATTATATCTTCTGATGGGTGTCTATCTATCTGTCCATTGCCATCAATCTTGATTAGTACAAATGGAATTATGTATCGATCAACAACACATCAAACAATATTATTTACCGCTATTGATTTCTAAATTAACACATTGTGATTTGTGCAAATACAACCAAATTAGTATTGAAACATTTGTAACACGTACATTATATAGCCATGTATATATTATGTACATAGTGTATAGTACGCATATCCGTTATCCTTGGAGTATACGTAATACTCGAAACATTTTAAACAATTGCAAAGTTAGCGATTTTGAATAATATGATCGATACATTTTATTACCCTAATTGCTTTAATATTATTTATTTTGTAGCATACTAATTTGCATTACTTACCTATTTAATTGCCAAGAATATGATTATTATGTCATCGTATCGATAAACACAATCAATAAACACTCCCATCACAATGACGCACGTACCTTACTCATAATCGGTATAAATAACATTGCCCATGTCTTTGAATATCAAAAGGTTTATGACCGAGCTTTGTTCTTTTGCGATACCTTGCTGTAATTATTTTGGAGATATCCACTTATTTAACCTTGAGTATCAGAGCTAAGTACATTAATTTGACGAGGCCCTCTTTTAAAGTAAACGAAATCAAACTATTTTGAAGTCACGGCGTTTTTTAAGATCTAGCCGAACGGGCTGCGTGCGAATGACAACGGTCAAGATTGCCCGTATTTACTCATAAAAAGGTGTTCAAATGTGTGGATGTTCTAAGACGAGAACATGTTAAAACTTGGATCCTTATCATAATAGCTACCCGTTCGATTGGGTCGTCCAGGGTCACAGCCGCCCCTACATAGCAGCAGCCCCATAAAATGTTGCATATTACGTATATACCTGTCGTCTGACCTTGACCAATTCTTGAATTGAGGTGAACTACATTTGACCTCGAGATGAACTTGGCCCATAAACATTGATGTTGACCTCAGGTCACCTAATCATAGTACCACAGTATCCTTCAAGGTCCTGAAAATGCCAAATACTTAGATACTGACCTTTGACCTTGCGATGATTTTGACCCATAAACATTGGGCGTGACCCTAGGTCACCTAATCATGGATCGCCAGTTAAGGGTCACAACAGTCCCAAGGGTCTTGAAATGCTTAGATATTGATCTTTGACCTTGGAATTGACTTTATTGACCCATAAAGTTGACCTTGATCTCAGGCCACCTGACATTCTTTATTTTCAACACATGAATGATAATTTTAGAGCATAGGTGAGTAGAGCATGTCAGTGATATGTGACAGTGTTACATAATAGAGAAAATGTTTTTTAAAAGGTATTTATTGTGAAATTAGATATAACTTCAAGATTCGCAACTAGGATACTTAAAAAGCAAGTCTATACTTGAGGAACAGGTGAATTCCAGGTAATACCTTTCCGCACATTTATTTTCATTTGTTGAATATGACAAGTACAGTATTATATATGAGAAAATGTCAGTACAACGGCACATTAAAAACCAATTGCTGTCTACCACACTTCACAGTTATATGGTTTAGCAATTTGTGACGTCATCGCACCGTTTGTTTTTGGTTCATTTTCTGCCATCTTAATGAGGTCTATTGAAACTGCAAACATTTAAAAATTTAAATATGAGATATGAACTTGTAATATGAAGTTGACGGTTACAGAATTGATTCATTTTGAACATTCAAATCATTCATTTCCCTAACAGTGCTGTGGATTATTTCACACACATCTAATGGCTGGTTGATTGTGATTGGCAAAGGTACAAAAGATGGTTTCATAAGGTAACAGGCTCTTACTAAATACGATTTCAAAATATGGAAGTTGTGAGGCCCGTAGACAGGATTTGCCAAGGAGGGTGTTCACATTTTGAAAAATTCCAGGGGGGTTCACTTATGACAATTTTGGTCCAAAAATGGCCAAATTAAAATCACTTAAAAAGTGCTCAGAATGGTGAAAAACTGCATGGTTTTGAAAGATATTTTGGCCAGGGGGGGAGGGGATTCGCACCCATCGACCCCCCTGGCTACGGGCCTAGTTGCTCACACTTTGTGCAGTATGTACATACTCTACCTTAGATAATAGAGTGAGTTCAAAATACTCAAAAGTACATGTTTCTACTTTGAAAATGCGAATAGTAACATATTTTATTATGCACCTCATTAAAATACTCAAATCTGATTGGTTAAGAGCTGCGGGGTCTATTGCCATACGTGGCAGCAAGATCTCGTTCTATCCAGTATTGAAGCAACGAGATCACAAACCATCTTGTATGTAATACCTATCCTCGAAAAATACCAGACTCGGATTCTTTTTTTAGTAGACACATTCTTTAAAGTATTTCTTGACAATTTAACACCATCTTCTATTTATTTACAGTAAATTAATGGTAGGAATATGATATTAACCAAGGGAGGTGCATAAACAAATAAATACTGAATGACCATGAGGTGGATATGCCAGAATACGTATCCGAGGAAAAAATACATTAAATGTCCGATTTACATTAACAAGGCATAAACATGATTGAATCTCACCACCTCACATTATTATGACTTTAGATTTGAAATATGACCTTCAATGACGTTTTCAAGGTGAAAAAACGATCAAAAAGGTATTTTTCAACTTGCTTCAAATTGACCATTTTTCAAAATCATGTACAAGTTCTCAGGAGTTCAAATCTGACTTAAGATTTGAGACTTGACCTGATGTTACCTTCTCAAGATAAAGCGGTCAAAAAGGTATTTTCAACTTGCTTGAAATTGGCCATTTTTCAAATTCATATACAAGTTTCCTGAAATTCAAATCTGATTTTTAGATTTAAAACTCGACCTTCAATGACCTTTTTGATGTAAAAAGGGTAGATGATATTGAAAAAAAGTTATCAGTGTAAACAGTATTTCCTAAGTTATTGGAAGTTGTTAGAATTTATTACAGACGCTGACAACAAACCACCACCATTTTCATGTCAAAAAATGATTATAATTAGACTGTTTCGGTTGAGCATGCATTTTTAAATGTAAAGAGGTAATTCAATGCACTATCCCTGCAAATTTCAAATAAAATTACTAAAAACGCATGTGTACAAAAATCCCACAATTTTGTATGTCTACACTGAAAAAAAACTTGAAATTCTCCCACTGTAAAGGTATGGTTCTATACAGAATTACACGTCATAAAACTGATGCGCTAAGTCAGTGTGCCGCCCCACTGTGAGCACACAGAACATGACGTCAGATTAGTCTACTTGCTACACGTCAACCCAGGGGTTGAGGTTTACCGCAGATAAGAGCTACATTTGATAACAAATTTTATAAGTAGGCCTAATTTCTATAAAAAATTGATCTTAAAATGTTAGTTGTTGTTTTATGATTATTATCTACAAATTAGGATGGATGAACTTATGGCATTTTACTAATGGTGTAAACTAAGGTCAAATAAATCACCTCATCAGCACTAAAGTTTAAATACACCGTATGAAAGCTGTGAGTGTCAGAATATTTAAGAGTTTGAACCCAGATATGCTGAGATAGGGGTCATTAAGTGCAGTGACCCCTATGCTACATAAATTAGATTTGATATTTAAAAATAGAGTTTACATTTGAGTATTTAGGAACGCAGAATACAATTTACTAATTTTCCAGTGGGAATATTCAGATTGCAGCAAGTGTGCATTTACTTTAAATGAGAACATGCAATTTTAACTTAACAGTGGGTATTTTCAGATCCCTTTTGACCTCAATATCTTTTTAAATCCTTATAAGTATAGTTATTATTCTACAATATTCCAAATAAGCATACGCAATCTAAACAAATGGTATAGGTGATTCACTACATATCAAGGTAATGCCGTGGTCACATTTGCCCCGATTTTTACTACGGCGCCCTGCCGATGAGTATTTCTCAATTTTGAACAAGATACTCAATCGGCCCGGCGCCGTTGTAAAAATCGGGGCAAATGGGACCACACATTTTGGAATCCATCAAGCCAAGAATATTTGACCTTTGACAATCTATTGTCACACCTATTTCCAGCAATCTCGAAGTCCATAGGCAATTCAAAGGGTCAATATCCTTCCATCGTATTGTGGGAAATATTTCCTTTATTCAGATTTCAAAATGATGCCTACACACTGTACCTATTCAAGTAATTATAAATCTAGTGAACAAAATACGAAAGGCCATAAAATACACGGTGTACTATGTGGAATAAACTGATTCACCGTTCATAAATGGCCACAGTAAAATGCTTGTTTTGGTGTGGGTTAGGTTACATTTTAATGAACTGTTAAATATTATAGAGCATTTAAAACTTCCTGACGAGGTGTATTGAAATCTCAAAATAGGTCAAATGAGATCAAAGGTATGTCATATATAGTAACCTAAGATTATTATGAACATCTGAAATTAAACCAGATATACACGGCGCTCAATAAGTACTGATAAAAATACTGTAACTTTTTAAATCTTTTATATTTCTGACTAACTTTTCTACAGTATATTGTTGAGTATTGTACTGATGTACTGTGAGAGATACAAGAATTTTTTTAACAGAAAGGCGGTACTGGGTTGAGCCTAAGGTGGTTCGTGGTGGTCAGGTCTGCACGAAAAAATTTCAAAATAACCGACTTAAAATGTGAACATTTTCGTACATGATTTTATTTTTGAAACCATTGTGATAGTTTGTAAATAAACAGTTGTACTAAGATACCGTTGCAACACCTATTGATGACATCAAAGAGCAGATTGTAAGGTGGAAATGACATCAAGGAGCAATTCATAAGAATACAATTACACCACACAGCACTTTAAGATTGACCAGATGACATATGACATCATTGAAAAATATACATCCCATGAACTCTTCAGAAATTTTGTCATCAACAACATGGCTGCTGAACAGAATATCAATAATATTCACCATCAAATTAGAAGCAGCATCAAGTTCTATACACCCTTAGGTAAATCAAAACAGGATACAATATAGGACATTCATGAAGCTTATGGGAAGGACAATATATCTACCCCTGGCATGTATCGTCCGTTCTGCTATTTCAAAGAGGGTATGAACCCAGACAGGGCGGGGTGACCAAAAGCTGTAACTTCCCATAGTCGGATTGATGCAATAAAAGAAATATTGAATGAATTCCTATCAGAAACATTACAGACATGACTGATTCAAGTGTTGGTCATGAAAACCATGTTATTCATAAATATTTAGAAATGACATTGATGTGGGACAAATTGGCCGCGGTGCTTAAGCAATTGACTGACGAGCAATATTCACATTTTAAGTCATTTTGAAACTTTTTGTCGTGCAGACCTGATCCACCACTTACCACCTTACTAAACCCAGCACCACCTTCCTGTTAGAGCACATTCATGTAACTTTCACACTATATCAGTATAATTACAAGACTATTGCAAGATGGCCGAAAGTGGTGGTTGTGTTTTAGGGAGCTCCCAAAATATTGTTACCTTGGATGTATTGGAAACAAATATCAGAACAATATTGGATACATGTGATTCTGTACCAAAAAGTACAGTAGTGGAGAATCTTATATACGAAATCGATAATGAAGAGGACCTAAAATCTGCCAGAGAAAGATTATTCTCTTTGTCTAAGAGAAAACTAAAGGAACAGTATATAGCCCTATATGAAATAAAAGATGAGGAATATAGGCAGCCAGATTTGAAACTAGTGAATAGAACTGGAGATGGAAAGATGGCTAATATTGCTGTGGATATCTATGATATGTTTACATATATATCAGATAACTGTGATAATGATGATTTCCCCAAAACTATATTATCTAGTAAAAGTCTGTCAACATTGCCAAGTTTGAAGGATGATATTATGAAGCCTCTCAGATCAAAGGTCACGGAATTATACGCTAAACTAGCAATGGCTATGAATACTATTGTTGAACTAAAAGATAAAATGGATAAGATTGAGGAGAAACACAATGAAGAAATGGATGATATGAGACAACAGATGGAATCTATACAGCGAACTTTGTTGAAAGGGCCAACACTACAAGTAGGTAGCCCTATTTCTTCACCTTCAATACCTGACCTCAATGAACCACAAAGGACCTTAAATGCGCTAATTAACCCTAATATTGTTAGCACTCCAAAAGTTATTTCAACTTATAATACTTCGTTTGGCAGAGGCCGAGGTCGTAGAGATGCCCTAACAATAACAAAGCTCATTTTGAACTCAGATACAAACAACTCAGTGGTGCCTGTTAGTGGACAGTTTGACAATGGAGTTATCAGCCATGCAAGCGGAAAAACCAAAACAGTGTCAAAAACTGTGCCAGGTCAAAGTGTACAGTGTGATCCTAATACAGTCAAACCTGTTGTGGTTGAGCAGGAAAATCCTGAATCCAAATGTGATGAAAATGATAAAACACTTGAAAATGATGAATCCATATGTGACATGTATGACACAATCAGCACCAATGGAAAAACATGGGCACAAATAATAAATGAGCATGATGACAAGGAACCAAAACAAAACACCCGTATGAGTACAACATGGGAAACAGCACAGACACGAAAACAAAAACTTCGATCGAGGAGACAATCTAAACCTGAAAAAAAAGCCACAGTTAAAAGGTGTAAAACATGAGCAATCAATACATATGTACGTCGACAATGTTGCTGTAAGTAATGATGTGACACCTGACATAGCAATGGGCCTAGTAAAGCAGCACCTGATCGACAACGGTATTCGAGTGATGAGATGTAACATTATTCGAAAAAAGATGTTCGACGATAGCATTGGGGTGAAAGTAGTAGTACCGTTATTGTCAATTGTAGAAATGAAAGATCCTTATTTTTGGCCCGATTCAAACATTCAGTGTCGAGAATGGCAGCGATATCCATCACGTTCTAATAATAAAGACAAAGGACAACATCAGACTCGCTACACCAGACTAGTTACACCACCCCGCTTTGACAGTAACGGATGGGACAGGCGTTATGGAAATGATAATGTTGATTAGCTACATGTTAATGTTGAATTTATACATACAAAATGATGACTATCACTTACATAATTATTCTATCGATGAGTCTGTCCATTATAGGGTATAATGTAAATGGCATTAGAACTGGAGAGAACTATGTTCGATATTTAATGCAAAGTGCTGATGTAATTGCTTTGTCTGAACACATGCTATTTCCAGATAATGCAAATGATCTTAAAATGATTAACAGTGAATTTGAAGTTTTACCCATGTGCAGTAGTGAACTAAACCCTATGCATAAAGGCATGATTTTTGGTCAAGGGGGAGTTGCTATTGGGTACAGAAAAACTCTTAAAAATGTATCGCATATTAAGATGAAAACTGATAGAATAGTAGGTATATCTATTGGCATTAATACAATTAATCTGCATATATTATCTGTTTATTTACCCCAACCACAGTGTCGGAGTCAATGTTTCGATAGTGTATTAGAACAATTGCATGAAATAGTACAAACACTTTCTGCTACTGGTAATATTGTCATTATAGGTGATATGAATGGATGCCTAGGGAATCTTGCTGGGACAAGAGGCAGTGATCATATAGCATCTCCCAATGGTAAAAAGTTGTTTAAATTTTCACAGGAAAATTCATTAACATGTGTTGATATGTTAAACGTTACTACAGGTCCAAGATATACTTTTGTCTTAATAAAGATGATCATAGGGGCATAACATTGATGATACAGTTTAGTAAGTTGTTTGAAAGATTATTACTTATGCGCTCTATGCAAAACATGCGAGTAAAGGATATACATGAACTTCAAGGTGGTAATAAACTACACTGTTCGTGTTTACAAACATCTGTCACTCTCCGAGAGACAATTGCCTACAATCTTGAAAGAGGGGGGAAGTGTTACGTTACAGCAGTGGACGTGAGGAAAGCGTTCGATTCTGTCTGGATACAGGGTCTCATGTATATTCTTTACAAGCAGGGTATACATGGAAAAATGTGGAGAATTATCAATATATGGTATAATAATTACAGATGTGTCATCAGAATAGGAGATAAATTATCACAACCATTTAATGTATTACAGGGAGTCCATCAGGGCGGGGTCCTGTCGATGTACCTCTATATGCGATTCACATCTGGCCTATTGGAGGATCTAGCTGCTTCTGGACTAGGAGCTGGAATTGGGGACTTGAAGCTTACATGCCCAGCATATGCTGATGACATGACCCTGGTAGCTATAGATGCTAATAACATGCAAAAATTGCTGAATATTATATTTAACCATAGTAAAAAATGGAGATATAGGTACCACCCAAATAAAACACAAGTTCTTTACTTCCCACCCACCAATACTCATGAAACACAAAAGCCTAAGGAACTAACACTATCAGGGACTGTATTGGAAATAACCAATGTGTGTAAACATGTTGGAGTCGACTTGTCATCAACTGGAGATAATACACCATATGTCAATGAAAAATGTAGGACTGGACGCATGACAATGAATGCAGGGATTGGACTAGTATCCATGGACACTGTAAGGTATAATCCCCTCACTGCATCAAACATATATTGGAGTATTGTAGTGCCATCAGTGACATATGGAGTAGAAGCGATTGTTCTGACTGAAAAAGAAATGAATATCTATGAAAACACACATATTAAAATAGCGAAACAACTGCAGGGTCTTCCTATTAATACGGCAAACAGTGCATGTTTAGCACCATTAGGGTGGAATAATATTACAACTATAATCATACAAAGAAAGCTCATGTTTTTATGGCAGTTACTCATGTTACCAGTGGATGTAGTCTATAAGAAAATTGCCATCATAAGAGTGTGTCAATGGGTGAACAGCACGCTTACCCACAAAAAGAACAATTGTCATTCTCCTATCTGGGATATTCTTAACATAGCTGAAAGGTTCAACTTAATAGATCATGTAATGCAATGGCTTTTCTATGGAGTATCTGTCTCGAAATCACAGTGGAAAAGTATTGTTAAGGATGTGTTGCACAGACATGAGTTGGAAAAATGGAGGTCTAGTTGTATGATGTACAGGTCTCTCAGTACGTTCAGAAATGTTGTTAAGGTTATCAAACCCATTAAGTGGTGGATATTGGCAAAAAATGACCCATACCTAATTAGACCATGTATAACCCTGGTGAGACTTTTGTGTGGAAACTCATCACTCATTTGCGAAAAATATAAAGATAGTGAGACATGTCCACTTTGTCATAGGGCAGTGCAGACACTGCAACACTTATTATTTCACTGCCAGGCAGTTGAGCATTTAAGTCATCAATTAAACAATATTATTGAGAACAGTAACCTATATGGCACTGATTTAGAAAAGATAAGACTTATCCTGGACAGTAGTCAGTTTGGAGATAGGGACTGTCTATTAATATTGAGGACAATACATGCTATTTATGAAATGCACAGGGATGCATTAAAGCAATTATCAAACCCAGGGGGCATATAATTACATGTTCTGTACACCACCACCAACCTTTACTATCACTGTAAAATTGTAATATTATTTTATTTTACTTAATATATACCAGTATGTATTTGTATGATCAATTTATGGTCCAAATAAAGAAACATAAACATAAACATAATACTCAAAAATGCCCCCTGGGAAAATTAGTCAGATATATGAAAAAATGTTTATCAGTACTTATTGAACGCCCTGTAGTTGTTCTATCTAGTTTTAGAGAGCACCAGCACCACGTAATCAATCGCGTGTGAGTTGTGACGTTACTTGTACATGCGTGGTATTTCAAATATACAACTTGGTCTTCGCTAGAACTACTGTCAAGTACTTGTTACCTAGCACATCTACATCCTTTCATAGTTTTGATGAATCCTTTGCTTCATAGATGGCAGTCAAGTATTGATAGCTAGATAAATATATAATCGTAAACAAGCATCTTTCCACGGCCACAGTAACATTCATATTGAAGAAACGTCGGTCAATGTCGTAAATAGACCGTGGAAGGTTGCAGCTAAATACGTCAATTCTGTTCACACACACACTTCTAGCTAAACCAACGTTTTGAAGAATGCACTGAGACAACGAGCTTGGTGTGATAGCTATTTTTGCTAATTCATTCATAAGCAGTCTTTATCCCGTCTACACAACCTATCTCACGGCCTTATCACACAAAATTAGTTCTCGACCATTCTTTTCACCCCTAGAAAAAATCCGGCTGAATCTGGCTGCAGGCGGAAATATGTTTAGAATGATTTGCTTCGCCGTTCATAAACAGTCTTCAAAACGTGGAGGCCCTACACATTTAATTATGTTCATGAAGTTCATAATTATAAATAAGAGTCAAATGGTTCGTAAGTACGCCCCAATCCGTTCATTCGTATGTATAGTTTAAACCCGTTTTCGAGAACGTAGTGGGAACTAGTTTGGACGTGATAGTAGGGTTAGGATCACATCCAGCCAATTTGCGAACGTTCCGGGTATTACGTTCGCCCTTGCATAAGCCATGAATTTCAATAATATATCTATAGATAGATAGAGATGCATAATACATTTATACAATTATTTACATAATTAAAAAAATTAGATTTATACTATAACGAGAACAGTTTGGACACAAGTGTGAATACTTTATAGTGATAGGATAATATTTCATGAAATAATTTTACAGTGATTTTACCCCTTCCTCTGATCGTATAATATTAAATTACCTTACAGTAAAGATCACACAAAATGTCAAAAAAAGAATTAAAATTAATTCCACATTGCACTTTTATGAACATTTCAATCTCAAGTATATTATAAATACAGTTTAGCGAGTAATGAGAATTTCATGATCACTCCTCGTTTGAATTCTGCGTATCTCGAGGGAGAGAGGGAAATGTATATCTAAAGCCAACCACACAGAACAGATATTTCACGTAATGAGGTTCTAATAGGTACATTATTATAATTAAATTCATAGATCCTATGGAAAGTCCTCCAAAGTTCATTGACCCTACATTGATACAAAATCGATGATTTGATTGTCATGTTGTTCACATGGTCTGGCTCACATCAGATGCGGACAATACTGATCTTGATGTCGAAAGTGATGTTCGGGAGTCCTTTAGCATGTTCCTTCTCCGTCTTGATCCGCAGAACACGTCCACCAGCGAAGAGCGAAACTTCTTACCACTTACACAGTAAAGAATAAAATTGATGGCGTTGTTTGTATACATCAGACAGAAGACTATCACACTATACATATGCGACTTAACACGGTCGTAGGATGCTTCTTCTTTTGGATCAACATTCAACCTATCCAAAAGAAAAAACACAACAACTGGCCCCGTAAGGATGAGAAAAGTTATCGACAGGCAAATCAGCATGATCGTAAGAGAGCGTGTTTGGTTATCAGATGACGACGAACTGGATACAGCCTGCATGGTTTGTCTGCGACGTTGTGAGGCCCTAATAATTACGACAACAATCGTAATATTCGAAATCATAAGTAGAGTAAATGGGAGGAAAGAAGCAAAAACCGCATCGATCCAAAACCAATATTCTGTGTGAAATGTTTCCAAACCTTCAACGATGTAGCAATTGCTCTCATAAACGACCTCATTGTCAATGATCACGGCGAAATAGCCGACAGTAAACAGGTAGTGTCCGTTGATAAGGATAAGTGTGATTAGGATACACAGCGACACAATAACTGCCCGTATCCTCGTGCACACCAACTTGGCCCGTAGCGGCATATACACTGTGATAACGCGGTCCACGCTAAGTGCAACCAACAACCAGGCGGAGAAATCCAGCAGGGTATAAATTGCCACATGATGTATCTTGCAGACCCATTCATGTAACTCACGTATATCTATGTCCCATAAACTTATAACCCAAACTCTCCCACCTCCCAATATCAATGCGAATGAATCAGATATCGCCAATGCTATGAGGTAAACGCTTGGTGGATTCAAGAACATACTTGAACAACGTAATACTACTATCGACGTCACATTGCCAACAAGCCCGACGATGATGATACCAAACAACACATACGTGTTAAGGATATCTGCAATTTTGAACTCGATATATTCTTCATAGTCTTCATACATGTAGTCATACATAGTTTCTGTTATCTCTGTTCCTGGTTCGAATGTAGCATTCACGGCATTAATAGTTGCAGAAACGTTGTAAATGCCGCGCTGTGTGACATCATCTGATATTGTGTCAGACGCTACGGTGCTTTTATACGACATACTTGAAAAAGCCATGCTAGTGTTTGTAAAAAACATGATTGTCTCCAAATAAGAGTTGTGTTTAAGAATGATGTTTTGTCTGCCCTAGGGGTTTCTTCCAGCTTACATCTCTTGCGATAATTAATCTAAATATCAGTCAACTAGCCACATAGGCTACCCAATGTCCACTAAAATGAACTCCACGGCACTTTTGAGATAGAATGATCTCAGATGTTCTGAGATCTGGTTTTCTGGTGGTTAATTAACAATAGAAAGCCTAATGTATTCATTTTGGGGTGTACATTGGTAAATCACACATACTCATAACAATTATTACAAACAACATTGATTTCTAAATGGATGCTTAAGAATTTGTACAAATACAAAATTACTATTAAATCATTTGTAATAAGTACAGTAGGTATGTACTTATTATCTTATCAATATGTATACGGTCAGACTTAAGATGGTTATAATTAATCGTGGGGTAATTAACCCCGGTTATGTTTACCTTAATATTAGTTGGAAACATTTTAGATTAATTTTCAGAACAAACACAGCAAATTTCAATACACGATTAACTCACAACTTAAAACTAATAACTTCATCATTTACTTTGCAGCATCCATTGTATACTTTCCATTTACTTTGTTTACTGGCGTACTTACCGCAATTCGTATCAACGTTTGATATATACAAAACGTTTATCACTAATTTCAAATGGTGTCCTCGGGTCTTACCTTGCTTGTTTACTTTTTTTGGTGAAATGCTTCCAAAATCTAGAAAAATAAAGGCATTGTGACCTTTTTTTTATTTTCAATGGAACTAATTTGACATAATTAATCATTTACTTTCTGAATATCACCCAGCTATTCTCATCGTGGGCCAATAAAAACGTCCATATTTTTATTTTTGTAATATCTTCGCTGGTATGGTAGAAATATCCAACAATTATATATCACTTGAAAGATACTTCCATTTCTAACAAGATGAGGTATGATTCATAAAATATGAATGGTTATTGGTGACTCCATGATAATTTCCATATCATGGGATAGTAATCGTCGAAAACAACATTTTGCTATATGTTTTGAGCTGCATTGCTTAATCAACACTTTTAGGCTTCAACATATGACGAAAAGATATTGGAGTTGAGGTTTATTGTTTTTGAATCATTTTGTAGCTCTAAAGTTATCATGGAACCTATTTTTATGTAGTGTTAGTTTGTTATATAAAGTAAGATTGTTAGATAAATTGATATTTGCTTCAAACATGTTTTGCATAGAAACTCTGTCGAAATTTTGCCATAATCCTTGATATGGAATACATTTCCATAATGTCCTCTTCTTGTGTCTATTATTGCATTGTTTACCATTCAGAGTGTCAGTTAAGTTAAGTTATATAAGTACAACATCATTATTCATCAGTTCATGATAATTTGAGCTCATAATATACATTATTTTCATTTTTTCATTTCATTTGAGTTACATATCTCACACAGACACCATAGGGCATATATGTGTGGTAGGATAATGTAACTTGATATCCTAAGGTAGAAACAGGTCCCCGTTTTAATCTGACAGGAGCTGGTATCTTTACCCTTGCTAGAACCATAGACAGTTCAAGCCAGCACAGGCCTTTTATCGAGTTAGTATCACTCTAGTAATGAACTTCTCTGGTGTATTAGTTAGCATGAGCTGGCTCCTGTCGCCGCAAGCTGGGATTGAACCCAGGATCTTGGCATCAGAAGTCCAGAGTGCTAACCTTTACACCACAGAACCGAAGACTATCTCCAAAATATCTTGAAATGAGTAAATATGTATTCAGCTATTTGATGCAGATTTCTCCAGGTAACGTAGGCTATAATATTACAAATACCTATCAAAAACAACTCAATAATTTTGTATTTGTAAATTAATTTGCTTTCATTTGATACATAAATCAACAATTTTGACATTCTGTAATTAGACTTATATCCCCAAAGCTGACATAGGGGTTATATCTGTCTGGTCAGTTTTTAGCATTCTGTCTTCAGCAATCGGTAAATCATGATTTTGACCCCCTGTGGTAATCAACACGTTATTTTAAAACAAATACTCATTTATGTGAAGTAAATTATATATCATTTTGTTGGAAATCGAATTGACTTTCCAATGATCTATGATCTTAACATTTGTCTGTAATATTAAAAATGTTGTAGCAAAACAAAAATATGGACGTTTTTGGCCCACCTTGTACACTATATATAGTGTTTTTATCGAATTTGTTATGTATGGCCGATTTGCATTGTCTTATATATGAAATTTTCTCGGTAAGAGTAGCAGATCAGTTGTTTAGGCTCTGTACTAAGGAATATTTATAACATTTTTTCATAATAAAAAATAAACATCCTATAGATGTCTACGTTGTGGTTTTTTTCAATCTGTCACTGAATTCCATGTAACTTCAAAAGATGACTGTTGGATTTACCCTTTGCATTTGTTCGACTACGCTTCTAAAAGAAAGCTTCGTCGGTGGTTTATAACTAGACTCTGCGAGCAGGGTAGTTGCACTAAACGGTAGCATTAGACTAGCAAGCTGGTAAGTAGTCATCAGAGACAAAAAATAATTTCTTGAAACCACTTAGTTGGGTTTAGTGTCTGTCCATACATTCATTCTTACCTGCAGATATACTAAGTATATTCGTTAGGGAGTAGCTTTTGCCATGTCCACCCCTCCCCAATCTGCGGATATTGAACCCTTAGAAATGGCTTGAGTAATTGGGATAACCCCTTAACGTCAAAAATCCCCACAGCGTGTTTGATAAAAAGGTGAACCGCCTCACAACGTCGCACTCGTAAGTGCAATACTATCTCGAGACATGATATATTAATTTGATATGTTTATATATAGTATCTCCGTCCTCAGTCCGCCAAAAGGAATAAAAAGTAAGGTATCTCCCTACTGATATGAAACGGATTTGCCAAAATTAATAACTACAGTAGTATGTACAATGTTTTCAAAAAAATGTCAATTGAAATGCAAATGCAGTTGCATGCAAAAGTGCAGCTGTAATATAGCCGTGCGTACATGTAGCTCACAAGTTATGAAGGTAATGATTCTGAAGACATCAAATTAAAGCATTAATTTAAAGCAAGACATCAATCACGTACAGTTTGTTAACGTCGCACCTGTAATTACAGAAGCTTTGATCGTGTTTCAGATAATATGTTTTACAGTACAAAACCAAAGCTCGCTCTGTCCTGTTACATCCTATTTTTGTTTGTGCAACTCTGTGATCATGTCTCTTATGGATGTTTCATTCCAGATAAATCGAGATGTAACGAATAAGGTAGATCTAAAAACAAACACCCGGTGTGAAAGAAAGTATGGTCCCCTGAGGATTATGGTCCCCTTTCCTTACGGCCCTTACTGGCCCTGACTGTGTATAAATAATAATGAAAATAATTGTAATTAGGTCACCATATAAATCAATAGAGAGTAGGACCAAATTTAATATGACCACCTACCCTTTTACACCGGGTCACAACAAATACTTTTATACGCCATTTATTCTATAATACATGGAATACATTACATAAAATGAGTTTCTAATTATCAAGAATATAGCTTATTTGTGATATTATGAAATTATGACTGTTTTTTGTAGTCGAATTGTATACTTGAATTTCTAGCCATTACATGCGTACATATGTTAGCGCATAAGTATTCGGACTTTGCATGCACTATCCTTAACTTTTATAAACTTTTTTTTTGTAGTCGAATTGTATACTTGAATTTCTAGCCATTACATGCGTACATATGTTAGCGCATAAGTATTCGGACTTTACATGCACTATCCTTATTGTAAGAACTTTTATAAACCGTTCAATATTCTACACATAGGGTTACAATGCAAGATGTTACACTTGGTTCCACACGGCGTTACAAGGTGTCACACATAGTTTGATAATGATGTTTTGTTTGATGTTGTTTGATGATGAATGTCACGTTGATGGATATTTGTATTCTTTATGAGGTATGGACACGACGATTCAAAATCATAGCGGAAGTTCGGCGTGTAATGGAGTCCAGTCTCTATCTATAAATGTTGTGATATATTTGAGCGTATAAACAATATAATTCACGAATATTACACATTCGTTCCTTGGTCCATAAAAGAGGTCGTTCATACGAATGACGTCATAAACCTAACCTGCGCCACCTATATTGCAGATCTGTTCCAAAAATAGCCTGCGCCACCTATATACAGATCTATTCCAGAAATACTTGTTAAGCCCCTTTATAAAGGGAAATACGGATGTGGTATGCCATAGTTTACATATCATGTCTCATCCAAAAATGCAAAATGCATTAAGACCTTGAGATCGGGTATTTGTGACTCATTGTAAATAGGCTATTCAAGTACACGTTTTCCTAGCACGACGATGACATCATCAGGAGATCATCTCGTTCAGTTTAGCTTGTCGTTCTGCGGCGTCCATGGTATTACGCCTATCGTCTGCGATTGCTTCCCGACAGTCGCTTCTAGAAGTCACGTGATACTGAAACATTTCCAAACATATTATGGACATGATAACATAACTTGATATAATATAAATACAGGACGAATCCGCTCCCCGCTTAATTTTGCCATTCAATATACAGCCTTCCATACCTGATGAGGTTTCAGGGACATATCAACCGGGAATATATTCCATATCCGGGCAAATATTTTTCGTATGTCCCGCTCCAACGGAGCTCCGGGACATATAAATCGTATGTCCCGCTCAAAAAAAAATTTTGAAAAAAAAAAAATAAATTCGGGGAAAAAAATTTGAGAATAAAAATTTGAAAAAAATTGTGGAAAAAATTTATGTAAAAAAAGTTTTGAAAAAAATGTTGAAAAAAAGAAATTGAATTTTTTATTTTTTGAAAATTATAACCTATTTTGCAAGTAAACACACCAGAGCATATGGGATACATGCTTATTATTTCAAACCTCATCAGGTATGGAATACAACAGTTATGCACGGTCGGTTTGGATACAGGGAATATCCCTTGGGATATACAATATATCTTCCCTTGGTCCCTTCGGTCCCTCGGGAAGATATATTGTATATCCCTCGGGATATTCCCTGTATCCAAAACCTCCCAGTGCATAACCCCTATATATGAACGGCGAAATATTAAGCACTAAACACATTTGGATTATCTAAAAATTATTTTTGACGTATCATCAAGGGTAATTAATACACGGCCCTTTGTCTCAATTACATCTAATTCTTGAACTTGGGACAAGATCCCAATGCAAGTCAAATTAAGGAAGATGACACGAGACCCCAGACTATGCGATTCGTTCAAACTGACCATTGTTAAAATCCTTGGTAGTAGAGAATAGAACCGTGAACGATTTGAGTTGGAACATGAAACTTAAAACCTTTATTGGCCATATGGCGCTATTAAAGAAATAACTCCGATACTAATGATTCCGCATTGATAGATCCTTCACAAGTTTCTGTGCCCGACTTTGATTCATTTCATTTGTTTTCATGTTTTCTACTAGTAATAAAAAAGTATCGACAAATAATCCCCAAATTTTTGTACGCTGTAGTGTTGTACTGTATATTTTTCATCAATATTTGGTATCTATTTTGTTAAATTACGTTTCTACATGAAGACAATATAATGATAGAAACTGTTCCGATCGATTGATAGGGAAGAATAGTTCAACGTATGCAATGTTTGAAACATTATTTGACCTTGACCCCATAGGCCTACAAATAGTCTATTTTTATTACAGCCTACATTATAGAACTGGTTCACCACAGATCTTGAATTTCTGGATTAATTTTTAATAAATGGACATGAGAATCTATCTTTATGGATATACGAGATTTGGCATATTGATACTGAAATTTGCAATCTTGTTTCATAATAGCTGAAAAATAAACAAAATATCAAACGGACGATATAATGAAACATGTGTTTTTATGGATTCGTTAGATTTGATATATGCATCGTTGAATACAAGATCGTTGTAACCCCTCAATGATGTCGATGATAAATTCACCAACTCTATATCACGTGACTATAAAATAAAAAGGGATATTCCCAGCTGTATTAAATAGCAATACAGCTGTGTTATTCCATTTTTGAGAGTGAGCAATATTAGCAGCGAATAACAAAACAAATATTTATTTCTATTGTCGGTGAATACATTTGGCACTTACACAGTGTGACAGTCCACCGGCCCCCAGGGCTTCGGGGAATATTGCTTGTAAAAGATTCACAGATATTTACCGATGTTAATGGGGCGAGGCCACGTAGAAACATCTCATGGTTTATAATTTGACGGATGTAGGGCACGATATAAGTCCAATGATATTGCAAAACTGATCTTGCCAAGCGGATCTTGATTACCGTTCTGTCAAGTCATTACTCATTCGTGACAGCTTTTCAGAAATACGATTTAGCATTGACGTCGAAAGTACATTTTTAATCTAGCTCAATAAGGATTGGATCCCAGGCTTCCACCTCGATATTCTGCCATATATGGAGATGTCGTAATTGCAAAACTAGAATTCAAACAACCACCTTGATCACTTCAGAATCTGAATCGCGAGTTTTGGTCTTATTTCCAAACAAAAGATTTCCAAACATCCAAGAATGATCGAGATATTGGTGGTTCGAATCTTATGGACTGTTGATTATGCATTTTATAGTCAGTTATAATGTCAGAAAATAACGACATTTCAAAGTTGATATCGATCAAGGTCAAGGTCGAATATCGAGTTGCGTCCCTGGGATCCAATGCTCCTTGATTAAGATAGTACAGCATTTGTTATGATGTAAAAGGACGAACGTGATGATAAATATAGTGCTGCAGATCAAAGCTGTATGACGTAATTGGTATCATAAGTTATTGAATGATTTGAAATACAATACAGGATATATTCTGCTCGAGAAATTCCGTATTGGAACGAGACAAAGTCGAGTGCCAATACAGAATATCGAGAGCAGAATATATCCGCACTGCACTTCAAATCATTTTATAACGTTTTTTTATCGTGTGATCCTCTGTATTGCTACTGAGAATGTCCCCTCCGTACCAATATTTTCTGTATTGCGACGAAGATGATCAATGGGGACCATCTCAGTAGCAATACAGCACAAGAACTGACCAATCAGAAGGCTTCATTTTACAGATCATACGATAAGAATAGATGACGCACACATTGATTTTTATTTTTATGGGTAAGATAAACTTCTGTAGTGTAAACTGTCAAGGGCTTTGCGATCCTGTAAAATGAGCGGATGTCTTTAATTACTTGAGACAAAAACGCATAGATATATTATGTTTAACGTGTAAACTGTCAAGTGCTTTGCGATCCTGTAAAACGAGCGGATGTCTTTAATTACTTGAAACAAAAACGCATAGATTATGTTTCAAGTGTAAACTGTCAAGGGCTTTGCGATCCTGTAAAACGAGCGGATGTCTTTAATTACTTGAAACAAAAACGCATAGATTATGTTTAAAGTGCAAACTGTCGAGGGCTTTGCGATCCTGTAAAACGAGCGGGTGTCTTTAATTACTTGAAGCAAAAACGCATAGATATATTATGTTTACAGGATATTCATTCGTCAAAGCAATCTGAAATGAAATTTGAACACGATTGGGGGAAGCAAGGCCTTTATCAGTTCATACAAAAGTATCAGCAGAGGTGTAGGCGTTTTTATTAGGGAAAATCTCACATATAAAGTGTACAACAGCGAAATTGATGCAAATGGTAATTTTGCAATTCTAAATATTCAGATAGGAGATTCTCATTGGTCTCACTTTATGGACCAAATACTGACTCACCTGTCTTTTATACTGACCTTAAGACTCGAAATTATTGAGAATGCTTCTATATTAGTTATATGGGAGATTGGAATTTATATTCTATGCTAATACCAACACTTAAAGGTTTAAGTAATGTGAAGGAATATTTTATCATGGACAAACGGGTTGGCAGAGGCGATAAGTGGAAGATCATGGAAGCAAAATTAGACAAATGATACTGATGATTTTTTCCTTTAAAAAAATTTTGCCAACGGGATAAAATTTCTTAAAGACTAACGTTTAACCAATACTGTATTGTAAAATTGTAAAATGTATGTTTACCATGTAACTGTATTGTAATTGTTTTTTGCAATTGCTTTAACATGTCTTTTCTTTGAAATAAAAAAAGATCTTCATTTTATCCCAAAAAGTTTGTGTTGGTGTATAAAGAAGCGGCTTTGAAAAAGGAGGAGTCAATCAACAAACTACCCAATTCTGTTTTCCTCTACAACATGGTCTCCTGAAACATCGAATTTTCTAGTCAAATAACCCATTTCTTTATTCAAATAATTAACTTATTTCGTCCAGTGTAATTGCATATCCAGGGTCTTCTGATTTGATTTGAATTGACAAGAATTGAGAGCTTGAGGCTTTGGACGGTTCAACGACATTTTGATTAGATCAGTTTTGATCGAATAAATAGAATGTACCTTAGGAGTTCCTCTGCCTAAGTTAGGATGACGTATGCTGATGAAAATTGTCAACATGGTGACGATGAATCCTACAACTAGTACTATAGATCCTCCTATTATATAGCTGAAAATAAAACACACCAAGATTAAGGAAGACACTTACTCATCTAACACTTGCGTTGCGTGTCAGATCTATTTGAAGATAACAACCTTATTAACGATTTTTACATTCTTATGAATTTAATAGCAGTTTGTAACCTTAGGCTGAAAATTGAAGAATATTGAAGAACGTTAGAGTACATGTATATAGTGCATTACTTCTGGGACAACCTTCGTACATGCAGTGGCAATGCCCCTGTGTACTGTACGAAAGGAAAGACATATTTTGCAATTCAATCGATCAACAAGTATTACGTATTAATATTTGCCGGATAGAAGTCATATACTTAGCTTTTGCAAAAAAAGATAAATCAAAATAAGACCCGAAAGAGCATACACTCCCCTCAAAAGTTAAACAACCAGATGTCGCCTTTACGACCGGATGTAAAGCAAATATGGGTTGCCGATCCGGGGATTAAAATATCACAGGTTGTCGTTTCCGATCTATTGGTAACTGACGAATATAAACAGCCTTTTATACGTCCAATGAGAACATCTAGGTAACAAACTTATTGAGGGGGGGGGGTGTATATGATAATAGGGAGATTAAGCCACACGACTTCAAGATAACCTGTACGTGAACGTGTAGAGTTATGGTCCTCTGGAGATTTTTTTCCCTACATGACATATATTTGTATCGTGTTTACTGCGTAACACGTAGTACTAGTATTCACTTGTCCGCTTGATCATAATAAAGAAAATAGCTGTAATAAGGTCCCTAGAAAAAATGAGAGGGGTGACAGTAATCCATGGGTGTCATAATATTCCACGTTCACGTACAGCTTAAATTAATTAACCTCCATATTTTGTGCCTTGAAACGTCACATCAATCAATGGCACGTACATATTTCGTTCGCTGGTAATTAGCGACTGACCGTTCTGGACGTTCACGCTGGTGATCCACTCGATCACGCTGGTTACCGAAACGGTTCGTTTTGGTAACAAAACATCGAAGGTACGATTTTTTTTCCTTATTTAACACGTTGTAGGCAGAATTCCCACTACATTTCTTACACAAACGTGTATTAGTATCATATGTTTAAGAAAATGTACATATTTGCAAACAAATAGTACAGAAGACAACAGAATCGTCGATTTAATTCCTCACTATATAGCTGAAAATAAAACACACCAAGATTAAGGAAGACACTTACTCATCCAACCAAAACCGTTTATGTAACTTAAGTGAGGAATTAAATCGACGATTCTGTTGTCTTCTGAGCTATTTTTTCGCAAACATGTACATTTTCTAAAACATATAATACTGATACACGTTTGTGAGAAAAAAACGTCGTTGGGATTCTGTCTACAACGCGTGAAATAAGGAAAAGAGAAAAATCGTACCTTCGACGTTCTGACATTTTGTTACCAAAACGAACCGTGTCGGTAACCAGCGTAATCGAGCGGATCACCAGTGGTAGAGAGATCCAGCTCGGAGCAAATAACGTTACAAGACTAATCTTATGCTCTAAGCTCTCGGAAGCTTAAATCGGCTATAAAAAATCAAAGTGCTGAGTATAGGATATTGGGAATAAGGTTAAGAAAGTCTATAGATAGATAGAACTTATCTGACTTATTAGCTATGGATGCCATAGAATGATACTTAGCGTTGATTAATGGTAAATGTTGATAAATAAAAGAGGCGTCTTTTCTTATAACCTGGAAGGTAGGCTTGCCTAATATATTAGGAGTATCACATCTGGGCATATCCATTAATTATTTGATTAACTTATTGAGGGGAATATATGTCATAAATAGCACTTATTTTTATAAGGTAATAAGAGTAACGATCGCATTTAATAGTTTGAAGAGGTCTCCGCTTAATTTGAAACAAGAATGTGATATATTTGTTGATTCTGTGTTTATAGCCCCTATTTGTAAACATCTGGTAATTTGATTGTGAAACTCAGCTTTTTATGGGATTTTCAAAATTATTATCTGGTGATCGTATCCAATTCGCAGTGGTGAAGTAAAGAGGCGTCTTTATACTAATAACCTGGAAGGCAGGTTTGTCTAATATACAGTAGTGTGACATCTATCAATTAATTGTTGAATTGTGATAATATTTTGACCATTACATTTCTTTATAAGTAACCCTTGACATTATAATGGAAAATTATATATTAATTTTTTTTTTCTCGACACCATTAAATCTGCAGTTCCTCGACCCAAAACACCCTGATTTAAAGCGAGTGGAATTAACAGCAAGTGATTACACAGTGGCCACAAACCGACCCCCCCTGCAGACCCGCCCCTGCAGACATTAGGGCCCAGGGATAAGAGCACTGAATTCGAAGGGAGGCTCTGTAATTTAATTTTAAAAAATTCATTCATTCATTCAAGAAATATTTCTCCTGAAAAGTGAGTACTTAGAAGATTGGCTATAAAATGCATTTGGGAATTCCTAGATACAATCAGACAAATTAGCACATCAATGAAAACGAGATCATAAGGGCAAAATGGATAATGTTTCGGTGAATATCGGTGTATCAAAGTGATACTTTTAGGAGAAAAAAGTGTTCAAAAAATCAGAATGCAACCATATCGCTACTTGATAGAAATTATTATATTGGGAAACGCTGTTCGAATTCTGACTAAGTGATATAAATAAATGGAAAATAACGATATGCGGGACGTTTGTGGTTCTTTATCGGCCTCAAAAAGAATCCGTAATAGCTAAATGTACCAAGAGGGTAATAGCATTAAACAAAGTGAGTGAATTGTGAACAGATTCGAATCAATCCTGCGCGATAATCAAAGGCGCTTATCTCATATCGTAGAAAACACTTTCGCTGAAGTACGGTGATATTGATACTGAAGCCATTCCACAGGGAAATAATAAAAGGGTGATGATGTGCACGTTATTTCATTTGACAGAACATGATCTCACAAAAAGATACACACAAACAGACAATCAAACAAGTATTTATGATAGTGGACACCCGTACTGTAACTTGAAAAGGTTGAAACTCTAGTTTCATCTAGATTTTACTTTACTCTCAAAAGATCGATTTTTCAAGCTATATTCGTGTTGAAAATAGCATTCACGAATTCACCCATTGGCTGACAGATCAACCTACTGTTTTATGCCCAACTCATTATAGCTTCCACTTAATTCCATTCATATTTGAAATGGATTGTCCATAAAAGTAGGCAGGTACTATTCACGTTTAAATGGATTGGCCATAAAATAGTAGGTTAAACAGTCAACCGACAGTTGAATTCGCAAATGCTGTCTGATTTCAATATTGTTTGTATTGTTGTACTAACAATATTGAAATCACAAAAGTAATAAAAAAAATCGCAGATAGTGGGGAGGGGTCCAAACGACCCCCCCCCCCCCTTCAAGGTCTTCAATATAGACTAGCAGAAAATCAAACAAATGAGTGAATAGAATAACAGATCCAAACAATACGACAACAAACATCAATAAGAAAACACCCAGAACCGACTTACATATGTTTTTCTTCTGGATTGCTTTTGTTTTCACTGATCCCCAGCACTAGCCCTCCCGCGACTATAAGTACAAGTCCGGTAAAACAGCAGCAAAGGATTGTGGGACATGAGAGACTCCCTCGCTCGAGTTGACTAGCCTGTTGATGGACTGACCCCCCTCGAATGACGTACATTATTCAGTCCGTGACAGTTATTTTTAATGATGTCATTCTGTTAATTACTTCCTGTCGTCATTAAGCCATTGTTATCCATGGTATACAGTGTATTTTCAATAAATTCCAGCGAGTGTCATTTATCATGTAAGACGTACATAGTGTAATGTCAATTGCTAATTCAACCAAAACTATTGACAACCCGATTTTAATATTCCCTCTGATGAGGCGCATTATTGACACGATACCTTAGATCCATCATTTTAGCGTTGTCCATTTGACTTCTATCTGTCCATAAATTGATATGGCCGCTCCTATGTTTCCATTATAGCATTACAAGGATCTCAGATTGCTGTACTGAGAGCTCGCTGAGTGGCGATCTCATTTCATCTCATATTCCTTGCTCCCTGAAAAACAATCGATAGAGTTAGTAAAAGTACCTTAGAAAATAAACCAATCTCATTGGGCTCGTTTTACAGATTTTCCTTCTGTTGTTTTAGCTTAATTGCTGATACTTAAGTATAGAAATGTTCTATGAATTCTAGACTTATAATTCATAGCCTGCATGTATTCTTCCCGGGTGCTTTGATTTTTCGTTTAAACAGATAGAGGCGAAATTAGTGGATTACTAAGTCTAACTGACATCTACAAGAAATGGCAAGATTGTATTCAATGATATACTCAGTTGTTATTGCGTTTTGTGGTGCTGTGCGTTATACTAATCACTCCTAAGAAAGGGGTTAGGATGATTTAACTCGTTATTATAGTTCATAACCCTGATGGATTAGATCATTACGTATCAATTATGAATTATAGAATTGTGTAATTGCGTTATTATTGGGGTCTTATTCCCCTGAGCTATTCATACCGTGATTTCTCTGCGATGTCGTCGCTGATTTGTAACTTCCTATAGATTCAAGTCGTACTAAGCTCTCTCCATAATAAACCCTGCTACGCATTAATTTGTCTATGAAGTTATTAAAATACCTTGACGTTCTTTCTACTCGTTAGTCTAGCGCACAGACCAGGAACATTGCTCAATTTGAGGCAAGCACACGTAAGGGATGGTATACGTTTTTTCCTTGAACTGTACTTCTAACCATCAACAATTTCTCTTTGGGAGACACTGGGTATCCATCGTTATTCGAGCCTCGCCATAGCGGGAAAACCGGTCTTACCACAACAATTTAAAATGTGCTACAGAGCCAAAAATGTGCCCAAGATTAAGAGGAAAATGTGCTAAATTCAAATTCGTCTTTTTGGTCTGTATCTGTATGGAAAAAGTGTTAAGACACAAGCAATGGCTCATTTGAAAGGTTTCTTTCCGCTTTTTAAGAAAAACAAAAAATCAAAACATTGAAAAATCCGTGATAAGACCCCTTTTTCTGTGGCCTGGCTCATTTAACACATTTTATAATCAGAATCATGCATTGATTCTTAATTATTGGATGTGCTCTACCAAGTGACCTTTTAGAAGATATTGCATTTAACCACTGAAGCAAAGCGAGAATTCTAAACTTGACAGTGCTTGTAATTTCAGATAAGTCCAACGCTTACAGATTAACCAAATGGACGGCGCACTTGATTCTGGGATTAGTCAGGAAATACTGTATCGGTAATAAATTAAAGAGAGAATCATCTATAGCGAGCAAGCTAAACACAAATTGTTTCAATTTTAGAATATTTTGGGCTCATGTCATTCCTTGTCATGTCTATTTTCTAAAAATCACAAAAGTGCGTACTTTATTCCAGGGAAACTAAAGATTTTTACAATAATGAATTATTTTTTTAGAAGAATGATTACCATTTTTATTATTTGGGAGAATTTAAACATTTTCACCCATTTTTGTACTTAACATATTGTGAATCTTTTGGGAGATATTGTATTTGATATTGCAAGGAATAGATTGGTAGGTCAATTATACATGTTGCTTGTAATTCTGTCACCCCTATAGATCAGATTTTGCCTTTAAACATCGTGTGACAAAACATTTTGTTGACTAGAACTTTAAGTTTAATGCTGCTTCGTCGATTTTGTTTGGTGTATTTTGATACACGTTTAAATTATTCCCTGCTCATTTCTCGAAAGGCTACATTTTTACACAACCCAATGCGCATGCTCCCAAAAGACGAAAAGGAAATCCAAGGGGGGTTTACCCCAGGGGTCAAAGAGATATAATGTAAATCTGCATTGAGAAGACATATCGTCGCTGATTGGTCAAATCGACAGACAAGCAATGGAGGACGTTTCAAAATTTTTGAAACACGCTTCGAATAATATTACGTTAATTTCAAACGTGTTGATAAAAATCATATGCTACATCGATTAAAACATCACAACGACGTGTTCTATTCTAATTTTAGCCGATGAAAATTCTGACAAACGAAGGTGGTAAGCAAGAGACGTAATGATGTCTGTCATCGCTAACGCTATGGGGCCTTCCCCCCGCTTCGCAAATCCTGTGGAATACATTAGCCCAAAGGCGAAGAAGTGAAACAGTCATAATAATTAATAGGAACTCCGCCTTTTGGCAATATTGACGCATCATATCCAAAAACGTATCGATCATGCCATAAATCACTGTCGGCCACCGCTTAGACTTAGGCTGGGTTAACTTGTCGTAATTCTTAAGTGGATTCCGATTGAAAAATGATACATACGAGGAACACCATAATTAGGACGCGCCTGCCTTACTGGTTCACTTCATTCTATTCAAATCGCATACATATCCGAACCAAGTTACTCCAAGCTATACATACATTTTATACAAGTATAGCGAAACGTTATATTTTTACAGTCGCCATTTTGTTTCTTAAACAAAACGTTTACCGCTGTTCGGGTAAGCGTTGCAGTAGAGTAAAATACAATAAATGTATATTTACAGACTGCATATATATATATGGTATGAATCAAGCGGTATATAGTCAAATGCAATTTACTCCAAGTCAATTTACATTGATTCTTTTTTTAATTAGTACATTGTATATGCAATCGATAACATATGTTCATTATTGAGACCTGTTTTGTTCTTGAATACAGATCGATTTCAGGTAACCTTTATGTGAAAAATTAAACAGGGAAATTAAGTGATTGATGATTTTTATCTTGTTTAATCAGGACATTATTTTATTTAGGTTTGTATCAATGGAGCAATGTAAATTTAACAATGATTTTTATCTTGACTCTCATATCAATACACGAGGACGCAATCTGAGATTGTTATAAGCATTTTTTAACAATTGTTAATTTTAGAATTTTATTGTATCATACCACTGATTCCTGGCTTGTCATGCATATTTTCAAAATTCCAAACGAACATTTCGTATCATCTTAAAGGGGGTACATAGTTACCTTCTTCTAAGGTCAATTAATATTGTTTCACATTTATAAAACCTCGAAATCGCACATCTATAGTCTAACTATAAATGCAGCAATTCGAAGCATTTTCGACATTTTGAACCTGGTGTTCGTTTTTCCACTGAATCAAAAATGTAATCATCACTCAAGCGTGTAGGATCAGCGCCTCTGATTAATTTCATTTTACCAAGTTTACACTCATGTGATTGTACTGTATCATATCATCTAGATTCAAATCAAATTGACTTTCTCGAAGAATGATAAATGTTCCCTATGGAAACACCGATGTAGAAAATTACAAGGCATAATCTGTGCGGCTGTGTCAATTTGATATATTTTTGAAACGTTTCACCCATTATTAACCAAATAAAGGGAACGCCACTGCTACATTGGCATCATCAACAGCTGTTTAGCTCATCCAAACAACAAAAGCAACAACAAGGAGATCATAACAACAAAATAAATAAATCAACAACAACAAAAACAAAAACAGCAGCAGCAAAAGCCATAGCCAAACAAACAAAAACTGACAAAAACACAATAGATTTTAAGGTCTAGGTCTAGCTGCAAACTAATTTGGCTTATATTATAATTTTACCGAATGTTATCAAATTGTGGTATGTGTACTTTTTCAATTTCATTTCGATTTTGAAGGACTTTTGTTTGAAAAACTGTAATTTTATATTTTAAAAAAATGTCTAAACATGTCGTGAAAAGTAACATTAATCGTATGATTAAACTATATTTTCAAACTTTACACGGGGCCTTTCGTCTCTCGGAGAAAACAATTCATCGCCAAAAAGAAAATATAGCATTTTGAATCACCATTACTTCTGACCATGATGGTGGTAATAACCTAACGGTCTGAAACGGAGCGTGCCTGGACTTGTCGATTATTTTAATGAAAAGTGCAGAAATGCAGGAATGACATCATGATAAACCATGACATCTCAAATCTTCTCAGCCCTGAGGTGAAACAGAAAGATGCTATGAGTATCAGAATGCAGGAATGAAGGCTCGTGATTTTCCGAAGACATTTAAAGCAGGAGTAGATCAAAAATTTATATTACCTCTCATTCAGAGTGAAATCGAATCCAAAATGTTACAAATGGTATGCACATATTATATATGTGGCACTTCATCTTTCGACCAAAGTACTTCCATTTCATTAACTAGAGTCTAATGAGGTAGAACGAAAGAACATTTATTATGACGTGCTAACCTCACAAGCTCCATTAATTCAAGAGAAAGTAGATTTTGAAAATGTCATCTGACAATTTCACTTAAAATTGCGGCTGTTACTTAACATTACCCAAAACTCATTTAACTAGTCTAGAATTCATCCTTCAAAGGACTTCATTTTGCTTGAATTTAGAAATACTATATACGCTTGAAGCAAGGATGTCAACATTGCAAGAACTATGTACAATTAGCTAACCGATGTGTGTCATTTACAATCCCAAAATAATATCTCAGAACCAGTTTATCTAGTCGTGGTTTTTGAAATGTATGCTAGACAGTTGATCGATGATTGTTTGAACGGTCAATGTAATTCTGACCTTAATGCCTCGGTCACATTTGGTCTACGGCAGCCGTACAGCGGTCGTAGCTTCCCAAATTCGAAAGAATGTGCAGCATAAAATACAGAGATAAGCAGTACGATGAAGACTTTCTATATTGATTTTGTGAAGGTACGGCCGTCGTAGGGCAAATGTGACCGAGGCCTTCATAACCTTTCAATTATTTTTGATTAACATTGATTTGTAAATTCCACCAACATGCTTTGAATTCGATATCCAATGCTGATCCACCATTGCTTGTAATAGACAACATGAACATCGGAAACTGTCTTATTCACAAAACTTGAAACATGGATAATAGGAAGCGTCTACAAATCCCCATATTACTTACTTAATCATGTCTAATAACGCAGAGAAATTCATGAAACAAAGAGATGTATTTATTCATATCTATCGAACAAAATGCAGCTTCGTGTTTTCTGATTCATTTATTAAAGCATCTTGATTCACAAGGTTAGTTCAAACTTCA